CTTGTACGGAAATAATGTGTACAAAAATATGTCTGTGTATTTTTTGTTCAATGGCTCAGTCAAAATGAATAAGCTTTTTACTGCTAGGAAATATCGATTAGCAAAGAAAATCGCACGATGACTTCTCCTATGTACATATACATTATAGAATTGGTCTACCTTCCACAGCATCATGGCATATGTGTTTAAAGGGAAAATACAACATTTGCAAACATCAAAAAATAAAACTTCCAAATCATTTTGAAATACCTTGCTGGACTGTTAGTGAATGACAGTGTAAAGCATCCTGTAAAATCATGGCACCTGGTATACTGTCATATTCAAGAAAAGTGGTATTTTTGTATCAATTTCCAACGCTTATCGGCCGATCAGCGTTGGAAAAAAACTGGCTTTTTTTCAAATACTGGCCCCAATTGACCATCGCACTTGTTTGCAATCGATTACAAACCTATGAACGGGTACGAGCCAGCTAGACTGGTTCCCTGACCTTACAATTCCCCAATGTAAACTGCTCTGTTTCTTCTTATATGGAGTCAGGGAACCAAACTACAGGAAAATGATTGTTTTTCTTGGTTTTTATAGCATTTTCGAACCCAAAACCTCAAAAAAGTCAGTGTAACTATATTTGCTATATATTTCCAACCCCCCAATTCCATCTATTTCTGAAAATTACAGCAAAAGCAAATGATGTATATTCCCTTTAAACACTTTTCAAATTAATATTGCTATTGCACATGTTCCAAATATTTGATTATTGCTAATGATTATCGCAGAACCCTTGAAATAACACAGGAGTCCTTGTTGCCTTTCTGTGTCCTTCCGTGAAGCAACCGAAGAGCCGCAGCCAACAAAACACATTAAAATTAATAATCCATGGCATTGATAACATTTTTAATAGGCAACGTTTTCTTTAAAGGAACATGCGTGAACAGGGAACCTATTATCGGGTACACAAAAGAGGGGCCACAAAACACACAGCAGGGTTTGTCAAAACTCGACAGAATTGTTGCCTGTAAAGAAAAGATTCCTTTTTTAATGGTTGTAAGACAGCTCATGGTGCGATTGATTTACTTTAACGCTTGGTTTAACCTTGACAATTTGAAAAGAAGGAATCAGGACTATTCAATTTATGGAAAAAATAAACTAGGCTGGGGATCAGATCTATTGATTGGCACCCTGGTGGGAAAGTATGGATTTTGAGGACACTCTGGTTGCCACATACATGTATGACACCTACTGCAAGGCACATCTTTTCTGTTCTGTGTAGGTCAGTAACCCAATGTCTGTAAAAGTGAAAAATAGTCAAGCATTAGAGCTGAGCAAGAACTCCCTTTTTACAGGTTTATGTATGTGTCTTGACTAATTTAGGACAAGAAATATACAATTTAAAAAATTTCAAGCATTTTTAATGTTAGGATTTGTTTTTAATTATAGGTAATAACTTTGTGTCAGATACCCAAAAGTCTGGTCACAAAAAAGTGAAAAAGAGTATTGACCAAGCATTTAATCTTTTTAAATTTTATTAAATCATTAGAACTCTGTTATACATGTATGTATACACAAGTTCATGTACCTTGACTAATTTAGGACAAGAAATATACACATTTTAAAATTTTAAGCATTTAATGTTTAGTACGTATACTTCTTAATATATGATCCACACTACAGTGTTGGCCAGGTTTTGTTTCAAAAAAGGATAAACTCTTTGAGTGTATGTATGCACAATTAGATCATTTGCGACGTATTCACCCACAAAAATTGTTCAAAACCAGTCAACAAAATCAGGGATTATTTTAGACTGTCCATTCCCACTCACTGCATACTTTTGGTGTGTGGGCATTACGAAAGGCAGTAGTGCGGCCTGCATAATATGCAAAAGTAAAACGAAAGGAATTTTTGTGAATGGGTCCACAAAAAGGACTCGTGAGCTTTGACAATAGAACACAGAAGTACAGGAATGTGGAGGATGTACTCTAGTAACTCTTTACAGCACTCGATTCTTTAAATCTTTCAAAAGCCTGAAAATACTGTATTATTATGCATGCAGAGACCACAGAGCAGCATTCTGTTAGAGTGTTTGGAATATTTCAACTACGTGTACGAGCAAGCCAGTGATTCCTTCAAAAAGATTGTACTGAAATCCCAACTAGGCCTACAAGGTTGAGTTCTAGCTGATAAAATGTAGCATTTGTGATCAACTCTGTAAAAAAATAATTAAAATAAACAAATAAAAAAAATTGTATGAAAGTTGTACCTTTTGAAAGAGACTTCAAACTTTACAGAATGGATTTACTTAGTACATACTTTTTATTTATTTTTAAACTCAATACACAAACATACGTAATAATCTCATAGAGATCAGATAGAAAACATTTTGAACATCAAATTCAAATTTTCTGTTTTTCTCGAAATTTTAAATATTCAACATGCGAAGAGTCATCAAAGAGATCATATCGAATTGCAAAACTCGTCTTTAGGACTTACATGTACATGTACATGCATTTTGTACATGTACACGTACATGTACTGTATGTTTTAGTCCTTTTGAAATCTAAGTTATTGTGTACAGCATGCAAACTGTGCATGTGTCTTTTTTGACATGTGCATGCATGTCAAGCATCCAATCTCTACCCACAGCTCTCTTAATACTTCCCGACATCATCACTGTAACCATGGCGACAGTCGTACCTGTCACACTGCCCTACTTGTTTCAGGTGTGTCGAAAGAAAATTTGGTCTCCGTTGTGCTGGACAGGTGTTGAGCACACATGCTCAGCCCCCTGTGGATCCTCCCCTCAAACCCTCACGCAAAAGCCCCTCAGAGGCAGTCCGTAGGCATTCACTGATGTTTACACCGGTAACCCTGCTGGGAGAACCGGTCGCACAAGTGAACACATTTTACTGTGCGTGCCGGCGTCGCTTGTGGAAGCATTGTTAGACTTGCCAAATATGTTTTTGACATTCATTTTATCGTTTACCTGAACTGTTCCATGCTGTGTGGACTGTTAAAGGTCTGAACCATGAAACTGTAATTGGTGCTATTTTGTTGAGAGATAATTAAAGGAGATAGGATAGGGGTGTGTAATTAAGGGACATGGTCGACATGTACATGTATGTTTAACATTGAGAGCCTGACTGTTCCAAAGTTAATAACATGTAATGGAATGTTCATTTCGAGTGATGCATTTGGCATTTGGCATGCATGATGTATACTATATACTGTACAACTCATACAAGGAATCACATCTCAGGTTGTTATTAAAACAAAATGGCTAAATGTAAATTTTATAAATCCTAACCGCCAAGCTAGTAGGAACCATCCTCAATCCTGAAAAATTCTCCAATTGCCACTCTGTAAAAATTTGATACAGCCTCAATCCTCCAAAATCATTTCTTGAATTTGTTCTGTGGAGGGGTGACCATTGCCTCAATCCTTTAAAATCCTACAACAATTGATGTAATAGGTTGAGGCAGTGCCGATGACATTGCAGTGCGGATGATATCGAGCATTTATGCAGGGCCCAATTATGCATGACTGAACATAAACAATGCAGGGTACAGCCTAAAACTCAACACAACGCATCCTCCAAAATCAACCGACACTTTTTAGCCATTCAGCTTCAATCCACCAAAATCCTCCAAAACTTCCTGGAGAATATTGGAGGATTGAGGAGGATTAGGGCTGTAGTGAATATAGAAACATTGGCAAATAAAGGAAATCGGGCCATTCCAATTTCAGAATATTGTGGTGTTTTTTTTAACACATTGACCCAGTTTTCTAGAATCTCTTCATGCTTCCTTCCTCCCTCAATACACAGAACCTGCACAAAGTGTTGTCACGACTTGTCAAAGTATTCACATATGTACCGGTAGCCTATTTCAATCAAATCCAATTCTGTGGGGGAAAAAATCAGGTCTTTATGAATTTCTCAAACAAATGTTAAGGTTTTATTTTAGGTTTGTACATGTGTGTACAATACACGTATTCCAATTGTTTTTAATTTTTTTTTTTTTTAGGTTTTATAGATCTACCCTAAAAATATCAGTTCGATAACAACATAAACAACATGTTTATTTTTACAGTGCGTGATTCGGGGGAAGGTTTTTCCCCTTCTTGACTGGAAATCTGCAGTTGCGTACTTTATTGTCACCTTTGTTGTTAACCAAAACAGAAGGTTGATCTTGAATTCAATGCAATGTGAGGAATGAAAATGTTTTGGAAAAGTTGTCCAAACACCGTTCCCTTTAGTGGTTCTTGATTTCAAGGATTCCTTCTCACCTTGCAGTTCATGTTTTATTTTCCACTGCGAAATGAACAAATATTGTGTATATGTTTTTTCATTTTTTTTGTTTTTAGGTTTTCTTGTTTGCAATATGACATTGCACAAAATTCTTGTCAGGTGTAGGTCAATGGGTGAATTTTTTTCCCCTCACAAATGAAAGTTCGTGTGAGGAGCCTGAATTTTTCTGATTCAGAAAAGAAGTTGTTTTTTTTGGTTGAGAAATCCATTTCTGGCAGTTTTTTCTCACACTGCCAAATTATATTTTATTGTTTGTACCAACTTCTTACAAATAACAAAAAAACTAGAGAGCACTCAGAGAGCGCAAACCTCCGCCAAGGCTAAACAATTCCCTGCCATATTGTCAGTACACCCAAAAGAAATGCTCGCATCAATGGTGAAGAATCCTTAAAAAAAAAATCCCGGATCCAGATCCGGATCACTTCCAAAAGCTAATCGATTTGTACTTGTATCAAGGACCACCCCTAAAAAAATGTTCATGCAAATCCGTCCATAACTTTTGGGGTTGTCTTGTTAACAGACAAACCAACCAACCAACCAACAAAATTCGATGAAAACATAACCTCCTTGGTGGAGGTAATAATTGGGAAAAACATCTTTTTTATTTCTAGACCGATTAGGTTTTTCATCAACTAGTTCTGGATAAATTAGAATACATTATAATGTTGAGTTTCATTTCCTTTTATGTTTGACAGGTGCGTGAGTTGGTGAATGAATGCACATGCCCCAATCAATTCCCAATGGTCAGGGAAGCAGAAGGCAAGTACAGGATCGGAGAACAGCTCACGCTCATTTTTGTTAGGGTGAGTATTTGAAACTGATTGGTTGATTCGTTGATACTGGATCGGTTGGTCTGATAACCGGTCCATTACTAGTTGGTTTTGTGTGTTTCTCCTTCCAACCCTGCATGCTTGTGTGTCCCCTACATGTTTGTTGCTTGTTCCTCGATCATTTGACTCTGAAAAAGGCCTTGCTAAGGCTGAAATATGAGGCCATTTTAATTGTTTGATTAGTTTGTTTTGTTTTTGAATTCCTTATGTTTTCGCCCCAAAGGAAATGAAATATTTTCCTAATGTCCCAAACAATCCTTCATACCAAAGGATCTACCCACTATATTGGTCCCCCGAAAACATATGTTTAATTTCCCAACCCAATCCTGTCAAACCTGACAGAGTGGAAATTAACACTTTGACGAAAACACCCAAACCCGTACATATTTACAGGCATTGTCAGTCTATAAGAAAGAGCGTCTCTGAATGGGTCTGAGCCACCATTTTCCCTATCTTTTTTTTTTTGGTGTTTTTAATTAAATCATTCACTTTTTATTTACAGTAAATCTTTAATATTTCAGTTACAAACGATCATTCAGTAAACTAAATTTGTGTCAACAACTGAAGGCAATGGTGCTGTGTAAATTCCGTAACTTCCCCAGACGTTGCCAATGTGTAAGAGGGGGGCTGGACACCATTTCACAATAGGGGCGCTTAAGCATTTTTAAGTATTACTCATATAATTCATTTTAATACATGTATTCACGCTTAACAGCAAACCAGGTTATGGCAGGGGTTAAATTCGTCATGATTCTTCCTGATTTCAGGAGTTATAATCCCTTTTGAAAATCTGGAATTTCTGAAGGTTGACTACGAAGACGTTTTTACCTATAAACGTTTTTAGAAAACAAAGGAAATAAATATTTTAATGGACATTTTAAGACCCTATGTTGCCCTGGAACTCTCGGCGACCCTCAAATCCTTTTGCGATCAGTCCACGGATTTTTCTTTTTCCCCAATACATCCCTGTCATGGTTACATGCAAGTCACATCTTTAAAATGATTCTGTCCAAACAGACAGCAAATTCTTTACTGAAGCCTCTTCATTCTGTTTATGATTGTATGCAAATAAGTTCAGATCCCTTGATAAGAAACCAATCTAACAAATCTACATACATGTACATGCACATATTTATGTATAAACTCTAGCCCACATCACCCTGCATACTGGTATCTGTAAAATGAAAAAAATAAATATCTTACAGCTTGGACTCCCATATAAGGCCATTATTGCATGGCCAGACATCAGTGACATATTTCAGTCACACGTAATTATTAGGATGGGCAGAATGTGTATCTTCTGCCTATTTGTATAGGGAGCTGAAAACAAGTGCAGGGAACGAAAGCCCTGTGTCTTGGGATAATAAATTGCCTTAGTAATCGCAGTGGACTGTTGACAATGCTTTCAGGAGTGTTCAGCTCAGATGGAGTACATTCAAAGATGATTTGTGTTCTCAGACGATCATCAGTTGTGAAGGAATAAGTGAAGTACCGGTAGAGTGTGCATTCCATAAAAATGTGGGGGGGGGGGGGGGGGACAGGCTGTGGTCGGTTCCATTAGCATTTCAAAGCTTCAGGTTTGATTAGGTTTAATGTGTTTCAACTTGAAGACTCAGATATGAGATTTGTTCAGGCTTTTGTCTGAATTCAGACTTTTTGAATGTCAGAAAGACATTATCAGTATAGAAAAAAATTGTATCTTTCAGACTTTTCATTCAATTTTCAGACTTCTTTTAAAAATTGACAATCTCATCACTGAAGACTAGAATATGGGTTGGGTTATTTCAACAATGGATATTTTTAAAGTGCTCTGATAAGAATCAGAAGTAATCACTAACAAATTTCTTGAGATGTGATTACCTTTTATTTAGGGCTGATTTATACCAAAGACATGTATATGAATATTCAATCATCCACCAAATATTCATTTTTAGATTCAAATTTTCAAAAAATGTGAGCAGTATCAAGAAGATGATGAGAAAGATGGCATACATGTAGTGTAATTTGGATCGTTTTAATTGTTTTCTTGTTGATCATGCCGCACTTTTGTTGGAAGCCACTTTACAGGCATATCTGTAATTTTTTGTTTATAATCTGTCAAATATCAGCCGATCCACTACATCCACAAAAAAAATACATTGATACGTCAGTACCATGATGTTCTTTATATTATTTTGAGAAGCTCTTTGTCAATTTTCGGCAAGCACAAGTGCACTCAAACCCAAACCCATGTAAAAATTAATCAGTGCATTTTGAATATTTGAATATTCGATAAGTTCGAATAATAGAATTCTAAGTTTTTCAAAAATGCACAGCGCAATCACTTTTCATAATTTGTGGGTGTGGCTTTGTTTTTTCCTGTGGGATATATTTAATTGAAAAAGTGTCAGTTTGTAGATGCACACATGCCTATATAAGCATTTGTTTTTGCCAATCATTTGTTTACCTTCTCTTCTCTGATGTTTGATTATTCCATATTTGCCTTGTGGGGAAATCATATGGGGATCGCCACAGGCCTAGTCTGGTTTTGTGTTTTTGTGCCTTTTAAAAAAGTGCAAATTCATAGAAGTTTTGACTCCATTTCCTGGTATGGCTTAAACCACAGATTTCCCTTTACAGTTGGTTGGGTGAATCCTTCCCTCCCGAAATGATAACAAAATGTCCGACCAAAACCGCCTGTGTTAATCTTCATTCACGAATGTCTAATGTGAGAAAATTGAAGATAATGTGCCAGGCACATGCTGTCGGTGTCTGCAAGTAGTTATTTAAAATGTGGTGGATGAATCACGGGGAAAGAACCATGGTGCACTTTTGGGCACCCGTTTTGGCATCATTACTGGGTTTTTTTTCCCCGCTTGATTTTTATCGAAAACCCCGAGGCCTGATATTCATTCAATCGCTCTCATGCTGAATCATCAGACTTGTGAGTAAAGATATTGTGTATTCTAGATATATAAAAGATAATGTGTATTCTAGGACAGATGAGCCCTGCTGCAGCGCCCTCTTTTGGTGTAAATTGTGAAGTGACAGTCAAATGAAAAATGGTTTGGAATTTCTTTGGTGTGCCATGTGCATGGAAAGCGTTCAAAAGACATGTACCTAATTTATTTCCCAAATGAGGAACTGTCAGTGAAATTATGATTGGTTGGGAAATAAGTATTTTTTCCCGGAATAATTAAGAAATTACAGTGGAGAAGAGTTTAACGACACATTCTGCCAAACATTGTACCAAACAATGTACCATCACATTCTACATATTTTTGTCATTTTATGTGTAAAAACAGTAGATATTTGAAGGTTTTTGTTTTTAAGCCGAATAGTGGGCAATCTCAAATTTCCAAATTCCCACACATTGGCATCGTGCCTGCCACTCGCTGCTAGAAATCAACAGAGGGCGCCCTATGCACACGATATCTGCACATTACAAGATATTAAAAAAAAAATTCTCCAACAACTTGCCAGTGACAGAAAATGAAAACATTGCTTTTATGACTGGACATCCTGTTTTGAGTTTACTTCTGACAATGACCTGAACAGTTAGGTCAAGTGATGACCCAAGTTATATAGGTCACCAGCAGAAGATAATGGCAATTCATTCTGGACAGGGATTATGTCAATTAAGCCAATTACAGGTGGATTGGGCCATGCCCAGGCACGGTGTCTAGGTGTATCATCAACCCAGGATTGAAATACTATGGCATATGGTTTTTATGAGTACAGCAGATGCACAAATTGTGGACATTGCGTGAAAGAGTGCCTTGTCTATCAAAATTAGATTGTATGATTCTGGAAACGAAATAAAGATTCAATGGGAACAGTGCCTCCCATACATGTTTTGACAAAGCACAGTGAAAATGTTCAAGCTTTAACCCCTTAATAATGAAAATTGAAAAAATAGAAAATGTGGGTGCCATCTTGCTTTTGACACCGTGGGCATGAAGAATCAATTTGTATGATCATGTTAAGCCATTAGCAACTATACTACAATATTGTGTGTCACTGTGTGTTTATTCCCTAAAGAATTCATAAAACCATTGAGTGGTCGGGTGGATTTGGGCACTACAGGGAGTAATGGGCACTGTGGATTCAGGCACTACAGTGACTTTAGAAATGCAAATAATAAAACTTTCAAGTAAGTTTATTTACAGTTCTTGTGAAGTACATACCCATTTAAATATAGCTTGGCTCAATTTTTCCAAATCCTGCAAAATCCTCTAAAACCTTGTAGACTTTTAAGTATCTGTGAGGGTTAAGGACAATAATAAGCAACTGCATACACCAATCTTGCAGACCACAAACATCTTAGCCTATTGAAGAAACTATCGACGATTGACGTCAGTGGTTTGGGCGTGTCTTGCTGGCATCTAATCAGCCATATTTCCCATCTCTGACCATCTTGAGCTAACATCATCATGAAGAGGATATGACTGGCTTGAAGGGTGTCACAGGCGTGGTTTACCCCACAGACACTTGGGCGCTGTGATCTTATAAACTATTTTTCATCAATAACCGTTGGTGTCCTGTCTAAAACATTCGCTTACAATGTACAATGTACGCTCGCAACGACTGCCTCTGGTTGGCCCAAAGCTGTACTGTATTTTTTTTCACAAATCATGCAGTCCATTGTATATGACTTCATGTACATATACATGTATGTATTTCACTCTGTTATAAATATTGGATGTCACTTTGAAAGCTTTCATTTACAATTTTGTTAATCCTATATTAAAAGCTCCTACGGTGTCTGTCTGATGTCTGTCTGATGTCTGTGTGTCACGTTTTTTTTGTAAAAGATAATTTTTGTTTTCTTTTCTGACTGAAAAATCCTAAATTGAACTAAGAAATAGTTCCAAGAGAGGTTTTTCCGTGGACCTGAGTGGATGGGAAAAACCTGTTGCCATGGTAACTTGCATCTGAAGGTTCAAGATTGCAGTGTGATTATGTAGGGAAGTTATCCAAGTTTGTAGAAGAGGCCACTTCAAACCTACATGCTTTGCCCTTGAACCAGACAAGGTTTGCAAAGTGAAGGAAGGCTGTTACAGTTTGGCTACATACCTGGAGTAGCAATGTGTTTTTTTTCCCTTTCTTTAAAGGGCCCAAGGACACATTTTTTTTTCTTCAAGTTTTATGAAAATAATAGAGGTTGCACTGTACATCTGTGTTTTTTCTAACACCAGAGGGCGCTGTCACTGTCATTTAAGGACTCACTGCAGTTAAGGCACTTGATATAGCTGTACAGTACATGTCATCACCCAGAGTTTAATAGCTAACCTAGAACTTTTGATTAAATTTGTTCATTTGATCATTCCATCATTCTACTTAAAACAAATCATTTCTCAGCAAAAACAATAAAACAATGGTAAATTGGACACAATTAAGGACGCATTTCAAAGCTGTACCCAGCTTGTTGGTGTTATTTCTGTGGAATTGAAATTCATATATGATAGCTACATGTATAACACTGTAGCGTCTGAAACCGCACTGCTGATTACTCACTTTAGGGCCCAAAATCGCCTGAGCATCTGGTTGGAATGATTCTTCAGTGAATTAACACAATAGACCATTATCATGTTGCGGCCATCTTGATTTTTTCCCATTCAAATCAATGTAACCAAAGCGAGGCTGGAAGGAAAAATAGTCTGGTTCCTTTTTGCACAAAAAAATCATTATCGTTCAATATTGTTATTGGATACAGGGAACATGACTGAAATGGTGGCAGCACGATAAAGGTCTATATAGTACAGGTTAATGGGTTAATGTCATCATTAATGGTTGACAAGATGCCTGTACTTTAGGAAGTAAGAGGTGTTCCAATAAGGCCAAAGTAAAGCACCAAATTCCTGATGGAGGCACGATGGAGGTTCTTCCTGAGGTCAAAGCAAACGGTCTCTGGGAATACGGGAAAGCGTTGGTAGACCATACTTCCTACTATTATGACTAATGTCTGGAATCACCAATCAGGAAACGCAAAGGGAAAAACCTATGAAAACAGACCCAAGAGTTGGCATGAAATCATTGTTTTTAAAACAAACACAATGTTCAAGTTGGGTGTAAGGTTAAAAAAATAATCCCAAACATCCCTTCCCTTCCCAAAATATCACTTCCCTGTTTTTCCCCGCAAGGTTCAAATGTAATGACAACATTTGGAAACTCTCAAAACTTAAACTGCCAGTATATTATGAAATATTCTAATTGATTGTAAGTAAATATTAGAATCATTCATCCTGTGAAATCGTGGCAAGTTTAGTAAGCTGTCATTTTCGGGAAAGGGGAAAATTTTACGGTACAATAATTACCTTGCATTGGTTCAACCAAACTATCGCGAGAAAACAAATCGGCTTTTTTCAAATGCTGCCCCAAATTGACCTAATTTAGTTGAGGCTGCAATCTGTTAGACATCCATGAATAAGATTTATTTTCCCGAGTGACAAACTGGGGATTATATCACAAGAGGATGCAAGTCAAGAAGCATTGAGGACGATTTTGGAAGGGAGCTGGGGCTTTTAACGGGGAACCTTACTTTGCATCTAGATAAAATGAAGACACAATTTCACTGTTTTCTCAAAAAGTACATGTACAGTCGACTCTCGTTAGTACAAACATTGTTAATACAAATTCTGGTTATACATAAAGCCTTAGTCCCGACTGTGCATTTATGTGCACAATGAATGGGACTGATGTTCCTCTTAATGCAAAACTCTCATATAACAAACAATTTGGCTAGGTCCGAACGAGTTTGTATTAACGAGAGTCGACTGTATATCTTATATTATTTACTGAGCTGAACTTTTAACAAGATAGTTTTTTTATAACTTGATTCAGATTTATTGTATTGTTTTCCTTGAGTCGACAAAAATACCCCGTTTTTGCAGATGGTGTTCATAACCTTTAATGCAATCAGCCAACTAGTGATCCTACAATCGCCTAACAAAAGTTTCATTGTAGAAGAATCTATGTATGGTGCCTTTTTCCCACAAAAGCCAAACATGAAAATTTCCTGTGAAAACCTCTTGTGCGGAATTGCAAACCGGCAGGAAACCTTCCCCATGTTGTGGCCTCATAGGTAGTGGTTATGTTCAGTGTTCGTAATGTGGTTTAGACTCCATGCAGTTTTGGCAGGCAGCAGGTATTGAATGCATGCTGAGATTCAGATCCGGTTGGGTTTAATAAAAAATGTTCCATATGTTTCATGGATTAATGTATGTCTATGTACAGTGTATGTGAGTGGGGGAAAGGGAACATGACGATGTCTTAAAGGGAAGATACAACATTTGCAAACATCAAAAAATGAAATGATCAAATAATCACGAAATACCTTACTGGATTATTAGGGAATGACAGTCTAAAGCATCTGTAAAGTCGTAGCTCCTGGTGTGCTGACATTTTCAAGAAAAATTGTATTTTTCCAACGCTGGTCGGCCGACCAGCATTGGAAAAAACCGGCTTTTTTCAAAAACTGCTCCTTATTTGTCATATTTAGTTATTCCGCATTTTCTTTGCAATTGATTACACACCTGTAAAGGGGTACAAGCCTGTTAGACTGATTCTCTGACCTTACAATTCCACAAAGTCTATTAAATGCTCAGTTTCATCTTAAGTGGGGTTACAGAACCAGACTACAAGAACATTATAGGTTTTCTTGGTTTTTCCAGCATCTACGAACCCAAAACAGAAATTGCTATAAAATACTAACCCCCAAATCCATCCATTTCTTAAAATTACAGTAAAACAAATGTTGTATATTCCCAGTTGAATTGCGCTTTTAAAGAAACATTGTGAAAAAGTTAGACGTAGATTTAAGATTGAAACCATAATGACCTTCTTTCTCTTGAATTTTTTTTCAATCGTATTCAAACCATGTTTTTTTTCTTGATCTACTCCAATTTCTACTTTCCCAATAGTTTTATAATTGATTAACCTCCTTCACCCACCCCCTCATTTGGTTATTAAAAATCATCATCGTGTGTATGGAAATCACATCATTCATCTAAAAATACACCTACATGTACATGTCCTCATCAGTTATGAGTAGCAATGTATCATCAATTCAGTCTACAGAGGGCGCTGTAACTTTTCCTCTGATTACTTACAGCCAGCATGGAGTGGTTTAATAGAGTGACTGTCAAGCTCATAGCCTCTCAAATAGCCTCTCAGAATCACCCCAGACATCCGACTACAAGTTTTGTAACTTAAAACCCTCCTACCCTTCTGCACTTCAAACCCTTCAAGTTTTGCAAAACCACTTTTTCCCATAAGTTAGCACCCACACTTCAAATTCCTTTGAAGTAATCTTCTGTGGAGTATGGATACCACTTCAAATGCCTGCACATTTCTTTTGTGTGGTTAAGCTCAGGGCAAGCAGGCAGATTCAGTCACGCTTCATTCCCCTCCCCTGTTTTTTTGTGTGTGCAGTGACACTCTGTGTGACACAGTTACTTTAACACTTGAGATCCCTTCACCTAAAACTGACCTGCAGGGTTTTAAAGGGTTTTACATATTGCTCGCAATATTGACTTCCCGCTAGAAGAGTTAAAAGCAGAAAATAATGAATAAATAGTTAGGTTTATGGTTCCTTTTTTATTCTGGTAGATTTTACGCAATCACGTGATGGTTCGTATCGGCGGTGGCTGGGACACACTTGAGCACTACCTTGACAAGCATGATCCCTGCAAGTGCAAACGTAAGTCAATTGATCATTTGTGTGCATTTTATTTGAAATTTAGGTCAGAACTTTATTTTTTTTAATTTTTTTTTTCAGTTTGAAGGGGGGGGGGGGAACTTTCCAGATTTTCAGTGAACTTTCATCTTCAAAAATGTTGCTGCACTTATCACAAGTCCATCACAAACAGTAAATCACAAGTCCTTTCACAAGTCTAGTCACAAGTAACAGGGGATGAACAATTGACCTATCGCGGTAGAATCGCGTTTGAATTGCGTCAACGCAGCTTGTGAAATATTGTTCAATTACATGATATACAAATGGACGCGGAACGCACAAAATCTGAGACAACAGAACGTAGTGTACAAAAACTCCATAGGGTTGTTTAAGGGGCGTGGCTAACTCGCAAACTGCGATAGGTCAGTTACAAGGGCCTGCCTTTGTTACAATTCATTGGAATAACTTGTGACTTGACTTTGATTTGTTGGGACTTTTGAGGACTTGTGCTGGACCTAAACACTGTCCTTGAGTTTTCAAAGTTACAGCTGCATAGGACGTGCCACCTTTGCTGATAAGATTATGGCAAACATTTACTCAAAAATGAACAAATTTGTGCTCTTCATTACTTGCTGAAGAATGTAGCTTCTGCTTGGTTAAAAAAGATACTACACAACATGCATACCTTTATGTTTGACTTCCAGTTAAATACTTTAATTGCAACCAATGAAACTGACTTGTTCTGGATTTCTTTTTGGTCATTTCAGTTCATCGCTCTGGGGGAAGGAGCCGGGCCAATAGTTTTGGAAGCAACTACCGAAGGTCACCAAAACGAAGGTAAAGATTACATTCTTTTGGTACCCTAATCAGGAAGTATTCAAAGTCTTTACCTCGTGGTCAAATAGGACTTGCTGACTTTCTGCTGTCTGTCGTGTTTTTTTATTTTCACCAGTAGAGGACACTGTTGTACAAATATCACAGATTGGTTTAAATCTTTGAGTACATTATCACCTTACTTAGATGGAATTAAAACAGCGTGCTATGACGTTCCTTTATTATATCACCTTGCCCTCTCAAGTGATTGCAACTTTGAGCATGCTATAATACGTGCAGAGTAAAAAAACACCATTTATGACAACTCAATGAGATTTTTTCCTACGTTTTGCAGGGTGTCAGTAGAGGGTCCTAAACTTCACATCCGCAACCAGAGTGTTGAGTCTCTGGATGACTGCGAAAGCCGATCAGTGCGCAGTCCAAGTCCACGCATGAAACGCGAGGACAGTAATGAGACTCTTGCCAGTCTAGATTCCAACCACAGCGCGGAGCTTCTCAACAGCCACAGTCCTGTAAGAGGGAGACCTGGGGGCCTGGTGCGGAACAGCCCGGCCAGGAGCTCACTTCAGGCAGAGAAGCGTCCCTCTCAGCTTCCACGGAGGCTGAGCCAAGTCGGCACAGGCACTGAAGAGTTTCTCAGAAAACGTCGAGAGGAGGTGGGCACCGACAGCCAGAGTCGTCAGGGGAACCTTGCCCGCAGCGCTCCCACAAGCCCAACACGTCACGCCAGGCCCTTGTCCTGTACACCAATTGACTTGAATGAGTCCAATGTGCAATCTGATGTATACAGGCGGCTGGCACTGGCTGGTGGACGGGAGTCTGGTTCGGCGACTCAAACCCGCCGACACCGCAGCTCCTCGGTGAATCTGACCAACACTCCACGCAGCAGAGAGACCTCGCAAGACCGAGGTATCCCCATCTCGCCGACTATGAGACGAAAACACCGATCTGGGTCCCTGAATGTCAGCGCTTCAAGATCCGATACCAAGAGACTTGCCGACAGACGAGACAACTCAGTCATCATGATCTCGCGAGACACTGGAGGGCGGCATCGCCTTAACAGCACCAGTAGCTGTGATTCCAGTGATCTCAGGTCCCTCGAGGGATCATCCTTGCGATCCCCAACAGACAGTGAGAAATCAGCCACAGAGTGTGTGACCCGGAGACTGAAAGAACAAGAGAGGACCCGAAGCCTTTCTGTCGACCGGAGTGCTGCAAGAGCCAAAACCCCAGCCTTTGAAAGGGGATCAAGGTTGCGGGCATCAACAGGTGTAGGGGAAGGGAGAGCAACAAGATCACAAATCCCAGCATTTGAGAGAGGATCCAGGTTACGTGCATCCACTGGTGTCTCTGAGGGAGCTAACTCAAGAACCCAGAGCCCTGCATTTGAGAGAGGCTCAAAGCTGCGCTCAACCACCGGTGGTATGGGATCTAATGTCAGACCCAGGAGTACCACAGCAATTCCGTCAAGATCAACCAAACCAGAAGACAGCCAAGAAGCTGCCGTCCAGAATGTGCCAAAACGACAGCCCAAAGAAAGTCCTCTTCAGAGAAGCGGGTCCCTCAGGAATCCACGGACTGATCGTAGGCTTTTTAACGACAGGGACCAAGAAGCAGGTTTCACTAGAAACTCTGCCAGAAGGCGGACCTTCATGGGCAAGGAGACAAAGAAGGCAGAACTGAATGCAGAGAACCTGGCCAAGTACCTTCAGAACTACCAGAGTAGGGTGGCTCCAAGAGAGACTCGTAGCGAGACCAGAAGTAATGCCAGTTCGAGGGCCAGCTCGCGGGCCAGTTCTCCTGGGACATCAAGGCTGAGACCCAGGATCCCGGTCCCCAGCCACCTGAAGGCCGAGCCCAAGACACCCATCAGGAAGGACTGCCTGGAGAATGCACAGCCATCCCGCATTCCCATGCCCGTCCAACACAAACGGCTGTTGTCAGCAGAGGGAGGTGCAGCCGCCTCCTCTCGTAGTCACTCCCTCCCCGATCTGATTGCCAACATGATGGACTGGTGTCAGCGCACCATCAACATCGACAACTGTGATACTAGGAGTTTCACCAGTGCTGGTTCCATGTCTCCGACGCCTTCCCTGAGGACCGACCAGGACTCTGGTTATGAAGACAACCCACAGAAAGGCTCGCCTCTTGGCCCAGATGAGCCTTACCACCTGCGTAGGGCGGAACGCGCTAGATCCATTGCAGAGGGGGACGAAGAGCCACCACTCTTGGCTGAGGGAGCCACCGGTAGAGGAACATCAGCAAAATAACGCTAAGCGCTCAACTTAACCCTTTAGTGACCAGCCTTAACTTGTTCAGCAACGCTGAACATAGAGAGTATATTCCCAACATGTGTGGTACCGGTATATTCCAAGTGGAAGTACCTTGACAAACAACATACACGAACACGCCATTGTTTTGCAAGCTCTTCACTGAGTGATAATTGATAAACCCTTCAACTTTTCATGTATTGTGGATAAAAAAAATGAGTTTGAAAATTGCTAGCTACATATATCTGTGTTCGTTATGGGCGTAAAATTCTGGCCTTATCTGTCTGCTGTGGTCACTGAAGGGTTAATCAACAGTTTGCTATATTTGCGTTGGCATTATTATTCACTTAGCCTCATGGGTAATAAGCCATTTGCGAGTTAAATTTGAATAAAATCTGGAACGCTGACTTAATCCAATGCTTTGCACGTGTTTACTTTGCATTCTCCCGACCAAAGAGACTGTTACTATATCACGTGATTCGGGGCAAGCCTTATGCTAGCAACCCCCAGCTCCGGCATGGTCTGGTTTCTTTGTTCCATTCTCACCCATTGTGAACGATGTATTGGTACTGAGCGTCTCTTACGTAACTATGTAAGAGCTTGCCCCGAATCATGTGATTAGCAACAGTGTCTTTGGTCAGGAGAATTCACAGTTACAATGTGCTAAGCATTCTGAGCAAGTCAGTGTACCAGACGTTTTTCAAAGTTAAATCCCAAAGGGTATAGGTCACTCGCAAATGGCTTATTGCAAAAGGATAATCAGTGTCGGTGCATCGTCAGTGGACTTCAAACCTATTTTGGTAAATACACTTACTTACAATTTGCCAATCAGCATTCACTTGTTTGCATTGAATTGAACCTTGAAGTATTTTTCCAGAGGTTCGTGATTCGTGTGAAAGATGAAGTTGATACCAAAGCCAAAGTCTATTTCCACATCGGAGTTGACAATGTGATTAAAATATATATTGATGAATGTTTTAATTGAGGATCGTGTGTTACAAAAAAATGAAATGTGTGTTTTCCAACTGCCAGTTTTATGAACTGTAATTTCGGCATGAAATAATGTTTTGTCCTTGTATAAATGTGCCAAAACAAATTAGTATCTTAACATTCTCTTCAGTTCCCGTACATGAGTTTGAGTGTTTTCTTCAATCGTCTTAATTCAGTTGTACGTAAAATTATAATCTCATAAAGACGTGGAAATCCCCACAATCCATTCCCATTTGTGTAGTATTTGACCATGAGCTTTTGAAAAAAAGTTATTATTATGGATCATGATTCCAACAAAAATATATAGAATTGAAAATTTTAACAATCAATCCTTTGGAATTCGAGTCTGGAAATACTCATTACTGGAATCATAACAAAACTTAGAGTAAATAATTGAAATAAGAATATTACGATTTATCGAGATAAAATACTTGTCCTACTTGCTCAGATTAAATGGTTACCGTTGTGCATGCTGTCTGCTCATGTCATTATAGTGCAGTGTTGCGACAAAGTATGTTCGGCCAAAATTGTTATCAGCGTTCCTGAAAATTCCCATGTTGGTTGAAATATTGTACGCTTGTAGGTGTGCTTCGCGTTTATTGTTCAAACTGAACGACTGTTGAAATGAGCCAAAGTGTAATAAGAAAAATCTTGCATTGATGTGCTACTACGTGTTCATGGTGTCCATAATAACCACGTATACTAAATATCTGTCCTTGATGCTAAGCAAATCTCTTAATAAATAAATTGTGATCAAAATAGTTAAAGAGTCCGTAAGGAGCCTTGATAAATACAGGCCTTGACTTTTAAAAAAATTGGACTGAAGTGATGTGATTCAGAATAACGATGTGATTGGTCAAGATTCTGAGTTGAATCTTTGCCCTGTTGCTGTTGCTCATAAACCCGTGATCACAGTGGTACTTAATTTATCGGACTATGCATATTGTCTGAAAATTTACATTTGAGAAGATCAAATCGCGAAATGTCCTTTGGCCTCTGTTTATATCAAAATGCATTAGTCATTCAAATGTCAGAAATGATTTATGAATAAAATATTTGTCTTGGGAAGTTCAGTGAAAATGCATTGTATGTAGATTGTACAAAGACATGATGTCTTTAAAAAAAATTCAAGATTTTTATTCCCAGTAGATTTTAGGAGCATGAAATTGGCAAAAAAAAAGGTATCTTGGATTACCATTTGAATGAATTGATTAATGCATTTGCACAAAAAGTACGATGTAAGTCTGTCTAGTGAAAGTCATTGTTTTTTTTTATTAAGAAGGCCAATTCTGCATTCCATGGTGCTAAACACAAAACAGCTGTATTTTTTACAAAAAAATATATGAACACTGTGCACCAATGCTGATTTTAAAGTATTTTAAGTATTTTATATCATTTTACCATTTTATCATTTTAGAACCTTGTCTGACAACACTTTTAAGCTGCGTGATTTTCTGGAGCATTTGCAGGTAGAATATCTTGTTTTGAAGGATATTTGTGTTTAACATTCCATTTTTATGTCTTTTTTTTCTTTTTTTCTCCTTTTGCTTGCTTCCACCCTTTCAGCTTTGGCAGAAAGTTTGTCACGGTCAGAACTTAAAATTTATTCCCGTTTTGCGTAAAAGTTTATTTGTATGCAGACCTATGCATCGTCAAGTAATAAAGTGCCTTTTTATAGGCCACCACTTGAACCGTTGTTAATTTGTACCATACACACGTTGGAAATAATGTTAATATTTCATTGACTTAATTTATTACGTTCTTACTTAAATTATGCAAATTTTAAATTTTGTTGGTGAAGTTTTATGAAGAATCGTTGAAGCATTTGATGGGCAACTCAGTGTGCAAATTGTGGTGACGAAACGTGAGATGGCAGCGTGTGCATTGTAAGGGCTGGTTCATTTTCATCGCAAATGTAACTGGGTTATTTTATAAATGTAGGGTCCAAAGTGTGACATTGTTCCTGTCCCTGTTACCTTGGTACTTTGTAATTTGTCATTCAAGTACATGTATCATTAAGTAGTCGTTGTAGTCGAGTCTGTCACAAGCCAATGTGGCCCATCAGGCCGGCGTTTATCTCCGGTTTCAGTCGCATGAAACGACCGAGAATATTTCCCCCTGGATGGGATGCTAGTCCATCGCAGCTTACTGCCCAGTTAATGCTGGTACCCATTTATGCTCCTGGGTGGAGAGAGGCAAGTGGGGGTGAAGTGGCTTGCCCAAGGACACAACATGTGACCAGCAGCTGGATTCAAACCCCTGACCATGTATTATTAAAAATGACCTCAAATATTTTCTTTTTTATAATTCATTGGGTAGGTGTGTTGCTATTCATAGTCACTATTGAAGGACGACTACATTGTATCATTCTGATGCACTCCTTTGCTCATCAGAATTATAAAATCACAGATGTCAGATGTAAAGGGGACAGGAAAAGAGGTGGACCCCAAATTGATAGAATGACCCAAATGCGAATAAGATTTCAATGAAGGATTTCGTTGCAAATATTTTGTGATGTCCAATTCACTTTGCATTCGCTTGAAATATGAACCAGCCTCACGTGTGTAATTAATGTAACATTGTATAAATGAGAAAAAAAGCTGCTTTGATGTATGAAAGTGTATAAAAATGTAAAAGGTTTTGCAAAAGTTAAATTTGGCGTGGAAAATTGGGGTGAAAATAAGCAGAGCTATGAAGTTGTATATGTATCGTCAAATAAGTGTAAAAAAAAAAATACAGCCTTCAGATGGTATTCTTTTTGTCTGTTCTTAGCAGTTGTCCTGAATTCATAACGACCCCAGACAGTTTACCTATTCCTACTGGTCAAGAGACCATCATGTGTGCAGTTTTAAACTGCTGGTAAAACACTGCTGCGTTCTGCGCCACATCATGCAGTACGCACTGCGTGCGCGCCAATCTCCATATAAGGAGATTTTTAGCACTATGCGTGCGAGGCACATGCCATAGACTTGGCCAGAGAGGTGTTTTCACAAAACATGAAGTAAAACTGTTGAACAAAATATTCCTGTGTACCATCATGCGGATATAACTTGAAGTTAGCAACTTCCTGTGTGAAGCAGCTCTCTATGAAAGTGGTCCCTGATCCCTGAAAACGTACGGTCCAAGTCAATAGACCGGTTTTCTGCCACCAGAAAAAAAATCATTCTTAGCAGAGCCATGGAATGGGCCACTGCATTAGACCAATCCCAGCACGCTGTCAATTCTATCGCACAGGCCCCCTTCAATGGGGAAAGCATTGTGCTAGCTATTGTTCAGATAGTTGCACAGGGCGGTTGCTTTGGTACTACAGAGTGCACAATGGTTTCCATTAAAGGGGGCCTTCTGAGTGATCATGCATGTGTCCGGATTTGTCTCTACTTTTAGTCGTATGTCATTGCCAACTGGTTTTCTGGATTGGATTTGAAAATGGATTGTCACTCCAGTAGATACCAATGCAAGTAAAAAGAACAGACGTAAAGAAACTGCCTTTGATTGTAAATGGATTAACTGTATGAGTAGCAGTTGTATCGGCAGACGGTAGATGAGAACCAATGACCTTGATAGTTTTCAGTCATTCACATTTGAAAGTAACCAGAATAAAAAAGATTGCCAGAGATCTAAGAAGATTTATCTTTATTTATTAATCAGATGAGGTTTCGAGAAAGATGTGTAATAATAAGCATGCTTTTTAAGTCCAAAGGCAACATGGCGGTATTAAAGTTTGCATGTGCTAAATTTTGATGTTGCCCTTCTTGACCATGTTTTTCGACAATTCCCTCCAAAACTTAAAAAATCCAGTCATCCAGTCCATCACAACCTATTCAAATGAACTTGACATAGGCATTATTTTGTTATTGTTCATCCCGTTACTTTTGACCAGACTTGTGGTGAACTTGACTACAAGATTGCACACCCTCAGAATTCCCGTATCAAAACTTCAAATTTTATACTCAACTGACTCAATTAACTTTACCTTGTCGTCTTAACTCTTAAATATCACATCGTAAAATTGCATAGACATAGTCTTACAAAACTGCACTTGAATGTTAAGGCTTAAAGAAAATGATGCGAGTGAAGTCCCTTCAAGGGGCGATGCCTTTGTTGCAAGTTGACTCATATTCAGATCGGCAACACCAAACCTGTCCTTGTGCCCCCCCCCCCCCCCCATGATGGAGAATAACCTCAGTATTGTGGCCAGCCATTTTGATTTTTAATGGTCTGAGAGATTCACGTGGATTTTGTGGCTGCGTTGGTTCCTAATGGACGCTGTAAGCAATTTTGCTTTGATCTGTGTAAATTTGCCACGGTGTATTTGTGATTATCATTTTGGTCAACTTGCTGGTATAAATAAATTGAGGCTGTTGAAAGAAACCTTGTTTTACAATTTGTCAGACTTATTTTCTCATGTGTGGAACCCAAGCCCCAACTTCAACCCAATCATTCATTCAAACATCTTTTCGGCATTGGAACCTGCAACCCCCAGATTGCAGCTCCAGTGCTGTACCAACTGAGTTATCCAGCTCTGTTAGCGCCCCTTAAACAAAGACAATGACATAATGGAGAACCAGCAACACACAGGGGACTTGATAGCTCAGTTGGTAGAGCACTGGAACGGCAATCCGGAGGTCGCAAGTCCAAACCCTGCTGCAGTCAATTTCTTTGTTCATCTTTTAAAGTTATACATGTTATGTACCTACATGTATATGTCAGCTTCTCTTTGTAGACTATTTGAAGATCTTTTTCGACATCATTTGTATTTTTGTGTGCAGTCTATCCTCACATGATTTGGAAAAGAAATACATCTTTGGACTCTGGGTGGTCTTACTGTTCTAGACCAAAGAAATTGTCACTGGTGCCATGTAGTTCCTTTCCATTGATATTACAGTAATTGGGTACCAGCGAATGCCATGTGACCCACATCCACGGTTCTAATTGGTTGACAAACTACAATTTTAACAATAAAATACATAAAAGTAATGACTCTATATTTATTTTTATTCAAAACATAAACTACAGAAACAAATTATTTTCTCTTCAATTGATGTTTATTCTTCAATTATTCATATCTGCCTTCATCCAACGAATCATAAATATTAACTTTTTGACTTGTTGCATACGCATTATTGGAAAAATTGTCTTTTTTTTTCTTCAAAACTAATCAATTCAATGATAACTTTTAGAAAATTTTGAACGATATCTCAAATCCAGAAAAAATAAATTAAAAGCAATCATTTGACTTCAATAAGTCATAGCATATTTATTTTACAGGCTGATTTAAAAAAAAAAAGCTGTGTGAAAGTGTATGAATGTAAATTCCATTAAGTTGAAAATTTCACATCTTTTTCTGAAACAGTGAATTAAATTTAATCTAATTTAATCTTTGATTTACCCAGAGACAGTAACTAGTCTTCTGCGACTGTTCCTTGGAATTTTCACAGTAAAAGAAAAATTCATCTGGAATAAATACGCTTACAAATTTATGCATATGAAATAAATACAAAACATTAATTCTAAAAAAAAAAAAAAATTGGGAAGTTTTTGAAAAATATTTTACCTTGCACTTATTTCTAAAAAAAACCAAATTTGAATGGAAGTTTTGAAAAATGTTTTACCTTGCACTTAGCTTTGTATAAAAAATGCTTACAAAAATGTGTTAAGTTATTGATTTCGAATAATTTAACCTTTTTTTTTAAGATTTGCGTAAATCGGTTGCTATGGACAATGCTATTTTTTTTGTAAAAGCATTTAATCAAAACCTCCCCGTGGCAGAGAGGCAAACAGAATGGTCTCCAATATATATGGAAAAATCACAGTCTATCTCCAAACTTTGCTAAGCTCATAAAGTTTTCCCTTGAATTTTGTCCATTCTTTATCCAACAAAAGACTCCTGTTTTAGATTAGGTCTTTTTTTCATAATTATAAAAATTTGTTTTAAAGGGAATATACAACATTTGCGAACATCGAAAAATAAAATTTCCAAGTTTTTACGAAATACCTTACTTGGATGTTGGTAAAGGACAGTCTAAAGCATCCTGTAAAATTATGGCACCTGGTGTGAAGTCATTTTATAGAAAAGTGGTATTTTGTATAAATTTCCAACGGTGGTCGGCCGACCACCGTTGGAAAAACCTAACTATTTTTCAACTCCTGCTCCAAATTTACAATATTTTTTTTTCAATCCAAATTTTGTTTGCTATTGATTACATGTTCATGAACGGGTGCAGGCCAGCTAGGCTGGTTCCCTTACATTACAATTTTCTGGCATCCATAAATTGATCCATTTCATCTCTAGTGGAGTCGGGGAACCAGCTGTACTTGAACATTTTTGTTTTTCTTGGTTTTTGCCAGCATTTTCGATCACAAAACTTCAAACATGTCAGTGTAACAATATTTGATCTATTATACTCACCCCTCAAATAGTTCATTTCTGAAAATTACAGCAAAAGCCAATGATGTACATTCCCTTTAAACCACCTTTTTTTCTCTAACGATGAGATAATGCAAGCCTACTTTACTCTTTTTTTTTTAAATAACGCTTACTCCCAAAAAAGATGTTTCCATCTGTTTATATCAATTTATTTATTTTAGTTATTTTTTTTATTGACAAATTGTCTTGTGAGGGCGCTGTTTTTTTGTAATCCTGAGCAATATTTACAACATTTTCACTACACTAAGGCAAACTTAAAAGTGCATGAGACCGTGAATAACTGATGTACACAGTGCTAACTACTGTCATCCGTTATGTATAAAAGCTGTGTCTTTTACCAAAGTGTTGGGTATAACATGTTTAAAGAATGAATATGACTTGGTCTTAAGGTGTAGGAAAATATATAAAAACTCTGCTGTCTTCCTGTGGCCTTATAAAACTAGTAATTTCCGAAGTTATTCTCTGGTTTACCAAATGAAGCAAGAACTACTGAATTTAAAACCCAAACAAAATCAATCAACTGCATATCGTCTAAGGTTTTAAGACTGTTTGGGCTGAAAACTATCTTGGCAATTTTGTAGAAACCTAGCTGATAATATGTGCTCATTCTGCTTGTTGATAACCCTACCTTCATGATGTCATACATGTTAGAAAGTGTCGTGACCCTACGCAAGTTCACCTTACACATTTAGCAGCCATTTTGAGGGTACTACAGCATATGACATCACGTGCAAACACTCTACAGACTACGATGAACAAAATCGGAAGCATAAGATGGAATTTGTGTCGATGTGATGTAAATTCAATATTAGGGTTTGCTCTTCACCGACGTATAAATACTGTATACTCAGTGTGCTACCACCCGAGTGAAAGTGAGAAAAAAATCACTGGGGTGGGACTCGAACCCACGACCTCCTGCTTTCTAGTGCAGACGTCTTACCACCAGACCACCGAGCGAACGGGATCGGTTGGCTGGTTCTAATCGGAAGTGATTACTGAGATTGAACCAAACTCGTGCACATGTTGCATACATTCTTATAAGGTCAAGGTGTGTGTGCATTTTGGTTACTATTTTGGTCAAGCAGCATATTGAATGCATGTGTATGACCTGCTTGCAAGTAATAGACTGTTTCATGGGTTCGCTCGTACCCCCCGCCCTGCAAACAGGACGCTGGGATACTCTGATGAATTCACGCTCTGATTGGTTGGATTTTACGTCACAAGTGACCTATGCGTCATTAAGGTCATTACTCTGCAAGGTTTGAAATGGCCGTTAAGACTGATTCATTACTCTTGTATTCCAGTTTAGAGATGGTTTTTTTCTCGTTGAAAAGCCATAATGTAATGTACATTCTGTAAAACTTATCTGTATTGTAAATTTACAATTCCCGTCACTCGCTCAGGCTCCGTTTCAAATCACGAACGGTCGGATTGCATTATGCGATGCTCAAAATTTTGTCCACATGGTCCGCAATGAAACAGCTAGAAATCACATCCGGTATGGAATGTGCGCAAAGTTTTATGGGAAGTTTTCGGATAGCATTTGCGCACATTGTCTAACTGCGGTTTTGAACAGCTGCAGCCAGATGCTTTATACATAGGTCATAGGCCACTTCCTTCACAAGATTCTGTGAAGCTCATCAGAGTATCCCAGCGTCCTGTTTGCAGGGCGGGGGTACGAGCGAATTTCATGGGTAGTACCATCTCTGTGATCACATGCTGAGGATACATGCATGATGGGGTGTATGTCATGGGTGGCAGAACAGGGGTGGCAGGATTAGCTCCATGACTAGTGACGTTATGTGTGACTGGAACTCGTTCTTCTAGCAAGCCCACAGGAGCATAATTTTAAAATGCAGCACTGTTTTTTTGGAGAAAAAAAAAGAAAACAATTGTGTAAAATTAAATATTAGACTTGCAAGATAACTTAGCTGTCACTTTTGTCTTTCTCTTATTCAGCATGTTAGGGGATCCGCTTTGACAAAGGTTCTGAAATACACAGTTGCGCGACTGTTGTAATTAAATATTAATTATATTCGGAACAAATTTATACTGTAGTGTCTGCTTAAATTACAAATTCCTCGGAAAAAAATACTTTCACATGCAGTCATTCTTTTACGTCTCTTTGCCAAATATTCTGGAGCTTACATTGATTTAATCTGGAGTTGGTCACTTTTGCACCTTTTGACCTTCTCCACCATAATTATGTGCATTTCATATTGCTTATCTATTTATTCTTTTGTCTTATGTATCTTATTTGATTTTTATATTGATTATGGAAATGAAGTTGAAGTTTATCATTGTTTGAGGGAAAAATCTTCTACGAAGTCTATTCAAAGGGACTTTCCTTCCCAAAATAGCTGAGAAATGCTCTCAGAGTGCGTCTAAAAACAAAATTTTCCAGGGCCCTTACATGGGGCCCCGGCCCCACGCCATCAGGCGCTTCGCTCGCTCTGCTTAACGGGTCACTATTTATTTGCCACCCCAATAGAAAACAGCTTCCACCGCCCTTGCATTTTCAATGATTGTCCCCAAAGATTACCATGTGATCACAAAGATGGCGGTATTCGTGAATTGGCTCCTCCTCAACAACAGTTTCTAGTAGGCATCTGATAAACAAACTTGTATCATATTAATACCATCATACTTCCACCGTACTGCTCCTGCTGTCGTTAGGATCACTCATCTCCTCAGGCATGTTGGACTCCGAGTCCCCGCTCCCAGCATTGTTGTTAGTAGCCAGGTCGGCAAGGCTGCCCATGTTGCTGCCTGAACCGGATGCACCCTGCTGCTTGGCCATCTCTGCCTGCATCTTAAGCAGCATGTCCTGCATCTTACGCAGCTCGGCCTCCTTCTCCTCCAGCATGCGGTCCTTCTCGCTGACCTCCTTGGTGGCAAAGGAGTCCTTCCGGATGGAGTTGCTGATGGGAAGAAAGAACAAATGGAAACAAAGTCTCGTCAAGTACTGATATGAACTCCTCTTAAAAAGAAAGGCATCCTATTTCATCAGAAGAAGCTGCCGTATGGACCTCTTTCACAAGCAACCCCTCATCGGTGTAAAAGAGAGAGAGAGAGAGAGAGAGTTAGACACATAGAAGCCACCATGGAGACACTACAAGTTGTGCAAATAATTTGGTTGTTCTGTAAGGTAAGTGTGCATTCAGTTTCGAACCCCTTGATTGTCTTTTATATGAAGCATGGAGAGAGATGAGATGCTATTTTATGGTGCTGCTGAACAGTGAGTAGAAAATTGTTCTATGTTTTAACCTACAACTTATGTTACAGCAATACTGCTGGCATGGACATGAAGATTTGTTGTTCCTGTCACTACTCAAGCATGCTCCCCCCACCGAGTTAGCGCATATTATCCTGCACTGCTATTGTCTCCAAGAAATAAAAAGAGGTTGAGTTGCCAAAACAAAAAATTATCGTTGGGATAAAAAGAGTTTTTGTTTTAGTCTCTTATTACCCACATAGGCTAGGCCATATTCATTCAGTTATGGGCTCCGTGGAAAGAACACAATGCATGTGCATATTCGCTCTTGTGCGTATTGCACTAGCGCAAAGCTAACTCTGATTTCTCTCATCTCAAGTAATTAAACTTTTGTGGCACCTTGTAACTTTTTCATTGATATGAAACACTGATATGCAGAACATAATATATGCAGAATATAATATATTCTGCATGTTTCATACAATGTAATTGAAAAGACCATACTTTATTGCAGAATATAGCGTGAGATACCATGCAGTTCTTCAAATCATCAAGCAAAAGATTTTTAAAAAAAAACAGGAAAAAGTTTTCAACTCACAGTCGCTCCTGCTTGACGTCAGGATTGTCTGTTTCATCCTGGATTCGCCGCAGTCGGTAGTTTTCATAATGCAGGTCCCGTGTGACTTCTTTCAGATCCTGCATGTGAGTCCTTGCAACAGCAAAAAACATGAAAAAGATATTTGCAAGATAATGCTGTCAATTCTAAAATGTTATCGGCACACACTGTTGCTGATGTAGTAACAGAGAAACAGTCTTCTCAATGGTATGGTTTGAGACCAAGTTTGAAACAGTTATAAAACCGAGGGGGGGGGGGGCTTCCAAATTTGGTTTGCCCTTTAGCAACATAGTTTTATGAGCACTGAATAACTGAAAATTTTTAGCAGGACTCGAACCCACGACCTCCTCCTTACTAGTTCATCAGCACCCGATTTCATCAAACTTTTCGTAACTTACAATGCATCGCAGCGCTGCGATGCATCGTATCTCTACAATGCGTCGCAGCTGCGACGCGTCCTGCAATCCATTTCACAAAACACGTCGTAAGTGCGACGCGTCGTCGTAGGTGTATTTATAGCACAACTCTGTGACTGTTTTATGTCTTTAGTCAGCGTACAGTAAATAGTTGTCTGATATTCAACAAAGCGTCGTCGGATGCATGGAGATTTCTATTGTTACGTCACTAAGTTAAGCAAATTTTTCCTCTGAGGTAAGCATGCCTTTTGCTGTGCTTATGCTTATGGTCTCAATGAAATAGACAGAGGCTCTGTTAGCATAAAATGATGTGCCTAGCCCAGGCTGGCTGGTTCAAATCTGATGTGGCATGTGTACCAAAATTAATTTTTATTTTGTGGAATAGAATTTTACGTCATCAAGATGTAAATGGGTTTTTTTTCTTCAAAAGATATTTTTTTAAAAATGGGGATTGAAAAATAAAAGATGAAAAAAAAACCAGGCAGCACCTAAAAGCAATTGTGTCATGCGCACCCTTATTCAGACTCTTTTATGAAAACTAGAATTGCTTTCTATCAAGTTCTGAAGCTATCAAGATCTAGCTGAAGTTATCAAGATCTTGCTTGGCCAAAGGTAGCAAAGAAGTTAGATTTAGAATTTATTTCCATGATAAACAATTTCTTCGGTTTGGACATAAGTATTTGTGACCAGCTCCACAAAAAAGGGTATTAAGTCGCGCTGAGCATTATTGTGTATGGCCTGCTCAACATTGAGAGGGTGAAAATTTCGTCAAAATGTGATTGTCATTTTTTTTTCATGAATTACATCTTTAATACCTACAGTTTCAAGTTTCATTCACAGAAATGTTGATTTTGATGAACAAAGTGGAAAAAACAACCATTCTGTGTGCATCGTTCTGTTGTTCTACAACAAAGCCAGCTATTTCAAAGCCTGTTTTCACAGTTGTGTAATTTGAACTCCAGGGAAGTAATTAATATGCAAATACGTCGGATCTCCAGAACGGGAGGGGCTATGGAGCTCTATTATATACCAAATGAAAGCTTACATTGTGAGCTTTCCAACCATGTACATAACTCAATTTCACTTTTTTGCGACATAATACCCTTTTTTGTGGAATGGGTCACATTTGGTAATAAATGCTCAGGCTTGTATTCTACTCACCTGATAAGCATGTTCCTCAGTTTCACAAAGTCACAATGTTTGGGATTCTCGACTGCAAAACAATATGTACAATGAAAAAAAAGCAAAACATATTATTCCGTGACAAAATAGAATCTGAACTTTGCAAGATACCGTATTGCATTTTTTTGGTCTTAAAGTGTTGCTGTGTGTTTCACTGTTTCTGTTCAGACTTCTGTTCTTTTCCCCTTACTCCTTTTTTTTCCACTCTGTATTATGATGACCTAAATAAGCTCCATTGTGTTACTAACATGTTTCATACTTCTTGAATCAAGTATATTCTTCAGCATCTACTCAAGCATCTTCCTTTTCAAAATTCCTGTGCAAGAAAACGTTTTCTTCTTATGTCATCACACTCCCTTAATTGCGTACATGGTTTAGCTTTCTTTATAATTTGATCAACTCTCCTTTTTTCACTATGTTTTGAATTTTCAAAATTTCTCTTCACCGAGACAGTTTCAAACAGTCTTTGGACTTTAAAATGTCCAGCCAATGTTTATCTGATTGCTTGTAATGAACTGCAAATAAGTAAGTTTAGCATCTGAGAAAAGCACTGCATATTTTGGAACCAAAAGTCCAAGGTTTTAGTTTGTCTTGCATCCCTAACATTTCAGAGGAAGCTTGGGTGTTGCCCTCTAATGAGCCTTAATAAAGTACTTCATAAAAATTAGAGGAACAGTTAAAGTTAGTAATGGTTTGGCCTACCCTCTGTGATACCCCATGGGTAGAGTCGACCACGAACCCGCTTGCCTCCCACCTCCACCACTGTGTTACTGCCAATTACAGCAAACGGAACACTCGCCTGCAAAACAACACCAAAATTTGGCAATAATCTAACTGAATGTTCATATAACAACTTTGAAACGGGGCCGAATCATAAGTCCGACGTCTCATAGGTCCGACGCCTCATAAGGCCGAATTTCGGACTTATGAGGCGTCGGACCTATGAGGCGTTGGACTAATGAGCGGACCCCTTTGAGACATTAGTTTTAAATAAATGGAAAGGTACCTTTTGGGACTTAAGTTACAGAGACTTAAATTACAGAGCTCGCATCAGGCTTGTTTTTACTTTCTGCTTTCACGATATTGTGAATTTTTAAAGTTTATATAAGATTGATGTTAAAAACTGTACCCCTTTCCCCACTATATTTTTTCTTATTTTTAAAAGCCAAACACAAGAGACCTGATGCAAAAAGAACTTTACACTGAAAACTCAAACAGCATACCTGTAAAACGCTCTGGATGAGACAGATTTGAATTCTTAAATAGCAAATGTCTTTTTTTATGGACATTTGATCCTCTTTCTATATATATTCCAACTAAAAGCCAAAATCCAGAGTTCAAACAAAACTCCAGAGTGTGAACTAGAAAAAGTGAAGAAATTGTTCACAGTTTTGAGAACAATCTAGAACAAAATTTCTTCACACCAACTCCAATTTCAACTTCAACTTTGATATGATACAGGACAAATTGTGGTCTTTTCGTACTTAGTATTATATGTCTTTTACATGTTTTTGTACTGATAACATCCATTTTACCTTCAGCTCCTTGTCTTGTTGTTTGTAATCCTCGTCCTCGTCAGAATCACAGTCGGGGAAGCTGTAGATGTTGATATCTTGCTCTCGAATCTCACGCATCACCTGTCATATTTGAAAAAATCACAAAACCATTTCTTTACACTCACAGGAAAGAGAAGTTTTTAACTCCGTTTTGTTACAATTAAATACTTTCAATTTATTAATGGTATATACAATTAGAGAGCTGTTGTTGAGTGTGGTGTCTGTGTTGTTTATCTATTTTGTATTCGAAGGAGGGGGGGGGGGGTGCGTTGGCAAACCAACCACTCACCAATGATAATTATTTACGCATGACTGGAAGAATCCTACATTTTCTTTCCTGGAATGTTACTTACACATATTGCAAATCTCAGATCTTTTATCTCTGTATGTGTCTACTTCAAAACCTTAACTGGCCTTCCCCCAACAACTTCCTTAGTTTCTGTAACCCCCTTTAAGAAACAATTATATCCCCACTACATTTACGTAGATACAATGATCATAGGCTATACATGTATAGGTTGCTCTGCCCTGACTTTATACAGCATGTCAAGCTCATCAATTCATGATAAGGACATTTTAGTATTTTTCCATTAAATGTACATTTTCGAAAGAAGTTCTCCAGAAAATTATAAACAATAGACAACTTACCCTTTCTTTCAACGTCCTGACTTCAGTCGGTGTTAGACAATCTGCCTTAGCCAGCACCGGTACTATGTTCACCTTGTCGTGAAGTCGTTGCATAAACCCAACATCAATGGGCCTCAATCTGTCCAAAAGGATATATGACAAATATTGACAAAACAGATTAGGAGCAGTACATTTCTAAATTTAAGGCATTAGGAAGAATTTCTTTAGCAAAAGGTTTTTTTGGCACCTTAACAAAAAGATTTTAAATTGAAATGTTAAAAATTCGATTAATTCAGCATTTGAATAAGTTATTCGGTTTCTGCACCAAAAACTAGTCAGGTTTCAAAATTGTGGATTTTCAAAATTGTGAAAAATGTTTATATTTTGGCTAAATCAATAAGATTCAGAATGTATATTGAGTGTTTTTGATTTTGTTTTGTTATATTAAATGTACAGTTTTCTTAATTTGTTGAGTTATTGGGGGAAACCGTTTATACAATTTTTTTGCAGATCACATACATTGAATCTTGAAATTTAATTTTAATGTACATTATGATAAGTAAAGCCAAGTCACTACACTTTTGCGCACAATTGACATGAAGAAACTATGTAGAGGAAGCATTTCATCTTTACAAAACATGATATTTTCCAGTTTTGCATTCCTTGAATGGCCTGGCACCTGAAACGGCCGTCAACATGTAAGCCTATTCCCTTACATACTGGCCTCTGTAATGGAGTGGATTTAGCAATTCGATGACACCTAATTCTCTCATAGAAACCCCCACGGGAATCTATGTATTTGGATTGAGATGCAGGGATGTAATTGAAAACATATTGTGCATTTATAACAAGCGAGCGTACCAGAATCAGTGATGTTTGGCCGAGATTGGTGTGCCTTACAGAAGTGCACCGCAAATTGTACTTTATTTTTTTTTTCTTTGATCAAAATATAGTCGCATCTTTTCAGTAGTAACAAAAAAAAACCCAAAAGGAAGGAAATGGTTAAAGGGAAAATACAACATTTGCAAACATCAAAAAATAAAACTACCAAATCAATTTGAAATACCTTGCTGGACTGTTAGTGAATGACAGTGTAAAGCATCCTGTAAAATCATGGTACCTGGTATACTGTCATTTTCAAGAAAAGTTGTAATTTTGTATCAATTTCCAACGCTGGTCGGCCGACTAGCGTTGGAAAAAAACTGGCTTTTTTTCAAATACTGGCCCCGATTGACCATCGCACTTGTTTGCAATCGATTACACACCTATGAACGGGTACAAGCCAGCTAGACTGGTTCCCTGACCTTACAATTCCCCAATGTATGTAAACTGTTCTGTTTCTTCTTATATGGAGTCAGGGAACCAGACTACAGGAAAATGATTGTTTTTCTCGGTTTTTATAGCATTTTCGAACCCAAAACCTCAAAAAAGTCAGTGTAACTATGTTTGCTATATATTTCCAACCCCCCAATTCCATCCATTTCTGAAAATTACAGCAAAAGCAAATGATGTATATTCCCTTTAAGTGAAGACACTGAGGCTTCAGGCCTTTGATATTATCAGCAATCCATTTGTAAGTAGATTACAGAAAGATATATTCAATACATTTACATGGTTAAAATTTTGAAGAGTTTCTGTTGAAATGTACATGTATCTTCTTGGATATATAGGAAATATGCTGAGATGCTGAAAATGTGGAAATGTATTTTTTTTTAGTTGCTCTTCCACTAACGAATTGTCAATTTGTACGTTTTGTTTTAACGAAAAAAATCTTCTTTATTCCGATTTTAGGAGTCTGCAAACCTCTGAAAAAAGGACTTTCATTTTGCCCACAAATGAAGCCACCCTTCGAGAGCCTTATTAATGTCAGGCAGCATGATAATACGATTTTTGGGAAGAATAAGTACTTCAATTAACTAAACGTCGGTTGATGTTTGTTTTGTTCGATGCCTCATTCAAAAGTGAATAAACATTAAAATTGCTAGGAAAAGAGCAACTGAAAACAAACCCATTCTTTGAGATGAAACTCAAAAATAGCATAGGGAACGTGTGTGTGTTGAAGCGGGAGAATCTTGAAAAAAACTTCTTTTTTTCCAAACGTAGTTCCAATATCAATGAAAATACGTTTCACGTGGAAAGTAATAAAGCGGAGGAATACTAAAACTCCGCCTGTTCACATCCTCTTACCCGTGTCCGTACGGCGAGATAAAGTAGAGACAGCAATGTACTCGGTTGTCCACAATGTTTTTCCGGTTCAAACCGCTCTCGTCTTCGTAATACTGAGCGAACTGGTCTTCAATGTAGTCGATAATCGGTTTCCACCTTCGAGTACAAACAATGAGGAAAAACGGCATCGTCAGTTCAGTATCTTTTTTTAACTTCGATTGGCGGGAATGGTATAATACTCATATCGTGTAACACGTGTTGAAGCTCTTTGGCAAAGGTTGTACCTCGTGGGCGGAACCGAAGTGTCAAGACTCAAATGGAATAGGCAATGATTAATGTTATCTTGAAGAAAACTGTACTGTTCTTTCATATTGTATTTAGATCCCAATAATAAAATGCCGTGGTTTTTTTTGGCGAGTTCGTTGAGTGGCAACGTTGACCAATTTCTGCCTCAATTAAAAAAAAATCACCATTTTAATCAATAATTGGCGACCGTACGTTTGTGATCATGTTTTTTTTTTCGTTTGCTAAAACAACACAACTATAGAGTATCTCTATAACAACTTATTCGACTTTGACACTGTAAGATTTCTGTCGACTTACGAGTTGCTGCAGTTGACGGAGTCCCCAAACCCTGGGGTGTCGACCACGGTCAATCTGAGCCGGACTCCCTGCTCCTCGATGTCGATCGAGTTTCGCTTGATATCTACCGTTCGCTCGATTCGTTCTACGGATGGATTTAAAGGTTGCGTTAGTGCTTATAAGTTGGTATGTCCGTGCTTGTGCATGTGACACCCTGAATAGCAATTTCATTTTTTTTTCAGTATTAGATAAGATAAGGGCTTTTTTAATGAGGTACCGTACACAAAAACAACACACTGTATATCAGATTTCGTTTCAGATGATTTACAATGATTACTTCAAAATTCACTTATATTATCAGTCTTCACATTAAGCGACAATGGATATAAAATACTTATATACTAAAATACTTATTGTTCAAAATATAGTTGTTTCCGCTATAATTCGTTGCCAACTGTATTAATATTTTATACAAGAAAGGGAAAGGATTGCCTGCCCATATTTTTTTAAAGACAAATTTCACTCTATCAAGTCTATCAACAGGGTGCGGTTTAGGTAGTCACTTAGAAAGGATGAAATAATACAGGTGGATTGGCAAGCAATCGTCATATTGCAACAAGGAAAACCAGACATATATAACGTACTTGGGTAAAATACTGCCGGCAGTTGTTATGTTGACCGACATTGGGCAACTTTTGCGAGTGTATATATAACGGAGTAAACCAACAAGCTCTCGTTCTGTCAGTTAATATTCTGCTAAACTTAGGCCTACCTAAAACAGAAACTGATCCATCACCAAAACAAAACCTGAAGTCAGTTCACAGAATCTACCACACTTACTATAGGGAGATATTGACAAAACTATAACACTGACAAACATTAATATTACACCAGGAAATGTATTTACCATCTGCACTTAGCTCCTTTCGCTCCTTGTACAAATCTGTCAGAAACAAACTATTCACTAAGGTAGATTTACCAAGACCCGATTCACCTGTGGGGTGGGGACAAAAAAGAAAGTCACTTTTGAGATATAATTTAAATGTTAGCTTTAGAAGTCACTTGTGTTTACTATTTCTTTCTCGGTTTTATTATCGACTAGAATCAGCTGTGAAATTCGAAGTAGTATTTAGTAATAAAGAAACACCTTTTTTACGAGGAAGTAAAAGGGACAGGACACTCTACAGTCTGCTCTACATTTTCAGAACTGACGACTAAATAAGAATGAACCGTTTCTATTTGACACAAATATTTATAGTACTGTTGTGAGTGTTTCTCGATGTTCATCAATCATTCGCTCATAACGTATGACATGGGATCGAATATTTATGGTATTACAAACATCAGAATTGAGTGATTGCATGATGTGTGGCTGGGGTGAAGTTTTTGTGGCACATGGCTTTGGGCCGTCGTAAAGGAAATATTTACTCCTGCGATTTTTCTATTGAAAGCGTAATTTAAACTGTATTCAATGGGTGTGTGAAAGATTGTGAAACGAAAGAATAACCTCTGTGTCGATTAATTAATGTATGAATTTCAAGGAACAAGGGAAATATTGCCATTAGTAACACGATTTAAATATACAGGAACTAAAATGTTTATTATCATAACTTTACGAGTCGACTCTGACTCTAAAAAGCAATTTCTCGACAATCTCCATTTACTTGAACTCTATAACGTTTCGACAAAAATACCGCTTCTTTTCAAAGTGGAAACTTTCATTTCACTCAAACAACCGATTATATATAACAGGGTTCAGACTGTAACGGGGATATTAAAATAATTTGTCCGTGATTTGCACAGTGGATAAAATTACATTGAAACTGTACGTACGCCTTCTATATCCTTGGCACCCGATTAAAATGTGTGCAAAATCGGAATCACGTTTCTGCATGGGCGTCTGAACTAATTATGATACCACGTTTTTGTAAAGTATTTTTTCTTTTCTTTCTGAGATCATTCTTCCTTTCTAAATGACAACGGACCTGAAAGAATAATTTTACAAGGTGTTTGGCACCATTTTTCCCCGGAGAGTTTCCGGGTGGCAAATGATACTATACTCAGTATTCAAAACACCCAAGCAAGCTGTTGGATGAGGTTGGTCACTGACAATCAATCAGACTTGGTGCGTCTTGCGCAAACAAAATATACCTTAAAAAAACCCAATAATATGTTTTCGACCTTTTTATATTTCTTTATTCTGCATGTAAGCAACGTGTCAGGGAAAAATATATGAAATCCCTGCCTCCCAAAAGGCGTTCTAGGGACACACTCACGATCCTGAATTCTGCCTCAGCATATTCCCTTACATGCCGGCCACTTGTAATATTTTTTTTGCAGCTCGTCCAATCATCTTGAAACTGTTGTTTCACGTTTCATGTTACTGGCGGGAAATATCCACGCGTCTGACACTTTGCGTAAATGACTTTTGGCACAGATGCGAAGGTGTTGACATATCCGTTTGGGTTTGCTTCGTTTTGGGGGTTTTGTCATTTGTCTTCTAAATGCCACTCTCTCATAATCTTCATCGATGTGTCTTATATCCGTGTTCTTACCATTATGATTACCGATTATACCTTCAATGGGATTGCGCTCAAATGCATATAGCATTATAATGGGAATTGTTTCACCATGAGGTTTCTATGAATTAACTCAATGAAGAATTCTTTCGATGGTTTTTATGCTTACCTACAACCATGAGCGTGAATTCAAATCCTTTCTTGACGGACTTGCGATGGACTTGGTCCGGTAGGGTCGCAAACCCCACATACTCCCGACCCGATTGCTGTATATAAATGGGACAAATGCATTTCTTTATATAAAATTTGTGTTATCCATTTATAAATTTTTGCAGCAAACGTGTATTTCTTATTTTTAAAAAGTATATTATTTAACCGAAGAGTGCTCGATAAAGATGCTTCATGCATATAGCTGCTTCTTGAAAATCATCACCAGATATATTCATAAATATCCTCGCGTATATTAAAATCTGTATTCCAAGCTCCCTTTTTCTACAACCGAATGTTGAATTAACTTACCGAGTAACCTGTTTTGAATTATCCGAATGTTGTTGCTTTATCTATCCAATTTCAAAGTAAAGACAATAATTCTCTCCTTTGCACACATTCGTTTTCCTCACAATCGAAGTAATTTATATCTTTCTTTTTTCCAGCGATAAATTTTGATTACTGTCTGAGTGTTTATAAACATCGCATGACCTTCTGACCTTTCGAAGCGGATGACCTAATTTGGCAACAAAATCTAAAATAGTGGGAATGTCAAAATGTCAACTTCGCCGGATGCAACATTTCCTATAATGGCACACGCCACATGTATAGGAAATTCCTGATTTCACTGTATGCCGTTTCCTGACGTTCGAAATAAATCCAGACTGAACTGAATCAATGAGCTATTTCAGCGCAAGAATGTCAAAAATACCCATACATTACTTATTGATATCTGTTTTTACAGACATGTTCACCGGTGCAGATGGCCTGGTTCAGACTCAATTACGAAAAGTCATCGTGCACCTCATGGACCGCTAGTTATAAAATTAGTCAACTTTGACTTTTAGAGCGGATCCCTGAATGAGTGAGCATTATTCGAAACTCAAAGCTACACATAGTTACACAATTTTCATGTCGTGCAAAATAACCGTGTTATATCTCCTTTTTGATTAGGCGTTTGATTCATTTAATGCCCTTGAAATGTGTAGCGACCAAAAGAAATCCGATGTTGGTCTGTGTATAGAATAACTTCGCAAAAAACGCTGATTTTATTGTTCACAAGTTATCATGTTGTAACTACAAAACATAATTCTCTTTTTTTTTTAAAGAATTAACTTGGAATTATCACGATAAACCAACACGCAGGTGATCATTTCCAGACAGTTATGTCAAAGTTCAATCGATTTTGCATTTACATAAAAGCTTAAAGGGGGATTTCTCGTGCTTAAAAAACTTCAATCCCACGCTCACATCCAATAACGATATCTCGCTCGTAAATTTTGTTTCCAAACTGTCAAATGGCCGTGAATGCATCTCTTTTGTTATTAAAAAATTAGAATGTGGAGGGTGCAGAGCTCAGTTATGGGCCCATTCACGCTTGCATGCCGGAAATAAACGCGACTCAATAAAAAATATTTTTCAGTGATCAGTGTTATTGTATGTTGCCTATTGACACATACCTAGAGCTCTCGGTAGTTTTTATTTCCTTGTGCTTTTTTTAAGGTAACAGCGTTTGGTGCCAGTGTGGTTTAGGCAGTGGCTTTTCAAACGCTTTACTGTGCTAAATGTAACCGATACTCTAGATACCCTCTATCTAAATTCCAAAAAGCGTAGCCAGGGTTGCAATTTAGACTGAAAATCGCTCTAATTTTAGATTGAATACTCAGGGAAAGAAAACAATCGCTTCAGTCAAGCCCAGTTAAAACTCGATCTTTTCGAGTTAATGAATGTCACCCTAAAACGTCTCTGGTACCTACTTTCAATCGGTGAAAGTGAATAGTCACTCTTTGGATAAAAGAAAATACCTGAAACAAGTTATGTTATATCGTACGTGGGTTTTGTCAAAAAAATCCAAATATCGTGAAGTTTATTATGAAGCGATCCCATCGAACTAGAGTACTACTTATAAAGAAATCCTGGCGGATTCATTTTTGTTAGAGTTGAAACGTGGGATATTCCCTCGGCTTCATTTTACCAACTGGAGAGAAACCATGTGTAAAAGACTCCAAAATAGATATGGTTCCATGGGAATATTATCCCGGAAGGCAACTATGCCATGTGGTAGGAAGGGCAAAGATCCCATGAAACATACACGGGAAGGCTATGATTCCATGATACATGCATATGGGGATGGGAGGTAAGTGACAAGAGGCAAGTAAGCTAGGATCCCATGAGAAATGGAACTTGAGTCCTATACTGGGGGCTGATGGAAAAAGGCATTTATGGTCTTTTGCAATAGGAAAGGGTATACATGATCCTATGGCAGATAAGATGGAGCAACAACCCAAATAAATTGGAAGGGGAATGGTCCCATCGTACATTGAAGGGAAATGGTCCCATGGTTCTTCTGTGGTGGCTTGGCATCATCTCATGGTAGACGGTGAGATGATTCCATGTGAACGTGGTATAAACGAGAAAGAACAGTGGTCCCGTATAGCAGATGGCGAGAGTCAAAACATTCCATGATGGAACTGTGGGATGAAACTGTTCCATGCGGGTCCCATGTTGGAAAGATGAAAGGATGTGTATAGGCCTACCTGACCACGGTCAAGTGAGGCCCCATGGTAGATGGGAAGGGGCCATGGCCCGATGTTTGGCGAGGACCCATACAATGGTCAATTGATGGGACCAGGGTTGTCGTTACCAAACTACTCAGACAAACTACTAAATATGCCAACTCAACTTCCAGAAGGTACCGGACTACCGGTATAAGGTTAATTAAACTGAGACTCTCAATTGTGGTAAGATCACCAGACACCTTTTCATATTTTAGTAGATTAAGTAACCTTGTTTGAATGTTAACAGAGTGTTTAGTTTGTATTCCATACGGTTGCGTTGATGCCTAACTGCAACCTCATCCGGTGACATCGACTAAAACAATGCTCCATTAACCATTGGTTTACCACTAATTGCGAGCGTATAACTTACACGGGCCACACCATTATCGCTCGAATCAATAATGCTATGTTATACATGTACAAATGATATGTACTTGTATAACGATTCGGTTGCATAACACGAGCTTTCGATTTTATATCAAGTGGAGCCATATTTCCATATAATTATCAAGATAGGTCTATCCATATACGTTCATGTATTATAAGCTTACCTTGTCAGTAGGGAAAAACAGTCAGTTTGCACTTAATGTACACGCTTAGCTGTATATAATGTGAAATGGTGCCACAAAATTAAATTACAGATTCCATCTATTATTTACTGCCATTCCGACGTCAATAATGATGCAATCATGCAAGCATGCTAACCTGAATATCCACGTGAGTCTTCGGCATCTTGTCAAAGGTAGACAAAAACTTGGACGACATGGAAGAAAAGATGCAGCTCCTCTTTAAAAGACGACTTCGCAGGTCAGTAAACCACTCCGTCGTAGTATCCAAGACACGCTGTTTGAGATTCCACACACGTGGAAAAAGTACAGCGAACTAAAGTCCCCCGGACACCTCGCTCAAGAATGTCAGAAAATACAGCCGCGATACAATGTCAAGTACAGTTTGAGATATGTGTCCGAAGGCTTTGACTGGTCCTAGCTTGATGTTTTCTTGTATAGGAGGTACGACTCGATGCTTAATACAGAGGTCTCTGTTTCAGAAGTGACAGTTAACTTGCAGCAGTGTGGATCCTTTTTTCCACTTGCTGATTCTATTTAACAAAATCACAGCCTAGTTGTATTGTTAAATATGTTGCTTGATCTCTTCGGCGTAGAGCTCACAGCAAAATAAACTCCACATCAAGTTTCTGAACGTAATAACCTAGCTGTTATTTCACTTTCGTTGATTCACTCAGTGCGGTCAAACAGCTCGATAGAACAACTTCATAGAGTTTAGAAACTGAATACCGCAACACAGTTGTCCTTCCTCGAATACCTCTCTCTCAACAACGTCGCCAAGCTTCACGCACTAAAAAAATAAATCATATAAATTTCACTTTCTATAGTTCATAGCAGTTGTTACAAACGCATCCCGTCCTTGGTTTAGGCTATACATGGCTGTATTGCTGACTATTAGGCGGCCATTCAAACCAAGCAATTCATGGTCAAAATATTCAATCCATACTTTCATATGCTAATAATTTCTCCTTGTGAACTCCCTGGCCTTGGTCGCTTTCGTCTTCAGGTGTCTTGTTGAATGAAGATAAAAAACCAAAATCCATTCACTCTCCAGAGAGGAAAAACTGGAATCCTTCAACCAGCACTTACACCTCAAGCACGGCAAATAAGATCGTCCTAAATTATCTCTTCAAAATCAGTATTATCAAATATGCACCATCAATCACTAAGCACGAGTTTTTGGATCTTTGCTGCTCCCATGTTGAATCTGTTTCTTTCCAACCGTGGATGCTAGACAGTCGGCGCGTGGATGGCGGCAAGCCAGTGGGCCCCGGAGCTTAAATTGACGGCTGAGGATAGCTCGACATCGACCCCTCATCAAAAGTATTTCACGTTTGGTACTCCCCAAAATAGAAATGATGTCTCGATGATTGAAGCGTTGCTGGTCTGTTGTCACTCCTCTATTTATCCACTGAAATGTCCTACATCTATCCACTGAAAAGTATTTGTGAAATATGTATAACCCACACCCCTAAATAGTTTCATCTTGAGCGTTTGTGGTGTGTGGGTGGTTTACAATGGTTTGCCAATTGTGGTTGTCGATTTGTGTGTTACTGGACCGTGGTTCAGTGGTTTCCCGTAGAATGTCAAGGCTGAACACCGCGTGTGAGAGCTGTCGGAGTTGAGATGTACAGTCGGTTCTATTCAGAGGGACTTTCCACCAATTGCACCTGTATACACCTGTCGTGTATGGCTCATAGTCTATCGGATCTGTGCCAGCCATAAGAAAATGGCCATTCAAATGTGCATACTTCCGGAAATAAAATGTCAACTGTGCACATAACAATCATACAAATGAATATTATACCCCATTTACTATTGGCATTGTTTTCCGTCGTAGAAGATCATTGCATGTTGTAAGTCCATGCGGGTGGTCAATCGAATCGAAGCACTGGCACCGTGCTGATGATGACAGGCGATGTATCGGCGAAGATATTATAATAGACAATATCGGGAATTTGAAAATATGTTAATCGGTTCTGAGGCTGGAATATTATCCTCAGGTCTGCCTCAATATTTGTCCGCGTCTAACTGGGACGAGAATTAGTTTCGTGGAGTCTCTCCGAAGAGTACACATCCCATCTCGGATCTAGTTTCCATAACGCCGCATCCTTGCCTGATGATTGCAGGCCTACACGATTGCAGATGACCCCTTTTTCGTTCGCCGTTCAACCACCCCGTCTCAGTCCGTCATTGCAGCATCTAGCGTCGCTGCTTGTTAGTCTGCCAATCTTGTGTGTGCAATGCAGAGGTTTTTTATAATCGCAGTTATCCCATTCTGGTACAATACTCCAAAAATACCATCCCAGGTATCACAATATTATTCCAACGACAAGCAAGATAACATGTAGTTCATGTCAGGTCAGTAGTGTATTACCCTGCGTTGTGTGAACATGGAATTCCTTCACACGATCGATATGGACTGACCCGTAAAATATATGCTATAGCATAACAATAATATTAGTAGAGCTGGAATTCAATTCATGGATATACAATGCAACTGCGCATGTGTACAACTATTGGACTGACCCGGTTCTGCATTTCCGTTTCCTCATCCTTAAGGAAATCATGCAGAGATTTCACGCTGCCTTGCCCTTGGGCTTTTTTAAAGACGATGGTGTTTACGCATTTGTAATTAAATGCAAACATTTGTTAATTTAAAGTCTGGCATGCTATGCAGTCCTTTCAGAAAAAGTGAATAGGCCTAGTGTGAACCTTTACCAAATTCTGTTTTTCAGTGATCCATATTATATAAGATGGTCTTGTTGGTATTGTCAAATGTCACACATTCAAATTGCATTTATTTCAATTCAATCCCCTTATTTCATGGTTTGTAGTGCCTCTGTACCTCTGTTTCGTTTTACCCAGACACCCTTTATTATTTGCGCCCTTTATTATTGTGTGCATGACAAGATTCCACCTTTAATCCGTCTTCATTGGTGGTTAAAAAAAAACTGAAAGTATTTTCCGTTTTATACGCAATCTCAGGCAGTCCCCAAGACTTTGTCCCTCCCTGGCAGGGCGTCTGATGATTCACTCCCTCATACTTCCCCCGTGTTTCCTGTCTGGATCTCGGGGCAAGACTTCCCCCGTCATTAGTGACCCGAACTATATGAGGATAAGCTAAGTTATAAAGTAAAAAAGTTCTGAGGCCGTGTTGGCATGAACTCTGTGCTGAGTTTCATTACTCAGAATATTTTTTTGTTAGATTGAGAGTTTTCGCTGAATTCGTTGGGTTTATAAAAATCTTAACCCGTAACGTAGATGTGACCCTAACACTCAAATTCACTAAGCAGTGTGTGTGTGTGTGTAACGTATTAAAAAGGCCTATAGCCACGATTTCAGATTTTATAGTATGGCGCCCTCTTCAGTTACACTGGTAGTTACAATGGTACAAGAACAAAGAGACATGATGGATTACTTTCTCTCTATTTTATGTTTAAGTTATTAGTTTTGTATATACCATATCAGTTTTGTTGAAGCGCTGTTTTCCTTCTTTGTACGAATAATAGGTGCAGAAGTGCATCATCAGGTGTGGCGATTATAATGACATATGAAGTATTAAAGGTAATAAGGCCTATACAACATTTGCTTTAGCTGTAATTTTCAGAAATAGACGGATATGGGGGTTGGTATTTTATAGCAAATATTGTTACACTGACCTGTTTAAAGTTTTGCGTATACTGACGCTGGTAAAACCAATAAAAAATTTTTTTAGTCTGTTTCCCTGATCCTACTTCAGACAAAACGGAGCAATTTATAGACGTAAGGCAGTTGTTAGGTCAGTAAATCGGACTAGCTGGCTTGCACCCCTTCACGGATGTGCAACTCATTGCAAACTAAATGTGGACTAACTAAATTTGGTGAAGTGGGAGCAGTATTTTTTTTTAAAAGTCAGTTGTTTGGTCAACGATGGTTGGCCAACCATCGGTTGGAAATTAATACAAAAATTCCACTTCTCTTTAAAATGACAGCATATCAGGTGCCATTATTTCACAGGATGCTCGAGACTATTATTCACTTACAGTCAAGTGAAGTACTGAAAGGGAAGATACAACATTTGCAAACATTACAAAACGAAATGATCAAATTATCAGGAAATACCTTGCTGGATTGTTAGGGATTGACAGTCTAAAGCATCCTGTAAAATCGTGGCTCCTGGTGTGCTGACATTTTCAAGAAAAATTGTATTTTTCCAACGCTGGTCGGCCGACCAGCGTTGGAGAAAACTGGCTTTTTTTCAAAACTGCTCCTAATTTTTCATAACTAGTTATTCCGTGTTTTCTTTGCAATTGATTACACAACTGTGAAGGGGTACAAGCCTACTAGACTGATTCTCTCCTCTCTCATCTTACAATTTCCCAAAGTCTATAAATTCTCCGTTTCATCATAAGTGGGGTCAGGGAAACAGACTACAAGAACATGAATGGTTTTCTTGGTTTTTCCAACATCTACAAGCCCAAAACGTAAAACAAGTCATTTTAACAATATTTGCTATAACATACTAATCCTCCAAATCCATTTATTTCTGAAAATTGCAGCAAAAGCAAATGTTGTACATTCCCTTTAGGTTAAATTTGTTTGATGACTGTGCTTTGGAAGTAAAAAAAATTGTTTGGAAGAACTTATTTGGAAGTTTGTGGCGGTCTAGAAGTATAGACCTCGCGCCCATGTACCTGAATGATCAATATTTCAACAGTATTCTATTCGTGTTTATTGAGCAGTTAAGGAATGTTAATAGAGGTGAGAATGGAGCAAAATGTAAGGAAGATTTGGGGGCATGCCAGTATTAAGCGCTACGACAAAATACCGTACCTTTGGACTTTCTGGTTCCCGTTCGGAGGTTGACGTCCTTCGCCCGAATTCAAACCGATCTACAGCACCTGGGAAAATAAAATTCATATACGAAATATACCACCAGAAGAAAATGTATGTTATTATGGAACCTGATCTGAAAATTCGACACTCTCATTGGTGTGATATTGTCACGTGACTATATACATTTGTACATTTAATGGAGATGTCAAGAGGCTATAGGTTCTCCGTTCTCATGGGGACGATAACAATACAATACTGACTCACTGGGAGAGGATTGTCCTTGTTTCCCCAGACAGGACCCTCTTTAGAATCTCCATGGCTCACTGGGATGATGTTCTGGCATACATGAGAGGCTTTCTATTATGTTTAATACATTTCGCATGCGCTACGTTACGTTCATGGACTATGTACTTCTTTCCTGCTGGTTACATACGAGTTTCCGTTTTAAGCCATTTCGTCTTTAACAGAGCATCGCCAATTGAGTTGCATTGTTGAAGCACATCATTTTTTTTTTGCAACATGGGATTCCTAAAAACATGCAGGTTCAAAGCATCAACCGCCAATTAATACAACTTCATTGAGATAACAAAACGATCTCATCTGAATACTCAGGCTCGAAATCAGTGGTCGTCTTCCTTTGGCCTTCGACAAGATGACACATAATGTACGACCAGCGTTTAGTTCAACTAAAAAGTTTGCATAACTTGAAATATTAAAATTTTGTTACACCAACCTGATATTATTGACATGCGCGACAATTTCTTCCGGGCTGGCTTTTTAGGCAGAGAGGCGCCGCTGTTAGCCATTATCATTCACCGACACAAACAAATCTAAAGCGTCCACAAAAATTGCCAGTATACGTCTTAACTGCGTGCGAGCAGATGGACCTATGAATAACTATAGTACTGTACACTATATAAAAACATGACGCACTTTGTAGCATCACCGTTCAGGTATAATGCTCGTATACCTAATAAGCACATGTAAGTAAACAACGAAACGGCCTCATAGTTTTGAGACAGTTTCAAAAACCATGTTCGTGCAACACCCTCTCGCATCCAGGAAATGTAAACTGGCAACTAAGTGAGCAAAGCTCTATTAATCATTTGCCCAATGTAAAGTCATCATCCGTATGCTTACCCTGCACGTTTGAACCTCTGCCGTCCATGGCTTTTGCAACACTGGCTTTTACAACAGTTTTGAGGCTAACCTCGTCATACTTTCTGAACGGGGGGTTTTAACACTGCCAAATAGCTTGGGCCTTTGTAGAGGGCATAGTTACTGATGCAGGACGAGTGAACCTTTTTGAAGCCGGGGTCAACATGGCTGACAATAACACTTGTAAGTTGTAGTGGGTTATAAAAAACTCTTCAGTCGATTTTATTTACGAACGGTCTTGCATGGGTTGTTGGGAATGTCCCTTTTTGATATACGAGGGCTTAATGCATAACTTCGTATTTAAAGGAGGGCTGACAGTACTAATGATATTTTTTTTTGGGGGGGGGGGAGACGAATCGAGTCTGCTCAGGCATATCGAGCAAGGGTCTGTGAGTGAGCTCTCTTTTCGGCATGGTGATTGGGAAACTGACTATTATAAAAGCACAAGAATACTACAAAATCGTTCTGAAAACGGAATTTTTTGTACAGTCCAATATGTAAATTGTAATTACTTTACTGCGGGGCACGGTTGGTAAATGCTAGGTTCACACATTCCCGATTTTTAAGCTGAATCGCCGCGAATAACAATTCTTGAGTGAATCGGCGGGAATGGTTCTTGGCTGCCTCGGGATGATTATGTTTGTTCGGTGAAAGATCGTGAAAGATCGGGAAGTGCCCCGACAAATTCGAACATGTTCAAAATTGTCGGGTTGATTCGGGAACCATTTTAAATTCTAGGTTTATTCTGGTTGTAGACTTATTCACAACTAATTCGGGAATGTGTGAACCTAGAATCACGTCCAGCGTCCTGGATTACATGTATTAAGGACAATGGTTGTATTATGGCAACAAAGATTACAAATTGTTACAAAACACAGATGTCTGAGATTTAGTCCATCAATCGAGTTCCCACTTTAATGTGACACAAAATGTAAGCAACAAGCTTTCAACAAAGATAGTCCGATACTTGTCATGATTGGTGCACTTGTTTCCGTTTCGGCGCAAGCAATCCCCAACCCTTTTTGAACACAGTAGTGTATACAAATTATAATAATTGTAATAATTGTAGTCAAAAATCTGTTACTTTGGTTTTGCACTTTGGGTAAGATTCTATGGCGCCCTCACGTACTCCACCATGAACTCGCGGATTGTTTACGTATTGTGCGCCCTCTATTGACTGAAACGGGAAATTTAACCAGGAGACAGTAGTCCATTAATTCAGCGATACTGAAAGAATTCCAAAAATAAACCCTTCTAATTGCTATCCATGTACTCAGAATCTAAAGCAGTTAATTTCGATAGATTTCTGCCACTGCCTTCCTCAGTATTGTGTCAACAGAGGGCGTTTTACATTATACATGTATGTCCAATGTAACAAGTACAATGTAATCAAAATGAACAAAACAATTGCGGCTGATTTTTCTGGTTTTCATCTTAATGTTCGGAAGCACGCTACTCACAATTATAGTAGACCTCGCGTTGCCAAAATGCTGTAATTAACACACAATGAAACGGATATGGCTACCCAGCCCTACATCCTCGACATCCACAACGAGAGTTTGCTGCAGTATTGATCCAGATCCAGATACTCGGATGGAAATTTAACGCCCCAAGTATTGCATCGTCCCAGGTATCTAGATGATGAGCCTGCCCCAGTGGCGCACCCAAGGGGGGGGGGGGAGCCCTCGGAAGGCTTGAGTCCCCCCCCCCCCCCCCCCCCCAAGGTTGTCATTTTTTTGTTGGGGGGGTTAAAAAAAAATAGTCCTTCGATTTGACCTTGGTGATAAGTATGTGGCCTATAATAGGGGTGTGAGTGACGCCACCAACGTCAAAATGGTCCGCCCCTCCAAAAAAAAAACACTGCGGCCAAAAATTTGGGGCAACATTGTTTGAACAAAATTAAACGGCTTCTAAAAAAATTAAAAAAAAAATTGTGAGGCCCCCCCCCCCAGCCAAATCCTAGGTGCGCCACTGGCCTGCCCCGACTGTTTCAACAGCAGTTGGGGCCGTTGCTATTGTTCAGGAGTAACACTTGGGTTTGGACAAAGTGATTTCGGATCTACAAATGAATCGAAACCATAAAAATAGACAAGGCCCAAGGTTTGGAAAACCGCTTCAACTACTTTGACTCGTATACTTACTTGTATGTCTTGGGCTTGGTGACGGCCGAGTCCATGACGTCCGAAACCCAGGGGATCTGGCTTGAAATGAAGACATCTTTGTTCGACACCGTCAGAAGTTGACCAGTTGGTTCTCCCAAACAGACTTGCCTCAGCCGACGTGGACTACCATTCAGCGTATGTTAGACAAGGGAGGTTGTGTAATTGGTTTGGAGGAAGCAGATCACTCGGAGGCTATTCTTAAGCGGACAGGAGTGATTAGAACCTATTATTAGAGACCTTCGGTAGATGACTCAACACATACACCACAGTTTTCTTGTTGCATGAGGAAAATCCTCGCTTATATAGAAGACTTACGCGACCTCCTTGGTAAGATCTTTATCTTTCGACGCCAGATTTATTATTTCCAATCATAACAACGCTCGACCTCTCTCTCTTTCTGCTCCTCTTGGATGCACGATTCCTTCCCGAGTTACCTCATCTCTGTTTTAAATTATTCTAAATCTCGAAGTTGAGAATAAGACGATGCTTGATGATGGAATAATGATCACTGAAGTTTCTTTCCCGTGTTCGACCTCTTCATAGGGTCTCGGTTCTCCAGTATGCAGTCCTATCACAGCACGGAGAACCTGTAACCTCTACAGAATGTATCTTTAAGCCCAAGATTTCTTTTGGTCGTAAAATGCATCAGCTTCCGCTTAACGTTAACTGAGCCCATCTGTGATGTATGGTGGCCATCAGCTTGGTCTATGAATATGGGCACAGTGTTAACCTTTTACCAAGTTGACTCACCTGCAAGACAATTCTTGTTGTTTTTGTTTTGTAGAATGCACAGCAGGTATACGTATATTTTTGCCGGTGGTTGCCACTCATGCACCACAGAGATGCAAAGTAAGCAAGTCAAGAAATGTACGATGATCCTGGAGCTTGCTGGAACAAAGTGCTGCCTTGTACCTCACCATCAGACGCTAAAACCACCAGGGGTGACCGAGGCAACTGATTAGACGATCCGTGAAGGACAAAGTTAATCGGCAGCCGCTCGTGAGAAACCTCTCATCAGATCGTCACACCCACCTCACGGCCAATCCTGTTCCTTGCTCTATGTTCCCATCAATACGACCAGTAAGCTTAGCCACGTCACGAACTCGGGCCTGGATTACACCATGGAGGAATGAGGAGAATTGGTGTATTGTGCGTGTGTGATTATGCATACACACAGGTATTGACAGTCAACAGCCTAGCCCTCGAGGCGTGACTCGCTGAGCATCAAAAGCCACTGAGTCCGGCCGGCGATCGTCAACATCAGTGAAATGACATCCTCCTTTGGCCCTTCATTGCTGCAACCCACTCAGCCGGACCAATGCATGTACAACACTACGATATGTACTTCGTCCATCAGATTTAGCAGCAGGGAGCTCAGCCCAAATTGCCTCCCGATGTATAGGCCTACAACACCCCCTCTGTGCCCTTACAATGCGCCTGTAATCTCGGTTTGATGAGAGGATAAGAGATCTGCCCAAGAAGCCGTGAATCAGGAGGACAAAGGATGAGAGAATGTAAGCCTGAGATTGAAGATGGTCCGAGCCCTGTGTGATGAGGCAATTGTCCCATAGCATCACTGTGCGTGAGACCCGGTCCTTTTGACAGGCAGCAGAAGCGCCATGGTGTTGTCGCGCCGTGCAGTCTTCGCATGGGGTTAATGAGTAACTGACATGGCACACAAGACAGCTCAGTTCCCTGTAAATCAAGCGTGCACTGTACATGTATTAACATAAAACCATGGCATCCATCTATCTACCTACCTCTGTACCTGGAATATTTGATGTGGCACACGGGAATATCCTCTCTCTTTGTAGATGCTGATGTCGATGATTAATCGTTTCGTATTGCAGACAGTGCGAACATTTGGACACAATTTTTCGTGACATAAAACCGATGCAAAATCCAAACTAATTCAAACGAAAACAGCTCTTTGTTGAAGGACAAACCGTAACTATACTTAATGTATTGCTTTGGCCCTCAGTCTTGATGTACATCTATTTTGTAAAAAGAGGTTCAATTTCAAAAGTTATTTATACGTTCTTGTGCCAATTCAAAGCTGAGTTATACTTTGACTACAGAATCACCTGATTAAATACAGTATCCGAAAATGAGTGGTATATATAATTTCTTAATTGATTTTAAATTAATATAAATTGTAGACCATGTTACCTATGACGTCATACCAACGGTCAACCGACAGGTATCCCTAACATTAATGCATCATCTTCACCTTTTGAACGACAAACTCTATTTATTGATTTATGTACTTAATCGTGTATTCTCTGCTTGCATTTCTCATTTTGGTATGAAAATAAATGTGAGTTTTGAATTGAAAATTGAACTGAATGTCATTTTGCCCACATTAGATATTTTATGTCACCACTTTTACACCAATCGCATTTCAAGAGATACACATGAGGTGCAGAGAGAACAGTTTTCCGAAAGCTGGCACGACGTGACCACAACCAACCGTAACAAAATTTAATATAACTTGTTAAACTTTATCTCCACCTTTTGAATGACAAACAAAAAGCACCCAAACCTGCGCAAATTCTTTCTTTTCTCTGATGGTACCCCTCCCCTTTTTTACATTTGCCTGTTTACTTCCACTGGTAAACTATCTTCTTCACTAAGACAAAATTATCCCGTTTCGGTAATTTGAAAGATCAAAACAAACTTTGAGAGCTATATAAGAATGAAACTATGTAGCAAGTTTTAGAAGACGTACCTCGAGATGGTATACATCCTGCTCATTATTCCCCCTACTTGAAATCACACCGGGATTGTTTGATCATTCTTTTGTCGACTTTCCATTAAGACGTGGAGATATTTTGATGGGAAAGTAGGTAAACTTTTACAGTATAAAGGTAAACACGAACAGCAAGGCAGACCTCGAGCTCATTGTTTGTTCGAGTTTTTTTTCCTGATCAAAAGTAGGCGCCAGGACGTTTTCACCAATACAAGTAGAAGGCAATAGCACGACAACAATGGATGTGTTGTAAAACGGAGAAGTTAGCCGAGAGAAAATTTCCTCACTTAATTGTAAAACAACCAAGTACAAAAGACAACCATATCTATTTTAGGTTCTGAGTAAAATGGGACAGAATAATTATTTGCCAGTGAATTACCATTGGTCGATAGAGGGCGCCACTTAAGTGAAACGTTCGAAAGTCCGCGGTGTGGCATGAAATTTGTTCTATGAAATAAGGACTCTTTGAATTGAATATGTATGCTTTAGTGAACTTAATTGGGCAGGGGCACGTCATATGTGTGAAATAAAGTCCAATATAGGTGCCCCCCCCCCCCTCCTGATTTCATAAATGTCAAACTTTTACATGACACTTGTTCGAGTGCATGTGTGGTATAAGGGCTTAGGGATGAGGTTGTTTTTATGTTCACCTGTTTACAACGAAGGCCTGGATAATGACACATTCAAACTTAAATAGGACGTTCTGTTAGACCACACAATATCCAAATATGAGAGAATTTGTATTTTGACAGGATACAGCTAAAACATTACAAATGAACATACTGAATGTGGGGTGGGTATAGTTGGTTTGAACACCCCCCCCCCCAACCTCCCCGATAACATCCCAAGTAACAATCATGAAACATGCATGTTTGAGTACAAAATAACAAAAAGAAATATGATAGCAACCGCGTTTCATTATTAGCAGCCTAATTTCTGCAACTTCAGAGAGGTCCAAATCCACCGATCACCCTTGCGAGGCCACCAGTGACTGATACCTCTTCAAAATAAGAAGCTTCATGTTTTATTATGTTTGTTGTGATTTTATAATCAAGCCTCGAGGTTTTGCTGCTACGGAATTTGGCATTAAATTGATTGAAGACATGGATTACATGTTTTTCTAACAAGAAACCTTTATAATAATACCTTTCATCATCTTTTCCGTCATCGGTCCTTTGTAGATGATTGGTGCGTTGTTGATTGCTGAATCTCACCTTTTTTTTCTTTTTGGTATTTATTTATTTATCATGAATTGTTAAAACTTAGTAGAGATGTGAACACGTGAACTTTCAAACATCGTTCCGGGAGCTGAGCCATCAATTCCGAAAAACTGGAACAAAAGTTGAGTTTTCTAGTAATAGAGGCATCTGTCAGAGCCACGATGTACAATTATGCTATGACCGTCCCCTATAGTGGGCGCAGACATCCGCGATTTCTTTTTTTACGTTGGCTTATCTAGCTCCCAGACATGTGTTCTTGAACTTGAACTCAATGTTTCTGGAGTGCTGAATGATAATACCTAACAACCAATGAAAACTGGTGTGCAAATGAAAAGATGTTTTAATCGGATGACGTCAGCCCGCTTCACCTTAACCAACTATGCTGCCTTAAAGGGAAGATACAACATTTGCAAACATAAAAAACACACGAAATGATCAAATTATCACAAAATACCTTACTGAATTGTTAGGGACTGACATTCTAAAGCATCCTTTAAAATCATGGAACCTGGTGTGCTGACATTTTCAAGAAAAACTGTGTTTTTCCAACGCTGGTCGGCCGACCAGCGTTGGAGAAAACTGGCCTTTTTCAACAACTGTTCCTAATTTTTCATATTTAGTTATTCTGACTTTTCTTTGCAGTTGATTACACACCTGTGAAGGGATACAAGCCTGCTAGACTGATTCTCTGACCTAACAATTCCTCAAAGTGTATTAATTGCTCCGTTTCATCTTAAGTGGGATCAGGGAACCAGACTACAAGAACATGATAGGTTTTCTTGTTTTTTCCAGCATCTACAAGCCCAAAATGTGAAACAAGTCAGTTTAACAATATTTTCTATAACATACTAATCCTCCAAATCCATTTATTTCTGAAAATTGCAGCAAAAGCAAATGTTGTACATTCCCTTTTTTAAAGACATTCTCAAATTTAGTAAAAAATGAAATTCCCCAGGTGAGGATCGAACTCACAACCTCGGCATATCAATGAACAGCCGCAGTGTGTACTGTCTTATAAGTACCGCGCGCTAACCGATTGCGCCACTGGGGAACCCTGATGAGATCGTTGGTCAAGGAAATTCTCGAATCATCTAGCCAGCCGCATGTGAATGCCTTACTAGTTGGCTACGGCTTGTTGTAATATAAACGTGCGGCTTACACGCACGTTTTATTTTGTTTAACCTTCATCGAGTGCCATTTTGTATGGGCTACCACATAAGGGCATCGTGGTTGGGAACAGATTTGGCTACAAACTAAATTATCATTAAACACCTTTATTATATTTAAGAAAGTGGCATTTTTATTATTCTTTTTCAATGAGATGTTTGTGCATAAAATTGAAAGCACTCATTTTTTTTGCGATGTTGACCCTCCACAGTTTGCGTGACAGACCAATTGCATGGCAGCCATCTTGGGGTGCAGTTCTGTTGTTTCGCAGTTGCATGAGCAGTTTGCTGCCCCTTCCGAACAGGCACATTTTCGACGGGCCCTGCACTAGTAATATTAAAGAGATGGATGATTAATTTTGCATTGTTAATAAATATAAATACTTTAGACATTATGCTAATACTGTATTGTCGCTGTCCAATCAGAGCACGAGTAAGGAGTTCCCATCCCAGGGCCTAGCCGCTTGGAAATAAAGTAGTCCCTGGACCCATGGGAACGAGGTTGCGGGAACCAGTCAACACGCCTTTAAATCTTCAACTACACGTTAATCGTAAAATAGCATTCATTCATACTGACGTGCAAGTCGTCACGCACGCTTTGCCTTTTGTTGATCATCGAACCGTTCAAAATTCACCTTTTTAACTGCACCACGTCAACAAACGGGCCATTCTAAAATAGCTGTTGGGAATCTAGAATACTTTGTAATGATTTCTATTTGGAAACAGCGTCGTTTTATTCGAATTTAGTTGAGGTAGGAACTGGTCGAAAATTCCTGTTTTCGCCGGCAGGAAGGGTTTTTCTCCGCGCAGACCACACGCATGCGTGAGTGTTGTCGAATGTCGTCAGAGCCCAACCCACGGCGAGCCTCCTCCATTCACGGTAAACGAACTTCTCCGTAGATCGTCGGCCATGTTGTCCGTTCAGTTGCATCAGAACGGGAAGGGATAACAATTTCGCGACGAGAGCGGTGGTTTCGTATTAATTTTCAAGTGACCTTTCGTACATGTTCATATCACTTGCCTGCTTCAGGAATTATGAGCAGTTTTCAGTTTTCCACGCCGGAAGACATACGTGAGTATACTCTCTTTGCTTTTGTTTTTTTTTAGGCCCTATAATTTTTCGCATGAGAAATGTAATACGGAGTCATTGCCACTGCACTGCGAGTGTCACTGTCAGTTGTCGAGTTTATCTTGATGTCTGTGTTTTAAGTAGTACTGTTCTAGTGAATCTAGTAAGTTAAAATCATAAAAAGGCAAAGCTAAATTGATCAAAAATGAAACGGGAAAAAATGTTGCAACCTGACGACAAAGTTTAGCGGTTGTGTACAAAGTCTATTTTTGAAGAGTCAAGAAATGTTTTAAAGTATTTCCTAACAAAATTGGAAATGTTTCTCAGTCCCAGATTCATGTCTTATCATCATTTTGCAATGACTGACCTTCATTGAGATGATATATGTGATGCGATCAAGCTACATGAGTCGTTTGTCGGGAATTTTCATTTGGAGATACTGGCCAAAATAGGACCACTTCATCACATCACCTTATCACATTTCTTGGTGTTCCGACTTCCATAATTTTTTAACTAAAGATGGAATCAGGATGCGGTTTTCACTCTTTTCAAATCTGTAAGTGTAATAAACCACATTTCGACAGGGGTCGACAAACGACTCATTTACTGTAGCTTGACCAGCTTCACATATGAAGAAAAAAGTGGCCTCAGGTTGCAACATTTTTTCTATGAAATGCACATGACATTTTAATCTAGCCTAAACATGACTTGGCAAAAACCAAGCAATTGTAAACAGAGCTGGCTTGTGCAAGTAGATGCAAGCCACGTTTATTGACAATGTTGTTTCATGGGCTTGCACTCTGTAGTGTTGTCACAGTCACACCACAATTTCTTGCTCTCCCATTGGTTAGTTTTAGAGGTGTGACCGTTTGGTCATGAATATAACTACCCAGCCCGGCCCTTTGATAAGATGCATCAGAATAACAAAGGCCCATTACATAACATCCTTAAAGCCCAGTGAGTGTGGTTTACTAGTACAATCATAGATGCTTGCTCTATGGTGTAATACAGTGAAATCTTGATAGGTCAAACCTCAAGGGAACAGGTTCAAAATTTGAGTTTGGCAGTTGTATATGGCGTGTCAAACGTTGCAAAATTCAAATGTTTCAGTATACAGTGCGTGAAATTACAGTCGGACATCGGACATTTTCCGACCACTTTCATGGTTTGTCCGACCAAATGCAGATGTGCTCGGACAAAATGTCCGAGCGATTTATGTATTCTTTGTGGAGTTGTCTTTTTCAGAAGTATGAAATAAACGGTTGCACTCAAAAGTATTTTGTTGTTTTACTTTATTTCCGATGATCCGGTCTGTAATACTTACCGTACGCTGAGCGGCTGCTAACTACATGTACGTGTTGTCTTATATTCACGCAATAGATGCAACGCGTTTACACCCCAATACATGTAATGAGAATTTAGCAAGATCAAAGTACGTTGTGTTGCGCGGTATGCTTTAAGTGCGTGATTGTTACTAAATTCTCACAACGTGGCTTACTACAGAAACGAGCGCGTGAATGCCCGGCGCTTGTCATTGCAACTACATAGTGTGTATTATGGATACGTACGTACGTACGTAAACATACATACTGTACATGTACACACGTGTATGTACCGTCCACGTGTTTGAAGTAAACGCGGCCTTTTGAAAGTTCGTCTCGCAAGGTTTCACAGAGTAATTTACTTGGGAAAAAGGAGCATTTCAAGTTTTCAATCATGAAGAGAGCACTATGTAAGTATGTTTTAACTAGTCCTCGACTGTTGATAACCTATTTGTTTGCTCATGTGACCTTCAAATTTGGAACGCTAAATGGCAGATCAAAACTTGACAATGGCAGAACACTTTTGATTGTGCTCGGACATTTTGTCTGACCACTTTTTTTGTCTAATTTCACGCACTGGTATATATGTTTGATGTTCAATATTTATGTGTTATCTTTTACATTTATGTGTGATGTTCAATATATGTGTGCGATGTTTTTCAATATTGTGTGTGATGTTCAATATATGTGCGATGTTTTACATGTATGTGCGATTTTCAATATATATGTGCGATGTTTTACAATATATGTGCGATATTTTCAATTATGTATGCGATGTTTTACATTAAATGTACAACGATTTCGATGTAATTATGTGTGATGTTTTACAGTATATTTGCGATATTCTCAAATATGTGAGCGATGTTTTACAAATATATGTTTGATATTTCGAGCAAAACATTTTGGTGTTTTTACTTCTGTATTTGATATTTCATCGTATATGTATTCGATCTTTTGCAATATGCATTTGATGTTTCACTTTACATTTGATGTTTCGTTAAGAGTCGCAGTCTGGTTACTAGACCGCAAAAGGCTGAACATTTTCCTAAAGTCAGTGTATGAGACGTGATTAGAGCCAGACCTAAACGGTAAAAACCGAAATTGTGGGTAATCTTGGATCATGTGCAAAGCAGTCATTGTTTGGGCAGTACCACCAGCTGAATGTGTTTGTTATGTGGATGTTTATGATGTTAGCATGGTGCTATAAAAACCAATCTGCGCAGCAGTACCGGGTGCAATTTATTCATCATAATTCTCGGATAAACAGCCCATCCAGTGTTGTATAAACAAGAGATAAGAGTTACAGAATTCGTTGGCTTTAAATAAATGGCAGACGCGAGGGCTTCCTTGCTCTATGGTGAGAGACTGAGGATATTTTTTGGCAAAAAAATGTTTTCTTTTTTAAAACTTCACGGATTAATATTTAGTGCAAGGGGTGAAATAATATTTAATACTAATAGACACATAACAGTGAACATTTGACATGGTCAAATGTGACGACGAATGGAATGTTAGTAGTGGGCAGCAGGGAAAGAACGTAGTATCCAGATGCCATGAAGTCTAGATGGAGAGTCGAGAAGTATTTCCAACAAAATCGGAAATGTTTCTCAATCCCAGATTCATGTCTTTCCAATGATTGACCTCTATTGTGATGATATATGAAGAAAAAAGTGGCGTCAGGTTGCAACATTCTTTCCGGCAGCAGTTTGAAAATTCCAGGCCGCTCATTAAATTTGGTCTAATTACTGAAAAAGCACTTGACCAGTGATTAGTTTGAGTCCTTTGTTTAAGTGCATGCCATATTTGTGCCGATATATTGGCTCATCGAGAGTGAAGCAACGGGAGACTGTTAAGACGTTGGTGGCAGCAAATACACCGGTCCTTTTTTTCCATTGTTTGCGTCATATTGAGCATGTGTGCTTTAGCTTAAACATGATGTAAACAATTGAAAAGGACTGGTGTGTTTGCCGCCAGCAACGTCTCAAAAGTCGCCCATTAAAAAAAATGCTTTGTTGCAGTTGCACAGTACCGTGTCATTTAATTTGTAACATATAAAACACAGGTCTGTGCTAAGAAATCTCAGTTATAAACAATCCTAGATTTGTAGTCCTGTGCATGAACTTAATCAAAACCTTGTGCATCCCCGATCTAAACTTTGTCCGTCATAATCAATCATGTCTCCACAATTCTCCTTGGAACTGTTTCAGCCAAAGCCCAGCCTATATGCGACCTGCGACCTCAGACAGGTAACCAGCACCAGGTCCTTGCCTACAGGAACAGTTCAGCCAACCATGAGACTTGGTCTGTGACGTTTGCGCCGGACCGCTCCTACTTTGCCTGGTCGTCAGGAAATTGCATAGTCAGACTTGTGCCTTGGGATGCCCAGAGAAATACAGTGTAAGCATCAGGTTGAGGCCTGAATGAATAAAGTTTTAAAATTGTTCTGCTTCCAAAAACGGAATTTGCAATAAAAGTGACCTTTAAACCAACATAAATAGAAGGCCTAGTGTTTTGATCCTTCGCATGACCTTTCCTGAAGGTAAAAAGATACCCATACATCCACACTATTGGATTTTAGCACCTGGGTTAACCCTAACCCCCTAGGCCCTTTTTGCTAAGAACCATCCTCAATCCTCCCAAATCCTCCAAAATTTTGCAACTACGCCTAAATTTTTCAAAATTGTCAGACAGCACTGCCTCGAATGCATTCATTGTCAATCCTCCAAAATCCTCCTCATCCCAAAATTTTGCACTCATGTTTAAATGGAGGATAACCAATGCCAAATCCTTCAAAATCATCAGACAGTCCTGCCTCAAAATGCATTCATCCTCAATCCTCCAAAATCCTCTTGTGCTTCAATCACCATTCATCCTCAATCCTCTAGAATCCTCCAAAACCGCCAGGAGGATTTTGGAGGAGTGAGGTAGGTTAGGGTTAACGGTGGACATTTTCTAAAATTACCACCAAAAAAATTATCCTCAAAGAAGGAATGGAATGGCATTGAGGAAAGCATACGTGTATACATGTCTCTTAGGCCAAAAAAAAAAAGTCTCCGGTTTCTGGTATGCGCGCGCGTCGCCGTAGCCATGCGCGTCGGCAAAATGAAAAAGTTTTTTTTTCAATACAAGATGATGTCTCAAAACCGCCAAACTCACTGGTTTGACTGGAATTCTGCTGCTGCACAATTTTAACGTGTTTTTAGATGGGGTTATGATCGAGAATAAGCTTTATGTGGCCTCTCTGGACTCCCATATATTTGCACTAAGTTTAGTCGGGCACCATTTGCAGTCATCAGCCGACATTTGAAGCCAAAAAAAAAAAAAAACACGTAAAAAATAAAAAAGCCGCGTCGCCGCACCACTTTTGGGGCAAGCTCCATACCAGAAACCGGAGACTTTTTTTTTTTGGCCTTAGGCTTAGCTTCAAAGTTCAAAGCAATGACTTTACAAATGTAACTAAAATTTTGGGCAGTGTGCTGTAGATAGAGCTACTTCAATGTAATTGACAAATTCATCATTGGCATTCTTAGGGCTTCAAATGCCCAGTGAACTTTTGGACTGAGTCCAAAACTTAGGTGTCTTTCATTGCACTCTGTGCCAGACTAGACCCCTGATCTAGTGGGGTTTTTTAACAACTGACCTATTGTGCTAGATGCTCCATTTGAATAGCCAAGTCAAGTTTTAACTAAAGGTCAATCTGAAAATGAATAAAACTGCTGCAAACTCAGTGCTTTCTGAATGGATTGACCTCGCTAAATATACACACCAAAACAACTAGAGTAGAGGGCCTAACACATTGATCCTAAACTTTTCATAAAGTGCGTATTTACTTGTAGTAAAACCATAAATGATCTTTAGACTTAAAGGGAATGTACATCATTGGCTTTTGCTGTAATTTTCAGAAATGAACTATTTGAGGTGTTAGCATAATAGATGAAATATTGTTAAACTAACATGTTTGAAGTTTTGTGTTCGAAAATGCTGGAAAAACCAAGAAAAACAAAAATGTTCAAATAGTCTGGTTCCCTGACTCCACTAAAGATGAAATGGATCAATTTATAGATGCCGGAAAAATGTAAGGTATGGAAACCAGTCTAGCTGGACTGCCTGCACCCATTCATGAACATGTAACCAATAGCAAACAAAATTTGGACTGAAAAAGGGTACATTTGCAGCAGTAGTTGAAAAGTAGTTAGGTTTTTCCAACGGTGTTGTTGGCCGACCACTGTTGGAAATTTATACAAAAATACCACTTTTCTTGAAAATGACTTCACAGCAGGTGCCATAATTTTACAGGATGGTTTAGACTGTCATTTACCAACATCCTAGTAAGGTATTTCGTACAAACTTGGTAGTTTTGTTTTTTGATGTTTGCAAATGTTGTATTTTCCCTTTAAAAAATATTGGGAAATCGATGCTTACAATTATGTAAAGGAGGTGGCTGAGCTTTGAAGCTGCATAGTCAGATGCTTGTAGGGTTAAATTTGTTTCTTCCACTGTGCCATGGCAAGTAACACCAAGTTGTAGTTCCCAAACCAGTTGTGTCACTGTCAAACTATGTAATTTCATGTTTATTTTGAAATATTATCAACAAATTTTGTTTCATAAATTTTAAACAAAAGTTCCCCCTTTTTCGCCCGTGTCTCGCAGTCAGGACATAAACAATGTCAACGTCATTCGCTATGGTGCAGTCAACCTGCAGCGGAACCAGCAGCAGTACCTGCAGCAGCAGGATCTGCAGCAGCAACAGCAGCAGCAAGAAGAGCAGCAGGACATGACAACCAATCGCGAGATGAAAGTCATCCGCTGTGGCGAGCCCGTCTGGTCCCTGGCCTTCGGTGCCTCTAAGCCCCACAAGAGGTGGAAGCATATCAACATCAAGTACCACCACTTTGAGCACCTGGACTCCAGCTACGACTTGATCCTGGCCATCGGGCTCAAATCAGGCAAGATCATGACGGTCGACATCGCTACAGGTTGGTAGAAAGTTGCATATTAAGCCTCGGTCAATAGTGCAAACGAACACTTCGTGTTTCAACTGAACACTGTGAGCAAGTTTGGGCGAGAGGTATGATTCAGGATAGTTTGACAACTTCACTGGCACATAGATTAGTCAACTATAGAGGAATCCGGGCGTGTGAACGTGAACACAGTACACTCACTGCCCCCCCCCCCCTCTTCAATGAGGAAACCATTGTGCGTGCCATTGTACAAATCAACTGCCCCCTGACAAATTATTGGAACAATAGCTAGCACAATGATTTCACCATTAAAGGGGGCCTCCGTGATAAAAAAGATAGAAAACATGGATTTGTCTTCGGTCTAGTCAACAATATGACACTGGTTGAATCACTGGTTACCAATCAGCATGCATTATTGCACAGCAGGGAGCCAGGACTGAAAAGTTGACATTTGACCAATGTTTGAATCAAGAAGACATTTTATTATACAGGGTGAGTAAAAAAAAAAAAACCCAAATGTCGGGACTGTTGTTTTAGTGAAGTTCTGCATGTAGCACTTTCAAAATCTAAGATATGAAAGCCCAATTCATAAGCTTTCTTTTAGTACAAGAATCATTCAAATCACTCATGTACTTTTTAAGTTACGGAATTTTAAACACAACCACTGTTTTTAAGGTTCTGTCCATGGATCACAAAAAAGGTGTGCGTTCTTTCAGCAAAACGAAAACAATTCACACACATCTCTAGGTGATTTCTTTTCATTTTGCTGAAAGAACACCAACCTTTTAAGTGATCCATGGACAGAACCTTAAAACGATGGTTGTGTTTAAAATTCCGTAAATTAAAAAGTACATGAATGATTTGAATGATTCTTGTACTAAAAGAAAGCTTATGAATTGGGCTTATATATTCTAGATTTTAAAAATGCTACATGCAGAACTTCCCTAAAACAATGGTCCCAACATTTGGGTTTCTTTTTTTCTTGTCACCCTGTAGTGCTACATTATGTAGTTAATCTTTTATTTTTTTCTTGGCTTTATGAGTGAACTGTAATGTCATTTCAGGACCACCTTAGGTAATGGGAATGAAATCCGTTGTTATGTGCATCGTGGGCAATGTTTCATTGGCAAATTTCCAACTAGGCCACGGTAGGCTGCCATGTGTCTAGCGATTGCGGATTATCATAACACAGTTCAGATAGCAGAGTTCTACAGAGTTCCCACATTTCCAAGTATAATCTACATGTAACACGTACATAGTGAACTTTGCTCACTTTACCAGTAATTATGATCCAGTGAACTTCCTCTTCTATCAGTTTTGTAAATAAAGTCTGAAGATCAACTGAGACGCTATCATTCTATTGCATAATTGCTCAGCAGGCGACCAGGAAAGTCAATTTTTTTTACTGACTTGTTCATTCCAGACAGAATGGCAAATATAAACAAATGTGTACGTGCCGAGATTCCCCGTGTTGTCAGAAGTATTTTAGGTTCAAGTCCATAGCCAAACACATCTCCAAAATGTTTATTTCTTCCACTGGTTTAAGGGGCATTCCATAAATTTGGGGTCCAAATGTTTGCGTCCCTGTTACTGATGGATGTAAGATTTTGTAATTCAGGATACATTCTTTAAAGGTAGAGTCCATCATTTGCAGCCATCCGAGAAGTAACTGGCGTAATTATTGTTGAAAAACTAACTTGGTTGAAAGATAGTAAGGGGACTAAACTCCCTGTGAAATTATTCTTTCTGGGAAGCTGTCATTTTGAAGTAATCAACGAAAGAAGGCATTTCCAACGGTGATTCTTAAGAAGCACCGTAGGAAAATTTAAATTAGTAGTTCGTTTTGTTATTCAGCGAAGCGCGCACAAGTATTCGAACGACGCACACGCGCGCGCGGTTGTTATAATTCGTCGGATCAGTGCGCGACGTCGCGTATAGTTGCAATTCAAAACAATTCAAAACATGATTCAGCAACTTTTGATTTGAAATTGAGATCTTAGAATGCTGTTTTTCTCGGAATGTACAGCTGAAGCTTAGCTGAAACTTCATCAGGTTGGTTGCTCAGTATCCTTCATTAGATTTTGAACTCTTTTGTTGCTTCAAACGAACAAAATGCACAAATTACAAATGATGGACTATACCTTTAAATTAATGCCTCCTATCTCCAAGAGTGATTATGTAAAAGCAAAGTACCTGTCAAACAAATAAAAAATTAGTTTGAAGTCAATTTTAATGATCCTTGCATGGCAAATTACACAGGTCAGGTGTAACAGAGACACCAAAAAAGGTCACACTTTTGGATCCCAAATGTATGCAATAACCCTTAACCCTAACCCACCTCACTCCTCCAAACTCCTCCTGGCGGTTTTGGAGGATTCTAGAGGATTGAGGATGAATGGTGATTGAATCAAATGAGGATTCTGGAGGATTGAGGATGAATGGTGATTGAAGCACATGAGGATTTTGGAGGATTGAGGATGAATGGTGAATGAAGCACAAGAGGATTTTGGAGGATTGAGGATGAATGCATTTTGAGGCAGGACTGTCTGATGATTTTGAAGGATTTGGCATTGGTTATCCTTCATTTAAACACGAGTGCAAAGTTTTGGGATGAGGAGGATTTTGGAGGATTGAGGATGAATGCATTTTGAGGCAGGACTGTCTGACAATTTTGAAAAATTTAGGCGGAGTTGAAAAATTTTGGAGGATTTTGGAGGATTGAGGATGGTTGTAAGCAACAAGGGCCTAGGGGGTTAGGGTTAAAGTTTCAACTCTAAATTTTTTGTGTGAACCAAAAGATCAGCTCAAAATCCACTGAAACACATGATCCGGTATATTTATTGGTTCAACGTCAGTTCCATATGTTTTAGTTATGTCCAATGTACATTTTTCTAGAAATCAAGTTTTTTTTAATGTTTGATTCTTGCTGATGTTTTTTTTATAGAAAGTTGGTATTTTTCTTCCACTTTGTGGCAAACATCCTACCTGCAAGTAGTGACATGGTGTTTTTAAGCCCTGTTGGCAAAAGGCCATGTCGGCATTGAACTCGATTTTTATCAGGATGACGGTTCATACTTTAACAATACAGCTCTGTGAGCTTGCTTGCCAAACTCAGACTTGACTAATACATGTATACCTACATAAATAATGAAAGGTTTGCGGAAACACCATGTGCGAATATGTGCGAATAAAGAGAATGGTTCTGAAAAGAACCAGAGGTATAAACTCTGTTTATACACTTGTACCTACATTGTACAACAAAAGTGACACAGTACGTTTAAGTCAGTAATCAGGTAGCTCAGGAATGGGATTTACCCAACTGGTATTCATTAGACACAGAAAAGAGTATAATAATAATCATCTTGATGAATTATTAGCACCCCCCCTCCCAATAAAAAAAAGGCTAGTACCAGCAAAAAAGAGCTGTATTTCCTACTAAGGAAGTTACTGATCATGAATCAAGAAGAGAAACAAAACTTTTACTCTTGAAGACTCGACTAAGTTCAATTTGGGTTTTGATCTCTCAGTGAAATGTTTGCTTTATTTCCTTGTTCCTTTTTTGTGCTGCATGCAGGATTGGTAAAATGAAAGTGCGTAGGCCTATACATTTGTAAATAGGGTTGAATTGGCATGTTTGCTTTTTTTTCAGATCTAGTGGAATTTTTTTTTTTTAATTCCCTGTGGACTTACATATTTGTATTACAATTACATGTACATGCACATGTTCAGGCACATGTACACGTAGAAATAAATATAATTTAAAATTATTCTCACTGCGTAGAAAATGGTAAATTTCAAGGTCAACTTTGAAGGCGCAATAAAGACACATAGGAATACAGAAATACCATTACAATACCTGCTTGTGCTAATCGGGTGCCATCCATGCATAACGAGATAATTTGGTCTTTATTATCCAAACACAATATTAGTTTCATGGAGCCAATTTTCAGAGGGTTTTAGGGGAATTTTGAAATTACAAATGGAACAATTATGTTGATCCTGTGCAATTAAACTATTCAGACATGAATCCTTTGTTGTGGATCATTCACGTTCTATACATTAGCACCAGTAAATTTAAATTGTTTCAGACAAGTGATTACATACTGTACAAGTTGTCCGTGGTAGCACTAATGTATGTGTTTCAAAAGTCATTTTTTAAAATGGCTCTGTGTCTTGACATGGCTTAATGAGTCTGTATAAAAATTGTCGTACTGCCGCTGCGAAGTGCAATGGAAAGTATACGTGTACATGTACTGTGTATTTAATGATTGTGAGGTAATTTTATGCTGGAACGTGTAGTTGGTGATAGTAAAACCAAGCCTCACAGTGCAGATTAGGCAATGAAGTACACAGGTGCAGGGCCTTTGAATTATTTACAATGTGTCACTTCGCATCCTGCATGCATATTTACAATTACAACAAGATGCTGCCAGCATACATATCTTGCTTTTGAAATTTAAAATGAAGGAAGCTGGTACCTGCATTGTTTTTAGATTTGAAGATTGTATTTGCATTTATTTCACTTCAGTTTTCAATTTCACTTTCAGTTTTTCTTAGTGTGATTTAAAGCTATAGTCCATCATTTGTAATTAGTGCATTTTGTTCGTTTGAAGCAACAAAAGTGTTCAAAATTTTATGAAGGATACTGAACAACTTACTTGATGAAGTTTCAGCTCAGCTTCAGCTTCATATTCTGAGAAAAACAGTATTCTAGGATCTCAATTTAAAATCAAAAGTTGCTAAATCATGTTTCGAATTGTTTTGAATTGCAGCTTTACGCGATGTTGCGCACTGATCCAACGAATTATAGCAACCGCGCGCGCCTGTGCGTCATTCCAATTCTTGTGCGCGCTGCGCCGAATAACAAAACGAACAACTAATTTAAATTTTCCTACGGTGCTTCTTAAGAAGCACCGTTGGAAATGCCTTCTTTCGTTGATTTCTTCAAAATGAGAGCTTGCCAGAAAGAATAATTTCGCAGGAAGTTTAGTCCCCTCACTATCTTTCAACCAGTATGTTTTTCAACAATAATTACGCCGCTTACTTTTTTGGATAGCTGCAAATGATGGACTCAGGCTTTAACAAAGGATTTTATCATCAAACACAAAAATCAAAAGTGTGTATTATGAAAATGTAGCATTCAAAAATTCAGAGATTTGGGTTTTCTGGTTTAATGTTTTATTTATAAACATCATGTATAAAAGCATTCCACTATTTTCATATTTTTTTTAAAAAATTCTACTCCAGAGCAAATACTTCTTCTGATGGATCACAAGGACGTGATCCGAGACCTGAAGTTCTGCTCGGACGGCAGCCTGATCCTCCTGTCTGCCTCCCGGGACCAGACTCTGAAGGTCTGGGACCTGAAAGATGATGGGAACATGGTGGTCACGCTACAAGGCCACACCAACTGGGTCTATGGATGTGCCTTTGCCCCGGACATGACCATGCTGGCATCAGTTGGCGCTCAGAAATGTGTACGTATTCACAGACTAAAGGCCCTTGCATTGCTGTCCAGAATCTTTGTTGTTGTCGATCCGGATTTCGGGAACCCCTTTCGGACTAGTAAGAATCCAGTGCGGTGTCTGCACGGGTTTGGCGCTGTGCGCAGGTCAAATCCAACCCTGGCCGTGCTCTACCTGGGCATAACATCCAAAATCTACTGCCAAGCCATGTACAAACTAGTCTGACTATAACACCCGTAGTCAAACATCTCATATATGAAAGAGTAAGAGTAACAATTTTAGTTATTGTTGTAGTAAATAATCTGTTGCATTTGTATTATATTAATTTGTGACAAATGGAAAAAATAAAACAATACAATATATGTGAGGAATGCAAATTTTATGCGACCCCACGCGCAGAAGGCGCCCGCTGAATGGTCAGACTCTGGAGGTTATCCGCTCCGTTCACAAGTACCCCCTCACCGGCAAAGAAAGTACAGTGGGGGGGGGGGGGGGGGGGGGACTGACCAATGCCATCTTGCCTGACTGCAATTTTGCCACGACGCGCAGCCATACCACTTCGTGTACATAGTACAAATCCCCTGGTGTACGTGCGTCACACACAAAGAACGGTGCGCGTCCACCAGCTAAATGTCCCTCCCATGGGACGTCGTTGCTAGGTAAAAGGGCGCCCTCTTTTGTTGGCGCACGGAGCCCATAAAGCCTTGCTGGCTGTGCAAGGAGGCATTCCATAGACTACACGTACGTATGTACAAACCAGTACTATTTCACCTGTGTTCAATCAGACCTGGTTCTTTTCACGGTGGACCCCAGTTGATTTCAACACAAGTATGCGAGACGATAGTGTGAAAGGCCCTATCCCGCTGTGGTATTTAGTCTAATTTTTCTGAATGTTACAAAAAGCCATAGTGTCTTTCGCGCGAGTGTCGGGCATCATCGGCAGTGCATTCGAATGCCGCTTCCAGTGGTCTACTCCCAACTTTCTCTTCCTGAATTTGATTCAATTCAAGGATTTTATTATCGATACCTTGCAGCCCAAGGGATAAATTGTGAACGAGTTATGTTAGCGTTCAGTTCTGCACCTGGTTTCCTGAAATGTACTACCAAAACTGAATTCCCTGCGTGAGGGGTACATGTACACGGAGCCCATAAGATAACCCTCGTTAAAATAGGTAATTGCTTTATCACCAAACCATGCTAAATCAAACAATTTCAAATTTCTTGATTGTACCTTTTCTACAGTAGTTGCTCTCTGTTGGTTTGAGCAGGTTTCTGGCATTCCTGATTTAGTAGGTGCTTACAGGAAAACATGAGAGAGTTTAGAGATGGGAGAAAACCTGTGGTTAATAGAGTTAATTTGCGTTTTAAATCTCAAATTGATTTTGTGATCAATCAGGTTATCGTCTGGGACCTGAAGGACCGCAACCTGAGACAGTGCAAGATACTCCGCCGATTGACAGGGCACCACCACGACGCAGTGTCCTGTGAGTTCTCACCGGACGGAGCTCTACTCGCCACTGCATCTTACGATACAAGAGTCTTGCTGTGGGACCCACACATCGGCATAATTCTTCGTCAATATCAGTAAGCATATGAGTCTGACATGCTGGGCCCCATCACATTGACGGGCTAAGTAGAAAATAGTGCTTAGCAAATTCATATACAATGCAAAAATCAGCTGGGAATCTAGTGTTTCTGGCCAGACTGGATTCGGGATTTTTTTCTTACAAGTGCAGACTTCATGGCTGAAGATAAATGCACCGCCAGAAACACCGGGGTCAAGACCAGGACCCAAACCCACACTCTACTGATCAGAAACACCAGAGCTTGAGTCCAGTGCTCGTAACTGCTCGGCCATGACACTCCTGAGTTTCTCAGGTCCAAGTGCCGTAGGTTCCATAAAGTATGTTTGATTCATCTCATTGATGGCGCCCTCTACCGTTGCGACAGCTTGGCTATAGCTTGCCATTGACCAATGGGACCATAAGCAAAATCTGGTCTTGGGCACAGACCACTGAGAAACAGTCATAGAAATGGCACATTGGCACAATTCTTCACCAATATAAAGCACCTTTAACTATTCTGAATCCTTCAAATTTCATCCATTGTGCATGAATAGACCTAAGACATAATGACATCACACTTTGTTTACACGTGCACTTTCCTATGGGAGCCAGGAGGGGACAATTGGCCGGCATCATCACCTGGCTCCCGTAGGAAAGCGCACATGAAAACAGTGTGTGACGTCGTTATGTCTTAGGTCTATTCAAAGACACCTTCTTTGTATTTGAACTTTCAAAAGGGAACAAGTCCAAACAAAGGCATTGATTTGCAGTTTTTACTTTTGTTGTGTTTGGCATGAAGCATATTGCCCAATGTAAACTTCCACACTGTCACTCGGTTATCTAAAACCAATCCTTTTAGTGAGATTTGCCGATGAATATAAATCATGTCATGTTACAAATATTAATCTCCTGTATTTAGAAATATTTCCAGAAAGAACCAGTGGTTACTTTGTTCCCAAACAGACTGTGTATCGTCTAAAATGTCTAGAAAGCACTCTCACAATCCTTTTTTCTAAACCAACATTTCTTCACAGATGGGATTATTATTCTCATGGTTTTACCTGCAAAAACCTGATCCTTGTATTCGTTTTTGCGTGCAAAACTTTAAAAAAGATACGCAAGGCTTATCCATAATCATTCAGACTTGTTTCTTTTCAATTTTTCCCCGACAGCCACGTCTTTCCTCCCCTGTCACCCGTCTTTGCTGGTGGTTCCAACAACAACTACGTCAGACACATGGCCTTCTCCCCGGACGGCAGTCACTTTGCTACAGTCTGTGATGACAAGTAAGAACAAACAACATGCGGTGATCAGAGTTGTGATCAAGTCGATCACAAGCCATAATCACAAGCCAGTCACAAGTCAATCATAAAGCCGTCAAAGGTCACTCACAAGCCAGTTGCAAGTCAATCACAAGCCACTTGCCAGTCAATCACAAGCCAGTTGCAAGTCAATCACAAGCCAGTCACAAGTCAATCACAAGTCAATCACAATTCAATTGCAAGTCAATCACAAGCCAGTCGCAAGTCACTCACAAGCCAGTCACAAGTCACTCACAAGCCAGTCACAATTCAATCACAAGCCAGTCACAAGTCACTCACAGGCCAGTCACAAGTCAGTCACAAGTTCAACACGAGTCAGTTGCAAGTCAATCTTAAGCCAGTCACAAGCCAATCACATGCCAGTCACAAGTCAATCACAAACCAGTCACAAGTCCAACACGATTCATCCAGTCTCAACTCAAGTGATAACCTATTGAAAGAAACCGTAACAATAGCATCCCTTTTGTCACAGGTCATCCCCTGTTACTTGTGACCTGACTTCTGACTGACTCAGTTTGACATGTGATTGACTCAGTTTGACATGTGATTGACTCAGTTTGACATGTGATTGACTCAGTTTGACATGTGATTGACTCAGTTTGACATGTGATTGACTCAGTTTGACATGTGATTGACTCAGTTTGACATGTGATTGACTCAGTTTGACATGTGATTGACTCAGTTTGACATGTGATTGACTCGTGATTGACTCGTGATTAACCACTCTAGCAGTGATCACTGTAGATTACTATTGGCTATGTTTAGGGTCATGTTTTTCATTTGATTCAATCAATTCACAAATCCAGAAATATAATCGTTGTGTAGTTGGGTTGCCTCATTTTATTTTAATAAGGGAATCACTTAATTATCAAAATCACCACATTTCAAACTTTTGACACGCTCCCCAAAATTCAGACTAAATGCGAGCTCGTACTTAATGAGACTTAAAGTTTTCTTTTTGCTTAAAGTAAACATCACTCAGAAACAACAATTATCGATGTCATGAAATTATTTGTTCAACTCGCTAATACCAACCCTCAACCTACCTAGCGGTAACATTGGATTGTTATCTGTGGTTTCTTCATTCTAGGTACATTCGTTTCTGGTCCCTATTTGACACGTCAGATCCCATCTCAGTCTCTATGGTTGTTGATGGACTGTGCTGCAGTTACTCAGCAGATGGACGCGTCCTGGCTACAGGGTAAGTCTTTGAGAAAGTTCGGTTTGTTTGAAGCAACAAAAGTGCTCAAAATCTAAAGACAAGTGCTTAACAACTAACCTGATGAAGTTTTGGCTCAGTGAATGCTGTATTTTCCGAGAAAACAATATTCTAGGATCTCAGTTTCAGTTCAAGAGTTGCAGAGTCAAGTTTTGAATTGCGCTCGAAATCAGTGTCCGGGACACGTTCTCATTCAGCCGATTGCATATACCCGACGTCACGTACTGAACTGATGAAAAATAGCAACCGTGCGTGTATGTGCGTCGTGTCAACGCTTGCGCGCACCCATTCACGGATTCGCCGATTTACAAACCAACTACTAACGGAAATTTCCAAAAATGCGTCAGTTGAAGCATCTTTGGAATTGGCCTTCTTTTATTGTTTTCTTCAAAATGACAGCATGGCAGAAAGATTAATTTACTATCTTTAAACAAAGTAAACATTTGTTTGCTTTGCTAAAGCAAAGTCGTTTGTGATCATAGCTGTTTCTGAGGAATGCACCTATGCATGCATAAGTGTTACTGGTCACAGGCAATGGTTTAATGTGGACAAAGTAGGTTTTGTTTCATTATGAAGTTGCAGATACTCAGTTGCAGGATTGACTGTACTTTGAGGAACGCAATATCAATTTGTTTGAAGTCATTGGCATATTGCCCACTATTTTGATGGTCAACAAAACCAGGTCAGAATTAATCTGAGATACCAAAAATAGTATTCGGATCAGCTCAGTCCTATTTGAATTGAAAATCCGAGCATAAAGTCAGAATAAAAAGCCTTGAGCGACTTGAAAGTCTTTTGCACCCGGGTGATTCTATAAATTTGGGGTCCACTTTTTTTTCTGACATCTATGATTTTATCATTCTGATGCACTCTGTAATGCAGTCGAGAGGGCGTAGCAAAGTACGGAACCCAACATAAAAACAATGGTTTGAATTCATTGTTAATGATACTTGAATGGCAAAGTAAAAAATACCAAAGAAACAGGAACAGGGAAAAAGTCTCACACTTCGGACCCACAAATGTATAGAACGATCCAAGTCAGTCTTTAACAGCAGACTGCGCTATCTTTGTGTGCTGAATTTACAGTCACAATTTTAACTTTAAATCCCGGGATTCTTGTTTAATATTCCACAGGACAAGAAATGGTTCGGTTCATTTCTTGGTGGCACCCAAGGAGGTTCAGACGCTGCAGCACCTGTGCCGTCTTGGCATCCGTCGACTGGTCCCCAACACCAACAACCTAGACAAGCTGGGCCTGCCGCCTGGACTCAGGAACTACCTGCGCTATGACATGCTCACCTGACACGCGGTAGGTGTGAAAAGGTTCGCAGTCTGGGATTGGTGTAGTCTGGATTTGGATTTTGTTGTCCTTATGCAGTTTCCACCACGCCAAATTCGTGCTCATAGGAAACAACGCAAAATCAGACACGAAGAGCGCCCTCTAGTGACGCTCAGGGGCAAGGTGGCAATATTTTTTTTTACTAGAAATTAAAGATAACGACCTCTAGGACAATTTTCTGTTCAATTTTACCAGTGGCAGCCACATCAATTTTTTTTTTTTGCAATCCCTTCCCCAAAACCACCCCTAAAACAATTGCCAATCCCTGGGCCCAGGTCTAACTGTAACCCCCTGTCTCTATGCGAAATAGACCCACAAGTTGTTGTTTTTCCCCAACAAAATCATCCGAGGTTGAAGTCACAAATGCTTGATTTCCATAAACATTTCTACAATCAACCCCAATTATAGGCTGCAAGGACCTCTTATTCACAATTACCTGTGGGATCACAAAATATTAATGAGCTCGCGCGCAGTAATTGACAGCGGTTTGTAGGTGTGAGCCCTGCAGGGGAATCCTGACAAGCAGCCGTAGTTGTACGTGTAGATGGTGCTATCAATAAAATGAATCACATCCGGTCTTGAGAACTTTGGCAGAGGGACCAAAGAAATTCTAAAAATACCTCACAAGTTTAGTACGGCAGATAGGTGATGGGGTTGTGCCATTGCTGATACAAGCATGGCATTTGGCACACAGTCAGAGTACGTCATGAGAAAGATATCTGGCTAAAGGGCCATCGCAGATTTGTACTTTGACAAAATATAGGTAGAATAACAAGCAATGGCATCCATTTTGAAAATTTTGAAATTGCTTGTTATTCTTCCTATATTTTTTTCAAATGACAAATCTGCAATGGCCCTATACCCACATATCTTTCTCGTGACATACTCTGACTGTGTGCCAAATACCATGCTTGTATCATCAAAGGCACAATTCCCGTAATATCTCCCCAATCTGTCCCACTAGTTCACATCAGCTTGAATACAAGTTTAGTTCGGACCAAGACTATCCGCTCCATTCACAAGTACCCCCTCACCGGCAAAGGAAGTACAGTTGGGGGTGACCGACCGACGCCATCTTGCCTGACTGCAATTCATTCACCGTGAAGCGCAGCCACTGCGTGTACATAGTACAAATCCCCTGGTGTACGTGCGTCACACACAAGGAACGGTGCATGTCAACCAGCGAAATGTCCCGCCCATGGGACGTCGTTGCTAGGTAAAAGGGCGCCCTCTTTGTCGGCGCATGGAGCCCATAGGGCCTTTCACACTGTCTACAATCTCCGTATTGGACCCGGGTCCAACACAGAACCCCTGTCACACCAGCAAGAATCCAACACGGCTTCTGTACGGGTTTGGCACTCTACCAAGTAAAATCCAATCCTAGTCAGGACCAGGGTTGAGAGGCTCTACCTGGGTCGAAAATTTAAATTAGTAGTTCGTTTTAGTATTTGGCGAAATGCGCGGAAGCATTGGCACGAATGCACGCGCGCGCGCAGTTGCTATAATTCGTCGGATCAGTGCGCGACATCACGTATAGCTGCAATCGGCTCAGTGAGAACGTGTCTCGGATGCTGAATTCAGGCCCAATTCAAAACATGATTCAGCAACTTTTGATTTGAAATTGAGATCCTAGAATGCTGTTTTTCTCGGAATACACAGCTGAAGCTGAGCTGAAACTTCATCAGTTTATTTGTTCAGTATCCTTCATTAGATTTTGAGCACTTTTGTTGCTTCAAACGAATGAAATGCACAAATTACAAATGATGGACTATATCTTTAATCGTGTTGATTTCAACACGTGTAGGGGAGAGGACAGTGTGAAAAGGCCCATGGTTGGTACTCAGACCCAGACAATGCAGGAAGCTTGGTAGTAAGCACACATTGTTTGAGGCTAGACAATCTATTTTTGGTAGTTGTTCAAGTTCATTGTGCAGATCTGAAATCAGTGCCATGTGTCTAGTTATTTTTGAGCCTCCAATATACAATCCGATGTACATGGGAATAAACACCCAGGTTTTAGTGTACAGCTTCCTCAGTACTTGCTTCAAATTCAGATATCTTTGCTCCCACAATTGCAAGTATTTGTGCACTGTTTTTTTTCCATTAATATCCAAACTCTAAAGCCCCCAAAACATTTTTTTTTCCCCCTTGTGTAAACCGACAAGGAGAAAACTCTTCACTAATTAGAATTATAAGCCCCCAAAATAGTAGCATCCAAATGAAAAATACACAGTGTGATGGCATTAGTCCCCATCATGTGTACAACACGAATATTTGAGTCGGGTTAGTTGAGTACCAAATTGCATAGGTTTAGCCAAAAGGGATGTCTGGGTGCCAGACTGCCCGTTTTTGATCTGGAAACTGTGCAACTCGCCAGTCAAGTTATGCTACTCTCACGTAAGCAAAGTACTTTCGCAGGCCCAACTTCCTAGTGGAATAAACATACTTTGTTCTTTTTCACCAGGTGGCAGAAACCGACACACTTCTCAATCTCTTCAGGGTCTAAGGTTCTTACTTACGCAGATGCCTTACAAAGCCTTCTTGCACGATGTCACTGCGCCACTGTCCAAGGTCAAGGTCAAAGAGTATGTGGCGGATGTAATGTTTCCGGATTCGCGTGACGTCCTTTCGCACTCCCACCAAGGTTTTCTTGTACTATTGCTTCAGATCAGGTATCTTTTCATGCTTCCTGTACAATGTAGACACTGTAGAATGACTTTGATTGTAGGCACTTGAATAAAAACAGAGAATTTGTATTGACCAATCCGAGCAGGCTATGACTTTTATCTCAAAGGCCCCTTCAGTGGTGAAAGCATTGTGCTAGCTATTGTTCAGATAATCTGTCACGGGGCAGTTGCTTTGTACAATAACATGCCCAATGGTTTCTCCATTAAAGGGGGCCCCAGTGAGGGTACAATGATCACGGGGCTGGATTTGTCTATACATCACAAGTCCAGCAACAAGTAAATCACTTGTCAATTCACAAGTTTAGTCGCATGTGACAGGGGCTGAACAGTAACAAAGGAAAGCCCCGGTCACAGTTCACATGATAAAAGCTCGTGACTTAACTTGAGACTGGACTTCTTGTGATGGACTTGTGAGAACTTATGATGGACTTGCAAAGGACATTCACATGGGTGGATCCCCCTGCCTTCGTGTGTAGATGCCACCTGCTTGAAACTAAAAAATATCTGCGGTTCTTTGTCGGTCGCCTGCATTTTTCTGTCAGTCACGTTGCATAGAGCGCCCTCAGTGAGGTCAGGTGTTCGTTCCTCTGTAAAAAGCATGAGAGTAGACACTACGTTTTCAGTGTCAACAAATTTAGATAACAAAATCTGCCCTCGACGAGGGCGCTGTGTGCAAAGGGTCTGTAGTCACTGGAGTTCCTGCAGATTTTAGAAAACTTTTATCACTCGGCAACAGTTGCTGAAATTTTGCAGAATCTGTTAGAATATCCATAGGCTTCGAGCCAACTTTAAAACTGAAATTGTGCAAACATTGTGGAATATCCTCAATACTATCATTCGTCAGAAAATGTCGCTGAAATTCCGCAGACTTCGTAGACTTTGAATATGTGTAGGCTTCTTGTCCGTAGTATTCTCTGGAATTGTGCACACTAGACTCTGAAGAAAAATCTGCAGTCTTGTTTGTGTTACATGTAGCATTGATTGGAACTCTGTTTCCACTTTCAGGGTTGCTTTTCAAAAGGGGATCCTTGTTTGTTTGTTGGGTTGTTTGTTTAGTTTCATTCTGAGGAGTGTATACACATAGATTGTTTGCATTGCAGCCATCTTTGAGGCGTGCTTTTATGTTCAACAGGGGTACGCATGGGTACACCTCTCATACATTCATTGTTAATGAATTAACATAACAAAACACACCTCAACGATGGTTGCTGAATGCAAGTGTCTATACCTTTTGAGGAATATAATATTTTTTTTCAGATTTCAAAAGGTTTCCTGAAGTATATTTAACATGTTTTCTTGCTTTTGTACTGTAAATATGTGTTTTATAAGAATTTTTACGAGACGTGCAAATTTAGCCATCATTTCTCCTGTTTTCGTTGTGTACAATTTTTCATGTAGAAACAGATTCCAAATATGCACAGCTATTTGGTCCTTAAAACAGGGTTTGTGAAGTTTCAGACCAATTAATTGATAAAAAATCAGTCATTTTTCTGAAGTTTACTGCAATTTGAAGGACATTTTGCAGAACGGAATGCAGAACTTTTATGTTGTTCACACTTACAAATCTACATGTATAAGTCCATGCATATATTGAAGAGATTCAGAAAATTGTGCCTAAGCTCCGTTTTTTCCTTTAAATTCTTGGACATGTATTAATCCTTCCCCTGTACATACGTAAGAAAACTGTGAATATTAGCGCAACTGTACAAATGTCAGTCAGGCCATGATCCATTATGTTCAAACAAGCATGAAGATGTTATGGCAATTTCTCATCATTTTGGGTTTGGATCAATATTCCCTTTTATAGTGTAGCCCTAACTCCTTCGGGCGTGTGAAAATCATACGAAAATGGAAGATTCAGCATGTTATGTTAGGGACAATTGTAGATATTGTACAATACATGTAGTATTATGCGCAGTTATTAAAAAAAGAGAAATCTGTTTCAAAAGATGAAAGAAAAACCAGTAACCAAAAAGTTTTACTATATTCTATTTTTTTTTCAATGTTGAGTGTGCTAATAATATTGCTTTTAATCGCTAATACTATCACATGAAATGTCCATTTGTTACCATTGATGGAATGGAGCCTTATACCTTCGAGAAGCATTCAAGCTACACAATTATTAACTTGTGTATGATTGCTTCTCGAGTATTTACTAGAAAATTCTTTTCATCAAAGTGCATTTACTTAAATACTTAAATACATGTTTAGTATTGTTAAAGCTACAGTCCATCATTTGTAAGTTGTGCATTTTGTTCGTTTGAAGCAACAAAAGAGTTCAAAATCTAATGAAGGATACTGAGCAACTAACCTGATGAAGTTTCAGCTAAGCTTCAGCTGTACATTCCGAGAAAAACAGCATTCTAAGATCTCAATTTCAAATCCAAAGTTACTGAATCATGTTTTGAATTGTTTTGAATTGCAGCTATACGCGACGTCGCGCACTGATCCGACGAATTATAACAACCGCGCGCGCGTGTTTCCAATACTTGTGCGTGCTGCGCTGCGCTGAATAACAAAACGAACTACTAATTTAAATTTTCCTACGGTGCTTCTTAAGAATCACCGTTGGAAATGCCTTCTTTCGTTGATTACTTCAAAATGACAGCTTGCCAGAAAGAATAATTTCACAGGGAGTTTAGTCCCCTTACTATCTTTCAACCAAGTTTGTTTTTCAACAATAATTACGCCAGTTACTTTTCGGATGGCTGCAAATGATGGACTATACCTTTAAGTATTTTGTGTTTGCTTACTTGCATGATCCAAAAAGTATGTATTGAAACCAATTCAAAGATGTTCAGGTGCTTATGTTAATTAATTTTGATATATTATACTATGTGAAACGAACTTTTTTGGAAGAAAATTGCTTTCTAAATTATAAAGCTGAAGAGGTAAAGCGGCTTTACTGTTTGTGTCAAACTCGGGTGAACGTTTTGAGGGTGGAGCTTTATATAACATATTATCGTACTTACGCATGCGCAATACTACCAACGAGTCCATGTTTCATGTAGTCGGATATGCACCCTACACTGGTTCAAAAATGTGTAATTGCAGAGGTAATGTTACGGTACCTTTTTCTTTCCCCCGTGTGATGAATTTGTCAATAGCCATGAGCTCTTAAATAACTTGGGTACATGTATAAACATGAACTGTGAAATATGCATAGGCCTAAGTAAAAAGGCAAATTCCAATCAGTTTGCCTAGTAAGAAGTATATTGTGTACACCCAAAAAGTGCTTTGAAACACTCACTGAAATGTTAACGATTGCATCCATAAACACCAGTTTGCTTGGCTCGGTTTTAATATACGGCCGGTGTCCAAGGCAAAATGGTGTTATTAAGTGCCCAATTTCTCAATACAAACGTCTGAAATATATCGTATACACGATTGGAAATGCTAAACATGTTCATGTAAAACGTCTGACAGTGTAGATTACAATGTAGATCTAAAAACAACTTTTGTAGTTTTGGAGATTTCAGGATTCACCCACTAGTAAATACATACAGTAATGTTAATGTTCATATTGACCTTTTTACTGTACAGTATATAGTACAGAAAAAGAAGTATGCGCCTTATGCTTAGAGAGTCAAAATGTCAAAGGTCGCATCGTCTGTTCCATGCACATTCTCAATTAAGAAAAATGAAGAGTGATTTCCTTTGACAGTTGAATGCCTAACAGGAAAACATGAATCACTTCTGAGGTTTGGCAGATATCTGATGGATGTACAAGTGCCAAGAAGATATTGGTACAAGTGTTGGAAAGTTTTTTTGTTTTTTTTTAAGTAGGTTTTGGCCTTTCTAACTACATGTACTCTTTTGTAAAATAGAATACATATGTAGATAACAGTACCTGTAGATCATTCCCTTGTGAATACACGTATGCATTGCAGGCATCGCAGAGTGTTGGTGTATGATATTTTGATTCAGTAAAAAAATGAATCACAAAAGGTTCCATCATGCCTATCCAAGCGACACAAAACCATTTACCATTCAAAGCATAAGGACGCAAGACCTTACGCATGAGGCAGTTTTAGAGAACAGTGCTTACAATATGTATCACTTAATTTGGCTTGGGTAAACCTTTTGCGCATTCATTGTTACTAAATCAAAAAACACACCAAAGAACACCCTTTTAGATAGCTTCTACCCCATGCTTTTGTTGTAATACACATGACTTATTCCCTTAATAAATTATATATGTGTATATAGTTAACATGTAAAGAATTTTCATTTCAATAAAGCATGGCTTCAGTTCGACATGACATGTTTATTCTGCATTTTGTCTGGTCAGTGCTGTGTGTATTTGATTTTTCTCTAATTTTTCGGAGGGGTGGATGGGAACAACATTCTTCCTAAATTATGACAACAAACCAATGGATAGACTTATGAATAATCTGAGACAAAAGACACTTTAATGAGTAAAATATCATTCTGTATTCAGTTCCAGAGTATTGATGCAAGAAAAATGTACATCCTAAAATATCAGGCACATTCACATTATTTCGTTGTCAACCATTCTATATATGGTTCCTGCCAATTCATATAATCTTGTATTTATATACTACTTACATGCTTATTAACATCTGCTTATAATAATGACAATGCTCAAAACATACTTTTTTTCTTCATAATTTTTAACTTTCTGGTAGATAATCAAGTATAATGCATATTTCCACACAAATAAAAAAGTATTGCTTCAATAAACATTTTAGCACTTTTTCACATTTTTAACACCCTGCAATGAAAGAAATTGTTTACAAATATTTTGTACAAACAAAAATATAAATAAAATTTGAACATTTCAGTCCTAATTCACCGCTTTACAGACCACATGAATACAAAAATGATAATTCGGTCAAACCACGCCCTAGTATCACAACGGACGTTCACAAAGACTAAGCAATGTACTACTGTGCCACAGTGGTTCAAGTTTTCTGCTCGACGTTGCGAGACGTCACTCATCGGGAGTCTCTGCCACACAAACCTGTGCTGAGGAAATGCGGCACATCCTGTTACGTCTCCCACCCAAAACCCCCACAGAGGAAACCTGGCGTTTAACATCAGGTGAAGAAGTCAATTCAAATTGTCCAAAGGTTTGAGACAGACAATACAAAGGCCTGTTATGATCCGTGTCCCATCAATACACCTCCTGAGACGCCTATCTTCATTTTTGGAAAATATTTTTTATGCTTGAAGAGTTTGAAACAGTGCATGGATTTGTTCTAGTCATATTCTGTAGCCCTACTAGTATCTGCAATGCCTAGGCTTCATGACTGTGTACTATCAGCAATTACTAGTTCTGGGGCCCAGTAACATGCAGTTGTTCTGGCTTTTCTGACCAAGCCTAGTATAAGGGCGACAAGAGAAAAGGCAATTTCTAAATTGGGAGACTTTCCAAATCATTGGGTCTATGACACTGTGCACTGCTTTCCAAATCAAATGGAATTTAAATCTCCAACTAAAAAAAAAAAACCCAGAAGGAACACAAGCTTAATACATACATGTAGTTAACCCTTTAGCACTTGTATTACATTGTATTTACTCCTCGATGTATCAATACAGCCAGAGACCAATGGGGGCAGTTGAGGCGGTGTGAGGAATAACAGGCAGGGCAGTTTGGGGCGGTACATCAGCTAATGGGGTTAGAACCTGCCAATCGCATTGATAAAAAATTGATCCAAATCATTAATTTCAAGTCTCACACATCCTCAATCAACTTTAAAGCAAACGGTTTCGGAAGCTTGTGATAACATTTCTATGAATTAAATTAATAACAAATTGTATAATAACTTGTCTTTCTGGCTGTACAATAGAAACACATGCATTCTTTGTGATCAGGCAAACAATATTATGTACATAATATATTATATGCGAGTAAACATGCAAGATATAAATAACACAGATCTCACAGGAGACCTTGAAAATATCAAGACCCCGCAAACACGCTCAATACCGGGGGCTTGACAACCTTGACGTAATGAGGCAGAAATTAAAAAAAGAAACTGACAAATAGAGAAGGAAATATCCATTTAACAATTCCAAGTCCAGCTTTCGCCACTTAGAACCTGGCACAAGCCCAGAAAGGACAAATGCTGTATTTTGGGATATCCACAAGTATATGGCAAAACATCAGTGTTGTAGTCGAGTCCATCACAAGTCCTTTCAAAAGTAAAGGAATGAACAAAATGATAAAGGAATGCTTTTGTCACAGTTCATTTGAATAGCTTGTGACTTGACTTGAGACTGAAGGACTTGTGATGGGCTCAACTACAACACTGCAAAACATGTACATGTAGGTTTATGTGATTCTTTAACCGCTAGGATTTTGAGTTCAAAACAAATGGGGGCAACATGACTGTAATAGGCTGTAGATCCGGTATGCCTTTGTTGATGCATTAACTTACATGTACTTATCGTGTTTCACTAGCTATCCTTCATGACAACTTTGGCAGGTTTCTGGAAATGAAATTTCTTTGAGTTTTTGTAGTCTGTTCTCAGTAATTCACGGACTTTCCAAATTTTAAGGAATCACAGAACTAAACAAAACAGTAATGGATTAACATGAAGAATCCGGTACCGGTACATGTAAGTCCCTGGATGCCCTGGCAATTCATTGATATTACTCCATTCAAAACTAGCTATCTCTGAATAAATAATGCCTGCAATTGTTTGGGCTGCTGACCCAGATTGAAAAGAAAATATCTTTTTCGTGGAAAAGTGTTAAAGTCTCCTGTTTTGTGTTTTGTTCACAAGCTGGTTATAAAATAAAATTTCCCTTTAGTGTTTTGCTTAACTGTTTAAATTTTGGTCATGTTTCCTTTCATGACCAGACTACCCATACCTATATGGGCACTTGGCCCATAATAACACTGCCTGTTTAACAGCTCGCTCTCTCTCTGTAAAATCTTGCCACATGAAATTTGTTTTAATCTTTGAAGAAACAAAATCTTTTAAACCTCACTGACCTTGGATGTTTGTTAACGCAAACCAGTCACAGCAGTCTGGATATTTTCAAATCCAAAGACGAAGTCATCAAAAGGTCATGATTTTCAGCCCCCCCCCCCTAAAAAAAAGCACATGTCGAGCCACTGCAAGAGATTTACCATATATCAAAAATTAAAAAATATAATTTTTTTCAAACCAAAATGATTGAAATTCCTTCTCAAGACAATCATCAACCAGCAGTTTGATCCTCAGATGAAGCCGTCGCTCTTGTTACTACGAGTCGAACGTGGGTTCATTTCCATAAACACCATTTCGGAATTGTGGCGATTGGCCGCTGCGCTGTTGCGGTTTCGGTAGAGGTCCGTTGCTCCGATGGTCTGTAGAGAGGAGAGGGTGAGGGGGGGGGGGGGGGAGGCAAGGGGGAGGGGTTTGAAGAGAAAGTGGGTGGAGAAAGAACAAACAGACATGTTGCCGGACAAAGGATACAGATATTGTGAACTTCTTACAACATAAAAGGAAAGGTTAAAGCTACAGTCCATCATTTGCAGCTATCCAAAAAGTTACTGTCGTAATTATTGTTGAAAAACATACTTGGTTGAAAGATAGTAAGGGAACTAAACTCTCTGTGAAATTATTCTTTCTTTCACGCTGTCATTTTGAAGAAATCAACGAAAGAAGGCCTTCCAAAGATGCGTCTAAAGACGAATCCTTGGAAATTTCTGTTAGTAGTTCGTTTTTTTAATCGGCCAAGCGGGCACAGGCGTTGACACGAATAAATCGTCGGATCAGCGCGCGAATCACGCTATTGCAATCGGCTTAGAGAGAACGTGTCTCGGAAGCTGAATTCAGGCCCAATTCAAAAAATGATTTATTTTTTTTCAACTTTTTTTTTGAAATCGAGTTCCTAGAATGTTGTATTTCTCGAAATATACAGCTGAAGCTGAGCTGAAACATCATCAGGTTTAGTTGTTCAGCATCCTTCTTTCGATTTTGAGCACTTTTGTTGCTTCAAACGAACAAAATGCACAAATTACAAATGATGGACTGTACCTTTAAGAGGTTGCAAAGTGAAACTGGTGCTATTGCACATGCTAGTAATTGATGTTAGAGTATGCACTCTGTGGAAAAACTGGGGAACATGAAGCCAAGTTTCGTAAAGGACATTTCAGCGGCGACTTTCTCTGTGCTATAGTTAATGGTAGTGGGAATGAAGGTACTACTTAAAGACTTTCTAAATATGATCGTGGGTTCGTGAAAGCACAATAGAAGCAAACTCTCCCTTCCCTATTCTAGACCACAACTTGAAGAGAAAGATCCTGTCAATTCAGGGACAAGTACAAGAGTCCAAATTATTGGCCTTGGTGATTTTGCCAAACTTATTTTTGGTTCCGAAGAAGCATGAAAACAGATCGTAAAAAACAGGAAAACAATCACAGGGCAGCATGAAAAGATACGAGGATCACAAGGTTTTGACATGCTCAAAAGGCAAAATACACTCTTTTTTTAAAAATATATTTACAATGATCTCAAACCTCTCCAGAAATATGTACATCAACTGTAAGACTAAAAAGACAAAAACATTTTTGCCATTTTGACTTTTTGCATCCTTTACTTTTTTCATGAGAAGTGATTTTAAATGCATTGTTTCAAAGAGACAGCAGATTGTCTTTCTTTTGGGAAAATATTAGATCATCTTTGCATACACGTATTATGCCTTTAGAGCATGACAACATGGGAAAAGAAATTAAAAGAAATGCCCCTCACACACACAACGCACTGTCAACTCACCTTTCGTTTGTGGGTTGATCCCAAAATACTGCGGGTATAGAAAAGGTTAATGCCAATCTTACTTTATCATTATTTTTAAAATTGTTATGGGGTGGATAATTTAACATTAATTTACAATTAACTATTTTGAGCTTTGAATATAGTATGGGCAATAGTAATTTTCATTTTAAACTGACTTCCTAAATCGTACAAGCCTTTAAGAGTTTTACAACAACTTCAAGCAGTTTTTTGGGGGAAAACCGATTTTTGAATTTTAAAAAAAATAGTGTGGACAAAAAAACTGAATTCGCACAATGTGGAACTTTTTGTTGTAAAACTACTCAACTTTCATGAAAAAAAGGAAACTTCTCAGGAAGACTACATGTATAACTAACAGTTCTGTTGTTCAGTGTTAAATGCAAGATTTTCAAGTTAAAGTATACATGTATAAACATATTTCAAAAATCTGATGATTTTTTTTTTTGAGTGAGTGAAATAAACTCTGAACACCTGTTTGTTCTGCATTTTCAATTGTAGTGCACATACATGTTAATAATGATTTGACATGCTTATTATTTCTCTTACCACGAGCACAGCGATGATAGCGCCCATTACGGCCCCACCAAACACGTCACTCCAGTGGTGCTTGTAGTCCGAGACGCGACTCAGACAGGTATAGAGGGCCAGCAGGAGGGCGATGAACTGCACCAAGGGGCGCAGGAAAGCCGTGTCGCCCCACTTCCAGCGAGACTGCAGGTACAGCTGTGAAATTGGGGAAGACAGTGGAGACCATGTTTAAGGGAATGTAAATTAATCGGGGCTTACAGGCATTAGGACCATTTGCCTTTCAAGCATTTTGTTCGTTTCTAATACATGTAGTAACACCACTCAAAATCCAAAGAAGAATGTTCAAAGACTAACCTGTTGAAATTTCAGCTCAGTGGATATTCGACTTTTCGAGAAAACAGCAAAAAAACACAACCTTTTGTCACAAATTACGATTTCGTCCATTGCACTCTGTATTTCCAAAATTCAGTATTGACTGATCGTTGGAAATCACCTACATTTCTCGATTTCTTCTAATGACAGCAGGCCAGAAATTTTTTTTCAAGGGTGTTTAATACAAGTGCGATCTTTAATCCAAGTAAGTTTTTTTTATCGTGATTTGCTAGGTTACTTTTGGGATAAATGCAAATGATCCTACCTGCCTTTAAGTTAAACAGAGCAATTGCTCAATCTTCGTCTTTGACTTCGGGTCTGAATTCTCTCCCATTACAGGCATATTTTGAAGCTTTTGTTTTTATAATCATAAAATTTTGTACCATGACTCTTAAAATTTGGCCCCTACTTCCAACAAGACTCCAGCAAGATTCAAAATCAGGGGTCTAACATCATGCAGCTAATTTTAAACCCAAAGCCAGAGATATAGCCAATGTTTGAGAAAAAAAATATGCATTACATTACGTTGTCACAAAAAAACTTACTGAACATGCTGGACGATATTTGAAATTAATGTGCAGCTTTTCTTACAGATGTATGAAGATGCACGAAAATACAAAAAAAAACCACCAAATCATGCCTAACTAACCTCATTTTTATTACCTACACAAAAAAAAAAAAAAAGTGTCTAAATTCATTTGAAAAACACGAACTGTTTTTGAATTTAACCTCTCTGCCACTATTTACAAGAAGGCATAGCTGTTTACACCAGCTATTTTGACAGGCTGATTAGCCTTTTCCTAAAAACATTTGTCATCCTTAACAGCATCGCTGAAAGGTCAACTCCCCAACCCAGACCCAACAACCTTGCCGATATGACAACCCCTGTATATCTAACTCAACCAACCGAGACCCGAGGTATAAAACTGTCATTTTTAACTAAAAACAGGCAATCAAATTCCCTGAGGACTAGGGATAAACAGAAAACCTGTTGAGCTCAACTTATTAAATATTGATTGACTGACTTATTTATCTTGGAAACCCATACCCCTGAGTGAGCTTTAATACTTTTAGGCCAAGTAAAATAATAAACCAGTTTCTTGTTTCCGCCTGATTACTTCTTCCTGTCCACCTCCTTTAAAAAAAAAAATTGGGGGGGTTGCTCTGGATTTTTTATTCATACATAATTGTGTCGTTGTATTTCAAGCAATGTCCAAGTTCAATTTCCGGTAGAAAGGGTGACGGCTCCTTTGGACATAAAAGCATCAGCAAAAGAGTCAAGAAAATAGAAGAATCAATCTTGGAAAATCCGCCATCTTGGGAAAAAAAAGAATGGGCTGCCTCCACCCATTTTTCAAAAGCCTAGACGAGAATCATTTTTTTAAAAATTGGCCTTACCATATCTCAGTATAGCGTAACCCGGTGCTCATTAGAAGAAAAAAAATTAATTGAAAGTTCAGGATGTCGTGTGGATTGGCTGAACAATGATAACGAGCCCACTGAAAGGATATAGAATGGTTAGGAGTTCCCCGGCCAAGTAACGAACTTTAATCCCCAACCCGAAGGATGTGTGTCATCATGAGAGAGGCAGGGAGTAGGAGGGGGGGGGGGTAACAAAGCGGGAATGACTCACCGTCAGATACAGCATGCAGTAGACAGAGACTGCCGCATGGCCAGACGGAAAGGAACGACTGCCAAAAGTGAAGACAGGTTGAAACAAAGAAACAAACAGAAGAAGACGGTCAAAACACGAGTAGGATTCAGGTGTTAGCAACAGTTGGGAAACTGGCTGTAAATGTCACTAGACATTTGCCTGCTGAGTAATAATTCAATAATTGTGGGTTTAACACTCAACAAAAGGAGAGTCTTGGGGGTCCTCAAAATTACTTCTAAAGATAACTTTTAAAGCTATAGTCCATCATTTGCAGCCATCCGAAAAGTAACTGGCATAATTATTGTTGAAAAACAAACTTGGTTGAAAGATATTTAGGGAACTAAACTCCCTGTGATATTATTCTTTCTGGCAAGCTGTCATTTTGAAGTAATCAACGAAAGAAGGCCTTTCCAACGGTGTGTCTTAAGACGCACCGTAGGAAAATTTGAATTAGTAGTTCGTTTTGTTATTCGGCGAAGGACGCGTAAGCATTGGCACGACGCACACGCGCGCGCGGTTGCTATAATTCGTCGGATCAGTGCGCGACGTCGCGTATAGCTGCAATTCAAAACAATTCAAAACATGATTCAGTAACTTTTGATTTGAAATTGAGATCCTAGAATGCTGTTTTTCTCGGAATATACAGCTGAAGCTACAGCTGAAGCTGAGCTGAAACTTCATCAGGTTAGTTGTTCAGCACCCTTCTTTAGATCTTGAGCCCTTTTGTTGCTTCAAACGAACAAAATGCACAAATTACAAATGATGGACTATATCTTTAAAATAAAACAGTAACATTTACAGTACGGCTGGGCGAGTAACTCGATTACTTGAGTACTCATGAGTAGTTTATGCTGCTCGTAGGTCTACTGACTCTGAAAACTTAAAATAAAAAAACTGTGTATTTTCCTTTAGTGATCTAAAATGTAACAGATAAACCTTAATACAAAACATTTATGAAAAAAAATTCAATGTAGGCCTAACACTTCACTTTGCAGCCAAATCTGGTGGTTGAATCACTTGTTCACTCTACATGTAAACCGTTCGTCTAAGAACGTTTGATGAAAGCAAATGATGGCACACCCAACGGGGGGGGGGGGGGGGGGGGGGGGGGGGGGCTTTTTTTTAGTCCCACGATTTTACCGTGGTGATATGTTTTCGAGTAGTATAAAAGGGGTGTAAATGGCACCACCAACGTCAATATAGTCTGTCCTCCAAAAATCAATTTAAAAAAAAAAAAAATTTGTTTCTGCGGCCAAAAAATGTGGGCAACATTTTTTGAAAAAAAAATTAAATTTCTGAAATAAAATTGAAAAAAAAAAAAAAAAAGCCAAATCCTGGATGCGCCACTGCAAGCAAATCCAGCCACAAGTAAAGAGAGTATGAACAACAACTAAGGCGGGCCTTTGTCCTAGCTCATTTGAATAGCTTGTGACTTGACTAAGGACTAGAGAACTTGCGATGCAAAAAAAAAAAAACCTCACTGTGATTCCTCGATCCTATGCGCGTTGTCGCCCGTACACTCGTAGTCCTCTACATACAATGGCCGCAGCCCCTCCGTACAGTTGAAGCTGTCGAAGTTGGGCTGGCAGATATCAAAGAAGTGCGGCCTGAGCCGACCAATCACATTCTTGGAGATGTCGTAGACGGCCAAGGTGACACACAAACCGAAGAAGAACTGAGCGACGTACTTGAGGAGCTGGTAGAGGAGCGGGGGGATGACCACGTCGCAGCAGCAGCGGTTGAAGCTGCCCGGCGGGAGGTACTCCGTGTCCTGACGACGACGGTAAGCGAAGATGGTGACCTCCGTCAAGAGGATCTGTAAAATCAGAAAGCAGTCTGGGGTTTAACTCTTTAAGGCTGATTCATACTTCATGCGAAGTTAAAGGGAATGTACAACATTTGCTTTTGCTGCATTTTTCAGAAATAAATGGATTTGGAGGGCTAGTATGTAATTGCAAATATTGTTAAACTGACTTGCTTCACGTTTTGGGCTCGGAGATGCTGGAAAATCCAAGAAAACCAACCATGTTTTTGTAGTCTGGTTCCCTGACCCCAAGCAAGATGCAACGGAGCAATTTATAGACTTTGGGGGATTGTAAGGTCAGAGGATCAGTCTAAAAGGCTTGTACCCCTTCACAGGTATGTAATCAATTGCAAAGAAAATGCAGAATAACTAAATATGAAAAATTAGGAGCCCTTTTTGAAAAAAAGTCAGTTTTCTCCAACGCTGGTCGGCCGACCAGCGTTGGAAAAATACAAGTTTTCTTGAAAATGTCAGCACACCAGGAGCCACGATTTTACAGGATGCTTTAGACTGTCGTTCCCTAACAATCCAGTAAGGTATTACATGATAATTGGATCATTTCGTTTTTGATGTTTGCAAATGTTGTATCTTCCCTTTAAGGGGAATATACAACATTTGCAAACATCAAAAAGCAAACTACCAAATTATCACGAAATACCTTACTGGACTGTTAGTGAACGACAGTGTAAAGCATCCTGTATAAAAAATGATGGCACCTGGTGTGCTGACATTTCCAAGAAAAGTGGTAATTTTGTATCAATTTCCAACGCTGGTCAGCCGACCAGCATTGGAAAACACTGTTGTTTTTTCAAAATACTGCTCCCAATATCTCATATTTAGTTATTCCGCATTTTCTTTGCAATCGATTACACACCTGTAAAGTGCAAGCACGTTTGTAATTGTAAACCACAGCTAATTAATTAAGAGGCAGCATTTTCCTGACAACTTTTTTAATTCCAGGGATGTACCGATAGTCAAGTCCATCACAAGTTCATCACAAGTCCATCACAAGTCCATCACAAGTCCATCACAAGTCCATCACAAGGCCATCACAAGTCGAGTCACAAGTGGACAAACAACTACAAGGAATGCATATGTCAAAGCTCATTTGAGTAGCTTGCGAGTTGAATTGGATGGACTTGCAGGGTTCATGTGACGGAATCGACCACACCCCAGCCTGTGTTGTTCTTCCAAAATCCTCCATTTTCGCAGAAAACCAGTGGAAAGTTCTTGGTCCTTACAAGCCAAAGGGGCGTTGAAAGCCCCAGGTTATGTCAAAGCTTGGTTCTTCCTGTGGGAAATTCTCCCAAACCCCAGCATTGTAGTCCAGGTACATCACAAATCCGGTCACAAGTAAATCACATCTCAGTGCCCTTGTCACGTCTCACTGGAACAGCTCGCGAGTTCTAACTGACTTGCGATGGACTTCTGATGGCTTATCGCTGCACGTTTCTCTTTGTTTCCCCATTTTCCTGCTTCCTTTTTACCCTCACCCTGAGTGGCTTTTCATCCACGGTTGAGATGACTTCCATAAACTTATTTTTAAAAAAATTCTAAAGGAACTACTACGAACAGCTTAAGTCCATGGCTTTTAAGAGTAGATGTGTAGCTCCCATTCTTTTAAAATTCTGAGTAAGGCCAAAAAAAAAAAAAAAGTCGGTCTCTGGTCAGCGTGCGTCGATGTTAATCATGTGCGTCAATCTTCTTTTTTTTCCAAAATGTTCCGCGGTAGCTCCAACAGCGCCCTCTATTGCCGCACCTCCTCAATTTTTTTTACCAAAGAGCACCAAGGAATGGGAAATTGCACCAAGGCAAATGATCGAAAGAACCAAGGCAAATTAGGGAGGACACCAATGTACATGAAGACACCAAAAAAGCAAAATAGTATCCCACCTTGTCTGTACAATCCAAGCTTGAAAAAAAAAAAAAAAAAAGAAGCCGCGTCACCGCGTCAATTCCAGAACTTTGGTCTGACCAGAGACCGAATATTTTTTTTTTTGGCCTAATCATGCCATGTGGTGATTTTAAACTATGTACCGGTGTCAATGTACTTTATGCAACAATATGATGGCATATACCGGTACAATATTTTAAAATTCCAATGAGTAATCATGTCATGTGGTGATTTTAAACTACGTACTGTATGTACTGGTATCAATGTACTTTAATTAAACTACATGTAATGGTACCGATAAAATGTACATGTACATGCATGTACCGGTATGTACATAAATGATTTATACATTGTATATTATACATGTTCCGGTGCAACATTTGTGCATCACATTTGAGGCAAGTTGTTCTTACTGTTATACATACGTACATGTTCTGTAGGTACATGTAGCCTATGGGTATTGTAATAATATTGTGTATAAAGCGCACGTATCCACCAGTATGCTCATTGGGCCAAGGAAACATTCAAAACACAATCTCAGCTCCCTGGACATCCATTTTCTCCTGGGTGAGGAGAAGCAATGAGTGACAAAGTGCCTTGCCTAAGGGCACACGCACCATGACCCCAGGCTGGACTCGAACCCACATCCTGCAGAGTAACCCGCAGACCTCGAATTCAATGCTCCAGACCACGAGGCCACGGCACTCCACACATAGATAAGTAGAGTATTACTGATTTCATGTTTCAGGATTCATTTTCACTAACAACGACATTTAGAAATTGTATAATGTATTTGGATGGTCCTAGTACTTGTAAATACTGTACATTCGTTAATTGTTTTTGGCTTGTTATGAGTTTGTTAGATTGAACATTTGAAATATGACTTTTTGAGCAGCACAAATTAATGAAATCGATGTATTTCATTATAATTCTGTTAGGCCTAACTCCCTAGGCCTTTTTGTTAGGATGTAGCCTCAAACCTGCAAAATCCTCCAATTGGCCTCACGGAAAAATAGCATAGCCTCAATCCTGCAAATTCTTCCATTATTTCTTGAACATGGTCCGTGGAGGGGTCACCACTGCCTGAATCCTGCAAAATCCTGCGGCAGTGACTGTGTTGTGACAGTGATATGTTAAGGGTTGGCCAGTGACATCCTGGAGCAGTGCGGAGGATTTCACGCATAATCCAGGCCTATATTTATGCATGGCTGAGCAAAAACAACACAAGGTCCAGCCCAAGACCTTGACAAAGTGCATCCTATGAAATCAGTAAGGCACTTTTGCCATGTAACCAAATTCCTCCACTTAGGCAAACAGGGCTTTGACGGATTCAGGGGGGTTAGGGTTATAGCAACAGCTACATCACATCCTATCATGTAACGTTTGAAATGCTATTTTTTAAATGCACAGTAAATGAGAAAACTTTTTACAAATCGTGTCGGAAACCCTGCTTATCGATGTGGGGGGGGGGGGAGTTTAGATGTTAACAGACCAGTCTCTAAGGGGGACCCAGATGTCCATTCCCCCCCCAACTGGCCCCTCCATTGGCAAAAAACATAAGTGTAAAAATGATCTACAATCGTGTTGTTTTTTTTGTGGTGCACCCCCCAGCTTGTACTATGGCACCCCCCCCCCCCCCCCCATGCCCGGAGCTGGCGACTGGACTGGATATACAAGCATTACAAGATCCTTATCTTATAAACCTGTGTGCTACACTAATTTTATTTGAGCCCTCAAATCTCTTTCTTCCTGTTGTTTAATTATTTGATCTTTCTCAACTAACCTGTTTATTTCAACTCAATCTCCAAAAAATAAAAACCTGACGTAAACAAAATAATCAAACAGTTCCGTAACACTAGGTGTACATGTACTTTACAAAGTCTTTCCAGGAATGGTTCTTAATGATTCGTAAACCCATCAAAATCAAGCAAACACAAGCGCTCTGTTGGCAAAAGGGGTGTGTAATCCAAACCAACTCAACTGATTGGCTTTCAATGAACAGGATACAGTTTTTGACAATGTATGGCATTTATCTACTGAATACGAATACACAGAACCAAAACAAATTTGACCACATGGGCATACAGCCAACTTCCACTGACCCTCAAAAGTGCAAATTTAGTTCTCAAAACCCACGATGGTTCTGATATACGAGAATGGACTTTTAACTACAAAGTACACATGTACGTGACCATGGCCAGGTTTATTTCACATATGACTCATATGTGGGGTGCTGTGGCCTCGTGGTTAAGGGCATTGGATTCGTGGTCTGCAGGTAAAGCTGCGGGTTGTGGGTTCGAGTCCAGCCTGGGGTCACGGTGCGTGTGCCCTTGGGCAAGGCACTTTGTCACTCATTGCTTCTCTCCACCCAGGAGTAAATGGGTACCTGTCAGGGCAGAGATGGTTAGTGTGATTGAATTAGCTTCCTTGCACCTAAAGTAACATGCAGCATCGAACTGTATACTCCCTGGGGAGCTGAGATGCTGTTGGGAATGTTTCATGGGCCCAATGAGCAGGGGTAATAATGATGTAGCGCCTTGAGCACCAATACAATACGTGCGCTTTACAAATACCCACTATTATCATCATATTCAGCACGTACTACAAGTACTGAATTCAAACCACACAGGCCAAAGATATTTTTGAGAATTTCTTTACAATTTCTATTAAGTTTGAGGCCCATTTAGCCGGTCTCGCGTCTGGATTTGAGGTCTTCACCGGTTCACCCCATCTTCTGGGGTCCTCAATGAAAAGGGAAGCATCACTAACATAGAGAAAGTGTGTGAGCCAATGGTTACCCAAGTTAATCCCTTCCGATGACAGTATTTGGTCCATGACCTGTACCAGCAGCCGATGAGCTGTTTCTTTTTGCAGAAGAGGACCATGCTACCTTGGTACTTTGTAATTTTATAATCACTCTTGGACTCAGATGGAGGACAACTGACAATAAGGAGTGCCATCAGAATTATAAAATCAGAAGTCAGATGAACTGTAACAGGGACACAAAAAAGTGGACCCCAAATTTAGGCCTATAGCATGGCCATTCTCGAAGTGGAGGGGCACAGTCCATGTACTGTCGTAAGATACTCAAAAATTGGCAGGAAAGAAGGAATATTCCAAAACTGGAGGGAGAAAATGCCAAACCCCCCACCCCCAGTTTCTGCCACCTATATGCCTGTTGCATGCTACAATCCTGGCCAAATCTCGCTGGTTCCCCCCCCCCCCCCCCCCCCCCGGCCCCAACTCAATGTTGTCTCTCATTGCGCGGTGTGTGCTCCATCAGCTGGAGAGAACAACATTGACCGGGGGAGCGGGGGAGTGGGTGACCGTGGCAGGCTCAGGAAGTGTGCCAACCATTTTGGCCGGGATTGTAGCTCATGATTAAGCCAACACGTACCAATATGAGAGGCAAACCTATGCCCACTGAGTACAGCACGGCTGAGGAGACAGTAGAATCCTTGTATGGATAGGAAAGGCTCTCATCATAACAGAAGAAACCGCGCTGGTAGATGGGAAGTTTCAAGCCCGGAATACGGAACAATATTGCTGGTACTGCGACTGTAAACCCAAAAAAAAGAAAAAAAAAAGTTTTAAAAATCACATACAAATTGATATGCAGTTGGTGGGTTAAATGCATCAGTCAATTGGGGTCCAAATGAATTGAGTGCTTATTTTTATTTAGGCCAAAAAAACTACTAGTTCGGCTTCCGGTTTCCCTACCTACCCTATTCTGACAGCCCCTGCCCTATTTTTTTATGGGAAAAATGAGAAAAAAAAACACCCAAAACCATCAATTTCTACCTTTTACCCTTGACTACACGCAGACTCCTCCATATGACCGTACACAAAAAAAATTGGCAAACAAAAAAACAAATTCCCTACCTACCTACCTACCCTATTTTCGAATGCCATGTAATTGGAAGCAGAATTTTTTTTTTTTGGGGCCTGAGTTAAATCAACAGTCAATTGAGGTCCATACAAATCGAGTGCTTATTTTTATTTATCAATGGAAAAAAATTAATATCAACTTGCACTGAAAAAAGAGGTATAAATTTTATGTTATAACATCACTGTCCCAATCAGCACCATAAATGTGGCTCAAATACTGGACATCCTCCGTATTGTGAGCCACACGGCAGGGCTAGCTAAGTATGAGGAAAACTTGTTTTGAAGGAAATTGAAATCAGGACTGTTTTTTTCACTTGATATTCATTATGACAGATGCTTACCCAGTTAATAACAAGGAAATCCCCTGTAATGCCTGTAATTTTCAGGCAAAAGTTGCAGAGAGTTTGTCCAAAAAATTACTGCTGTATTTTTCTCGTGGTCAGGGGTCATCACTTTTAACCTATTTATTTTAGTTATGTGAGCTTCCATAGTGAACATCAAGTGCAAAAAGCAGGACTGATTTTAGTTTCTTTAAGGCAGTGGCCAGTGGATATTTAGCCGGAGACGGCAAACCTTCAGGATATGCACTGAACATGCACAGTTACTGTTTTTTTGTACTAAGACATTTTACGGTGACAAATTTTAGTCTGGCTCCATGCCAACATTATTGTTGTAACTTCGAATTCACAAGATGGGAATCAGACCATTTTACAATTTAAAATAAAATCCTCCAGAGCCACAAATCTGAAAAAGAAAATGTAATACGGTACTCTGCAATAAAATGTTTGAGACATGTTAAAATAATAAAAGAAGAATATTGTTATTTTTGGGGGATGGGGAAAAATAAATAAAAAATGTCGCCAGTGGGGCCGGGGATCGAACCCGGGTCTTCCCGCTCATGAAATTCGTTGCTTATCCACTTGACTACAGGCGCTACACAACCGTTGATGGTAATTTAATATATCTTATAATTCAGCCCTATCTTTGAGAATACAGCGCCCTCTGTTGATGGGGATTGCCGCCGGCAAACCTTTAGTAAACGTTAGCTTGCCGGCATTACCTCCGGCAATATATCCACTTTCTTTCTTTAAACACAACATTTCCTCATACGTAGCCATCCCTGCTGTGTGAATCTGTCATACTTGTCATAAAAATCACGTTCACATATGACATATCTGAAACCCTCCCCCTAATTTTGTGCAAATTTCCTGTGATTGTGTAATGAAGGGCATTTTTCTCTATACCTTTTGTGGTTAAGGGAACAAAAATTTACTTTTAGGTTATTGGACTTAGCAAACCAACAGGTAGGGCCTATGCCACAGATCACAGAGGGCAGGGTTTTCAGTTTTTGAGGGAAATTTTTGAGTACAGCGATGCTGAAGATGACAAAATGCAACACGAAAATAAAGACACCACACGTGAAAGATGGCGATCCTCGTTACTCGCGACGCAAACACGCAAAACTGCATTGATTCGCATGGCACCAACCGTAAAACTGTAAGAAACTGTTCAAAATTACTAAAAATTATATTATTATGTTTTGTTAGCTACTACTAGGCCTACATGTACCATTCTTGTTAATCACATCAGTGTTACAATAAGAACATTAAACTTTTAAAGGAAGTAAATTTATTTCAAATCAAAAACAATTACATATAGTCGTGGCGCACTTCGAAGCTTACCCAACTTTCCTCGTGTAGTGTTGCCAAACCTCTTTGTTGACAAACCTCAAATTCATGCAGTAAAATACTAGTACTTTGACCTTATTAATGCATGCTATTTAACCTCTTTGAACTATTTCGGTTTCATAAAATTTAATCCGAAATTTAAAAACGGTGGCATCTGGAAATTGGGCACAAATTCGCGGAGTGTTCCCTAACGTGGCGCACTTAAATAAATCTCTGAAAATTCCAAATTAACATTTAAGAATTTCTGTTAACTTGATAAATTCTGATAAATCATTATTATCTCTACTTACATACCCAGCCAGATGTTCGTCAGAAAATTATTTTCTTATTTTTCGGGGCATTTTCAAAGTGTTCACTTTGCACTTGAAAATAAAAATCAGAAAATCACGCCAAAATAATTTTTTCTTCTAACTTTGTAACGGGTGAATAAAATCACGTTTTATGAACGGGAGTGTTTAGAACTTGATGAAATGTCAATTTATGTGAAATTTCAGTTAAAACTTTTGCTCTAGCTAGGCGCTACAGGCGAAAAATCAAAGTGCGCCACGTTGGGGGCCGCGCCACGTTAGGGTACATCAACAATTATTAACACACATAATAAAACCGTGAAACAAACTTATTTTATGTATGTAGCCTATATGTTTTTATGAATGAAAATGAACAATTTACCAAGCACCAAAGCCAAGGTATCCAGGAGAATAAATCCACACTTTGCAGCACCACTTCCTGCCATGTTGACTCCAGAGAGTTCCTCAGCGGAATGGATAGATTTGGGCGCTACAAAGTATGATGCCAATGAGTAATTTTATGATCAAAATGAGTCATTCACGTGTGAAGTTGTACTCATTCAATGACAGTTCATATCCGCGTTCGCGTAATCCGCACAACCGGACCTGGCTGTAGGTGGCGCTATTTATAAACAAAAGCTGAACGCGCGCACGTGCCAAAAAATTATTATTTGGTTGCACTGCAGAAAATCTCACGTGTCCATTTTGTGAAAGGAAGCCCCCCGGAATTTGTGTCACAAAATTAACGGTTTGTATACATGTATACATGTCATGAAATGAATGGGAGGTTTGCGGTAAACCCATGTGAATGAAAGATATTTGTAAGGCAGTTGTTCTGAGAAGAACCAGTTGGTTTAGCTCGACGTTTCGAGCTGTAATGCTCCGCTCGTCATTCACATGGTGTTTCCGCAAACCTCCCATTCATCATTGATCATGTCTAACATGCCGACCCTTAAGTCTAATTGTCGTGAAACGATTTGAACAAAAATAATGCAGATAAAGTGCTCCGATTGTATGTGGGGTTTAAATAGTCACACCTAATTTTCACTAATGGTAAAAATGTGATAACAACTGGGAAGTTCTCACAATAATAAATGCGCACTCTATTCGTCAGGGTAACGTTGGCCATGCTCCGTCCCTGGTGATAACTTAAAGACCTTGCTCTATGGTTAAGGTCCCCCCCCCCCTCTCCCTCTTTGCAAATGTTCAATTTGTATGTTTGATGTTTGCGGGGGAAAAGGCTCACTAGACCGTTATCATGCCGCCACCAATGACAATGTTGCTTTTTGTGTGCAAAAAGAAACCAGACTATTTTCCCTTCCAGCCTCGCTTTGGTTACGTTGCTTTGAGTGGGAAAAATATCATGATGGCCGCAAACATGATAATCAGGTCTATAACATGAATGTTACACAAGAACATGATGTAGATTTACAGACACCGCTGCCTGAGTCTGACATCCCTTGGTTAAAAGGATCCGTGCTTTTCCTCGAAACTGAGGGCGCTGTGTTCACTCTTCAGTACAGTGCATGCAGGGGAATTTTGTTTTAATTGTCAACCGAAAATTTGCTTATGAAATCATTTGTGCATAAAGTTTGTTTAATGACTTATACTGTCATGTACAATACTCACACACACAAAACCAGAAAATTGTCCACATCAAAACAAAAACTAAAAAATTCGGAGACTTTTGATGCTGAGACAGCTTTAACACAGAAGTTTCAGCCTTGAATGACATCACAGTTTTGCTTATGAAATTCGTGTTAACATGAAAACAACAAGACACCAAAAAACACCATTTAAAATGGCAATATGAAGATCGAAAAGTAAATTTAAATTAGGCAAGGTGATTGCAGAGATTGCGTTGAATTTTTTTTATTAGATGGGCCCTTTGAAAGGCTTATAGTTGGGTTTGCGCCGGAGGTCTTACCCACAAACAGATCCACAAGCCTCACATAACGCAAAACCTGTGCAGTAATTAATCCATAACTATAAACGTTGGTGGAGTATTTCGTTCGATGTCTCACTCGGTAGTAAACACCTTTTGTATTGCCAGCGAAATGTGGGACAAAATCAGGGCGAAAATCGAACATTTTGAGCGGAGAGGACAGCTTTAACAAAACGATCGGAACTTTTTAGTCCCGACAGAAATAGCAAAACCCGGAAAGTTTCACGACCTCGAAAACAGCCCATGTACTGATTTAACAGAAGTGAAGTATTGTGCATTGTGTTATGACACAATTCCTGCATTTTTTCATTTATCCAGTGCAACACAGTAGCTTTTGACGATAACCACTCAGTTAGAAAACTCCATACAAAATTGATGAATGATGGTGCATATTTCCACCGTGAAAAATACACAAGAATTAGTGTTCCATATACTGAACTGTATTGAACTATAGAAGTCGTTGATTGATAACAATGTATTGTTATATAGGAAGTCAACGATGGCGGATTGTGTGGTGATTATTCTGGTGAAATGTGCTCAAATTTGTATCCTTGTACTTTATAGCAGTGTTGGGTGTGTGTGGGGGTGGATGGGGCTGGATTTGAGGGAGGTGCATCAAAAAATAATATACATTTATTACACGCCAGTGAATAATTTAACGACAGCATATCATATTCAACAGAGGTTGCACATGCTGATGGGTGTGTTTGGCTGAAGCAGGTCTCTGCCGTGTGACACTCCTTATAAGACTCCTTGCATCATGGCATGGTGCGCCCCCACCGACGGCAGTTTTTGTTGTTTAAATTCATTACAGAGGAACAAAGACCTGTCCAAAGATAATGACGTCAGATGAACGGGGTCTATGTATAAGCCGCTTTATATTTTTTAAACTACCTTGGCTTCCACCTTCTTTGCAAAGGGCGAGTCCAAAAAAAACACGTCCCTTTGGATAATTCCTTGTCTGCCACAAAAACGGAAAAGGTTACCAGTTTTTTTCTCTTCAGCCAACATTCGATCTGGGAATTGACTTTGTTCCGTGCAAATGTCACTGATATTCATCCATGCATGCAAAGGATGCGGGCCGTGCTTTGAGACTACCCCCAAAACACTAACAGCACAATGTTTTCCAATATATTTAATGAAAGGCCTGTGTCCTTTGCACTAGTGCAAGTAGGAATATCAGTCAAATTTATACTACATGAACAGATGAAGTCAATACCCAGATCGAATGTTGGCTGAAGATAAAACTTGGTAACATTTCCCGTTTTTGTGCGAGACGAGTTATCCAAAGGGACATTTTTTTACTCACCCTGTACAACGATGTGTTTGTTATAACATGGACATTATCATAAGGACTTGATTGGGGTCTTTTCTCAAGTCAAATTGTTGATGTTATTCATGTTCATGAAGCGCTCAGCTAACATTAATTCACATAGCAACATTATACATGGGAATAATGTTATCTTGACCACTCAGAATATGCGGGTATCTTGCAGTGTTGTAGTCGAGTACTTTTTGCCGAGCACCAAGTACTGCCGAGTACCTAGGTTGCCGAGTACGAGTACGAGTACTTGTGCTTCCGAGTACAAGAACAGGTCTCCGAGTACGAGTACTTGAGCTTCCGAGTACGAGTATACGAGTACTTGTTTTCCGAGTACGAGTACGAGTACTTGTACTTTCGAATACGGCACCGGGTACATTGTGCTTGAAGCCTAAAATTGTGTTCTGTTAATCAGTTGTGATACAACTTAGGGTTCGTCTTTGCTCTCAGCCTCTGCCATGTCATTATATGCAAATCAACGCACGAAAACATGCGTTTAACATTGTAATTACTCGGCATTAAGTGGATACCTAATATTCCTTGCATACTAATAATGTTGAATTTCCATCTTTAATCAGACAGGGGGTTAATAAAATTCTTCGTCGGGGATTAAAATGCATGTGGTTGAAACCAGATGGTCTATTCAATGCGAAACAATACTGTTCCGGTGACGAATTAAAATTTATTTTTTTAAAATTCTACGAGGGTCAAAACAGCAAGGAATGATGTGCATGTCAAGCAGAGTAAGAGATGAGATTTTGCTTATACATGTACACTCATAATTATTGTGTCTAAACCCCTGCCTATTTCCTCTTAATTATGGTTATATTTTGGTCAACCATACGAACAAATCTATTGATTTAACTTAAGAGATTCAAGGGCCAGCTATAAACGCGGGTTTCTATATTTTCGGTTGATGTCTCATTTAGAGAAAGTGACTTTTGTATCGATCACAAAAAAAGCATATTGAAAAACAGACGGGTTACTGGTTTGTAGGACACACACATTGCTCACAAGACGAATTCAAACCGGTTGTAAGCATATGTTACAAGAAATGTTATTAGCAGGCGAAGAATTCATTATTCGCGCATCCCATGCTATACTCCGTGGAAATAAATAAATTGAAAATATAACTTGGGAAATGTGGGTTTATTTAGATCGATTCTTGACACACTAATGCAATAAATATGAAAATTATAGTATGATTTTTATTGGCAGTATGTGAGCTAGAAATAAATACATGTGGTAATCGTGTGATTTTTTCACCAAAACTAAGGAAAACTATTTTAAGGGACGTCAGATTCGCTCATTTTGGCTCTACTGTTATGAAAATCACGAGTCTCCCATTTTGTTTCGAGATCCTGAGTGACTTCGCGAAATTATTGAGCGTCGGTAGGCCTACTTTGCCCCATTTCCACCTTGCCCTATATTGTCTAAAGCTCTATACAGGGTGAGTAAAAAATAAACGAAACCCGAATGTCAGGATCATTGTTTTAGTGAAGTTCTGCATGTAGCACTTTCAAAATCTGGGATGTGAAAGCCCAATTCATAATCTTTCTTTCGGCACAAGAATCATTTAAATCACTTATGTAATTTTTAAGTTACGGAATATTAAACACAACCACCGTTTTATAGTTCTGTCCACGGATCACAAAAAGTGTTCTTTCTGAAAAACGAAAACAAATCACACACACCTTTTTTTTAGTGATCCGTGGACAGAACTTAAAAACGGTGGTTGTGTTAAAAGTTCCGTAACTTGAAAAGTACATGAGTGATTTGAATGATTCTTGTACTAAAAATAAGCTAATGAATAACGCTTTCATATCCTAGATTTTGAAAGTGCTATACATGCAGAACTTCACAAAACAAAAGTCCGGACATTTTTATTTCGTTGTTTTTTTACTCACCCTGCACTCTAATATAGTGTAACTATATAAGGACTATATGGATTACACTGTATGAGGATGAAACTCCACTCTTATTTTTACATTGAAGTAATTGTCACTCGAATGGGGCCAACTCTTGGGCTTTCATATCCTAGATTTTGAAAGTGCTACATGCAGAACTTCACTAAAACAATAGTCCGGACATTTTTTTTTTTTTTTTTACTTACCCTGCACTCTAATAATTATAGTGTAACTATTATAAGGACTATGGATTACACTTAAGATGAAACTCCACTCTTATTTTACATTGAAATAATTGTCACTGAAATGGAGCTAATACTTCTGACTTAATAATTATACCTTATGGGTAGCGGCCATCTTTTGTTATTTTAATTCAGTAAAAATGAACGCACAAAAGGTTCACTCATGCATATCTCAGCAAAACAAAGGCACCGGCCCCTAAGATGGCTGCTACACTTTAGGTGTACTACGGACGATGATCGAGCTATCAACGCATTATGGGAAGACTGTACAGTGTAAACCAAGTGGGCCAACGTTTTTATAGTGACTAAAATTCACATTTGACAGTGCAGATTTGATTAAAAAAATTTGAGGTCTGTGCTTTTGGGCAACAGGTATACGTATGACTAGACCTCTGGTGCATGCATTAAATTAACATCACAAAACACGCCTTCAAGATCGCTGCTGGATGGAATCGGTCTGCTCTCATCACGGCGGGAATTACTACGATCAAGTGCTGCATGCCCGAGAATTCACCGTCTTTATAGATAACAAGATGTGTGTCGCGTCAACTTTTTGTTTCTCAAAACTTGGTCTTGTCAAAGCCCCAGTGCGTGTCCAGTCGCCTTGGTAATTCCTACTTTCTACAGAGGGAAAGTATAATATTGTATCTTCTTCACGAAAATGTATGTACACTAGCCCTCATTGTAACAGGTTGATTCCCGGATTAACAATGGGTATGCACAAAAGCTCGATAAAAGAAAACTATTTTCATTGTCACATTCGACACAGTGCCCACCAGTGTGATATTCGTCTGTATGGTGTCTGGCAAATTTGACGCAGACTTGACCATGAAGTCAGTGTTCATTGTCGCTTTTCAGTCGACGCTGTGAATCGTGGCTTTGCAATTAAAAACGGTCGCAGATCAAGGTCGGTGAATGACTTCGTACTTGGTTTTTTTTTGGCAGGTGTAGATCAGATTCTTTTTTCAATACTCTGCAACCTTTTATTCGCCTAAAAGGTCGCATGGCTACGGCCAGGAATAACACGTGCACAATCACTAATGGAAGCCACTGACTAACGGCTGCGCAACTTCCCATAGACTCGTGTGTTATTTCCGGCCGTAGCCATGTAAATCAGATACAGCCTTGCAAACTTGGCTTTTAAAAGTGAACTCTAATTTCTGTGAGCTCCCATTGGACACGGCTGCAGACCAGAAAATAAACTGCCATAGACCCATGTGATAATACCCCCAGTTCGTAATATCAGGAGAAATACTCACAACTCTCTAATGTGTATTTTTAATAAACCTCTATGAAAAAAAAATCCACTGAGCTGTTTTTTGGTGTGTGTGGACCCCCTAACCCGCCCCCCCCCCCGGATCCGCGGCCTGGTGCCGCATTACCACCACTAAATGAAGTTGTTCAACACAACATAGATCACAGCTCTCTCCTCTATCATTATGAGAGACATGGGTAATCTCCAAAGACATAGAAAGCAAAATAAATGCTTTTGCCACCTCTTGCTACCGCATTATGCTGAGCATCAAGCGTGTCGGCCATGTTCCCAGTGCCACCATCAACATTACGACCATGACCAACTCAAACACTCTTGTGCAGCTATAGACCTTTCTTTTGATTGTAAACATTGGCGCCATTTTATATGGGCTGCCGAAAGCGCATATATTGAAGCCGTGGTTGGCAACATGTTTTACCCAAAAAATTTCCCCAAACGCCCTCAATACAAAGTTAAAAGGCATGTTAAGGAATTATGTTGTAGCTTTGTTGACAATGTTGTACTTCCAACCATCAAATAATATTTTGGTTATCTGTAATAACCCTTCTTTATTTTTGCAGTGTTGGACCTTCCATAGTTTTGCAACCCGTGGTTGGCAAAAATGCAGTTTGCCAACCAAGCGTAAAAAGGTCTATAAGAACTCGGCAGCTCAAGCTCCTTGGACCATGGAGGTAGAATTAATTCTACCTCCATGCTTAGACACATACTCCGCATGCCAGACGATGAGCCTGCAAAAGTGTATGCCAGGAAGACAACGCACATCATACCTAACTTATATTCAATGCTTGCTTGGAGGTAGTGATGGCATGTTGCGACCAGACACACTTGCCCGTGATCGCAGTAAATGGAAGACGCTTATAGTTGCCTGCTCCGCAGCCGAAGGATGATGATGATGTGCCGCATTAAAATAGGAAAATACCTGCTAACACCCCCCCCCCTCCTTGGTATAGCTGAACCCCGTCAGGGTACAAACCTAGATCCGAGCCGCCCCTGCAATGAACATCCACATAGGTCTCTGACGTATCATATTTTCCATTGATTGATTAAACCGACCTACATAATATTTAATGCGGTGACGCGTGCACAGCAATTCCTACCAGCAATCTCCCACAATGCTATGCAGATGTCTTTTGAAATGCACGCGCGCCAGCAGCGCAGCCGACCATCTGTCACAACCGTATACCCAGGGTTTAAGTACCGACGAAACCTCGGAATCACCGCGCATTCTGTGAAAATTAAACCACGGAGCACACGGCTCTAAAATTCTCGGGGAATTCAGCAAAATCGTTTAAATACGGCGCATTATTTTACTCGGGTTAATTTTTTTTTAAAAGTAATTGTACACGAAGCATTAACACCTTTCCACGAGCTTTAGGGCGTTTGCTTAGTTAAAGCTTAAGATTTTGCCACCTCCGATGAGTAACTATTCAGAGGACCAATCCACACGGGGGGAAAATAGAGCTATCTGTACAACAAGGCGAGATCGATCCGATGGACTTCACTTTCGAAGACAATCCGACCAACTCGAGTCCTCCCCTCCCGGTGAGCTGCACTCCTCCAAATTGATCGTCAGGCATCCTGTTCTTTTCCACGGTAGCTCACTGAATGGTCTCTGCAACACGGACCACTACCGACAAACCGAGCGGGTCCGCATTTTCCAGACAGCAGTGTCGGCGTTTTTCCGTGAAGCCATGTCGGATGGCGAGCGGGGAGATAATTACGGGGCAGGCAGACACAGGGGGCTGCCACCGCCGCTGACAACCCAGGCGTACCATCCCATCACCGTGCCAGTGCTACCTCCAGCACCGGCACCGGCACCGGCACCGCCACCCCCGCCAAGCCGGCACTACTGCTGCAGCCCCGGCTCTCGCTTGGTCATCTTCTGCGGACTCCGGAAGAGCCTGCGAGAGATCCTGAGCTCCAAGCACACCTCGTCCATGTACAGCCTGGTACCTATGATGTACTCCCAGGCCGACCTGTTCTACAGTCCGAGATCCAAGCGGAACGACAGCGAGGGAGACATGGGGCAATCGGCTACAACGCTCGGCGGCGGTGTGTCCTCCGCCTGGAAGGGGCTCAAGATTGCTGTGACGCCTAACCCCAAAGCGCATCTGCATTTCAACGTGAGTATTCCAAGTACAAGTCCAGATTGACGAAAACTAATATGTCCCCTTCCTTTCAAGGACACAAGAGGATTAACAGTTTAGAGACAAAGACTTTCTTTTAATCGGTCGTGTGTATCTTTATTTCGTTAAATATCGGTCATGAATGGACGGCCCTGGAGTAGGTCTAATTCCTTTGTACAATGTTGAGATTGTAGAAGCCATCATCGAAACAAATAACAATCGTACATAACACACGACATTACAGGGCGTGTTCAATTTTTTTTAGGGGGGGGGGAGTAAGCAACACTTTATTTCCCCTCCATTTTTCACACTTTTATACGACCCTGGGGGGGGGGGGGGGGGGGGTGGGGGAGGGTGGTTAACCCCCTACCCCCTACCCATCGATGCACTACTGCATTGTACCAAGTGGGGTTAATTTCGAAGAAATCCACGCAAGTACACAAGGTGTATTATCCTTGATCCGAACCAGGATCACAACAGGAGGAGAATCAGATAGAGACCTGATTCACCCGAAGTGCTCAAAAAGTTGCAATCAAAAATCAGGGAAACTTGACACTCTCTTTATTAAAAATTCTCCACAAATTCCATAAGGCAAAGACGAGGTCGTACGTATTCACCAGCCAAGATTGTATTTGTTCAAATTCTATTTAAGTACAGTTTTATTCCGACATGTGATACCAGAAAGAGAAATCAGCTAGTCAGCTATACCCACAACGTGAAACATCTACTTTTAGTTTTAAAACCACCATTGGTGTCACAAAACGGATTTTCATTGAAACTCCCCAACCGTGCATAGCCCGGGGTTGTTGTACCGTGATTTCCAAGGTCATTACCGACAACTTGCAGGGGTGGACAGTTCCCGGCTCACTGCTACTCTCCTGGAAATTTCACGGGAACATCATTTGCCCATACATTACCAACGCCCGTGGCTTGCAATGAAGTTAAAAAAAACCGAATGTAGGCTTTTTTAGGCAGTTCCATAGTCCTTTTTTAAACCCAATTCATTACCAAAACAGTTTTGCAATTAGTCACATTTGTTTGGGGTTTGACACCGTATGTGGCATACCGTACCCCTGCCTTGCTGCGACACCCAAGAGCCGGCCCCGCCCCAAGGGTTTAAAGTGAAAACTTAAGAATGTCGGTCCTTCGCTCACTCGACTATTAAGCGAGTGGCGCACGTGTAATTATGCGTCCTTATTACCTGTGGAGCCATGAAAATTTCAATAGGCCTGCTGGTTACGGTCAATTCTTTTATGATACAAAAGTGATTTTTAAAACATCTACAATTCTAAACGATACAATCAATCACAACCGATTAGGGTTATAAATATTAAGAACCCTGATATACAGGACAGGTATAGCTGAAAAGAACAGGGAAACAAAATGCGTTGAAAACAGTATTTACAATTCCAGGGACGGTTTTATTCTCGTAAATAGTGTTATTATTATCGACAATCATATTTGCAAATAATTCAATTGAATCGTAAGTGAATTGTTGTGAATATTGTAGTTTTTGTTTCTCGACAATATAATTTCCACAACGCGCTTACTCACTTACTACCCAGCACAGAATAATGTTCGGAACTTATGTAACACATGAAAGACAATAGCCCATGAACATTATTTTGTTCTTTGCGTGTGACCGATTTTTTTTTTACCAAAAGCTATAGGTCTATAATACCGCACGGTGCAGGATATCTGCACAATCCAATTAAAAACGGACGGACACTTTTTTGCGGGCAGGGCATTAGATTAATAACTATCAATGAAGAGCCACATAAACAGGAAGAAAGGAATCATGCACAAAATGCCATAGAAAGCCGTAGTTTTTGTCTTTAGATCATTAATGTCTACGCAAAGGTGCAGGAGGGTTCAAGCCATTAATGCCCACATAAGACCCTTGTTGTTACCAACCGTTCCCCCCCCCTAAAAATCTACATTGTGTGGTGCATTCGTCATGCACGTGATTACCAGAAGTCGTGAAAGTAACGACCTTGCACAAATTACAAATGAGGCGACGAGATATTGATATCAAAAAATGCAATTTGTCGAAATCCATGTCAGTCTTTATTGTTTTTGTTTTTACCAGAGATGGTTATGTGATTGAATTAGCTTGCTTGCGCCTAACAGGCAGCATCGAGCTGTATACTCCCCAGGGAGCTGAGATGGTATTTGGAATGTTTAATTAGCCCAATGATCAGGGGTAATAATAATACTGTAAGCGCTGTGATTTAGTTTACTAATAAGAGTGTTCTTAAATGCCGATTATTATTATTATTAAGAAACTTTGAAGTTTATACATATGCCATAACAGATGTTTCAAGGTTGAGGAAAAAAGGTTTACCATTCTCTTTTAACCTCCTTGGTCAATTTCAAATATCAGTTCAACCGATAATACCGGTATTTATTTGATATGATCATTTGCATTTGTCCCAAATGCAACAAACTGAATTATTATCCAAAAGCTTACTTGGATTGGATTAAAGGTCGTACTGGTACCGAACACCCTGTGAAATGATTCCATCTGGCTTGCTGTCAGTTTGAAGAAATCAAGAAATGAAGGTGATTTCCAACGATCAGTCAATTGACTGATTTGTTTGGGAATACGGTAATCGTGTTTCGTGATCAAAAGCTTGTGCATGGTTTCAGGGGCGGCGGCGCCGGCGGAACGCTTTTCAAACTAGGGGGGGGGGGGCAACACCAAAAACTAGCACTTGCTCAGAAAAGGGGCACCTTCCGTCGGTGTGAAAGTGGAGGAAAAGAATGTGGGCCCGTTCATTTCGGTATAAACTTATATGACGAGGAACATTATGAATACGCTGTCCATCTTGCGCTTGTGTTCCTTATAGAGAGCCCATTTTTTTATCACGAGAGGGGCACTGTTGCTTTTGTTGGCCACTGTTCATTCAGTGACCATTTTATTCGCGTGAAGAGCACTATTATTTTTAGGGGCCAGTTTTCCATCTTGAGAGGGGGCATAGTTTTAATGTTGCGAGCGGGGGCACTATTAAACTGTGGTTTCGAGGGGCGGTTTTCCATCTCGAGAAGTAATCGCGAGAGGAGCACTACTTTTTTATGGCCAAGTTTCCATCTCGAGAGGGGCACAATTTTATTCTTGCGAGAGGGGTATTTGTGCTTTCGAGGTGTAATTTCCATCTCGAGAAGGTGCCCAATCTTGTTAATGCGAGAGGGGTACATGTGTTACCGAGGGGCAGTTTTGCATTACAAGAGAGGAGACAATTGTATTTATAGCTCTATCATATGCTTTCATATACGTGTGCGTCTGAGGGGCAGTTTTGTTTTCACCTCGAGGGGACACATTTAAAACCGAGAGAGGGACACTTTGGTTGGCCTGGGAAAATCTGGCGGGGGGGGGGGGGGGGCAAGTGCCCCCCCCCCCCCCCCCCCCCCCCCCGGTTCCGCAGCCCCTGCATGGTTTTCACTGTTTCCGCGATCAGGGAATTATCCACCGAGCTGAAACTTCAACAGGTTAGGTATTGAACATTCTTCTTTGGATTTTGAGTGATGTCATTGTTGGAAACGAACATGCATGAGAAACATCTTAGGCCTTTTAAGTTGAGGCCTATTTTTTGTGATATTCTTGGGGCCCGCCTAGTCTGCGGGGAAAAGACAATTACATCCGCAACAGCGGTTGCCGCACCTGGTTCTGGAACCGTAATGGCTTAATAATTATGTTTTGGTCTCTAATTGGCAATACGAATCTTGTTGACATCATCTGCTTGGTATATATACCGCTATGTACACAAACGCTCGTAATCATGGGCGTCGCGAAGGTGGGGACAAGGGGGCGCTTGCCCTCCCCCACCCCCCTCTGGAAAAGCGGGGGTAAAAGAGAAAAAGGGGGAAAACAGAAAGAAACAGAGGCGTGAAGTCATATTGCTGTTAATTTAATGGGTCGGGGGGGGGGGGGCAAATGTCCCTGCCACCCTCGAAAAATGATAAATCAAGAATATGCTGGAAAAGTACAGGGATTTGGGGGGGGGTGTGCTTTGCCCCCCTCTAGAAAAAATCCTGGCGACGCCCATGCTCATAATGTGACTTATATACATGGAAACCATGGTTTATTACCATTGATATAACGATGCGGAAGATCATACCATCCATTTCCGTCCATATTGGGATTACGCATACTCACATTTCGTAACAAGCTGAATAACTGAATTTAAGCGTGTACGCAAATTCAAGAATTGATTTTGAAATGTTAAGATATGCAAATGAGAGAATCTCCAATGATCTCTCTGCTACCAATGCAGATTAGATGTACCAGCACAGTTAGTTGAAACATGCAATAACATCGGTTGGTCAGGAATAACATTTTGAGAATTATGCACATACTAAGTTCTCGTGGCATTGACAGCAATTTTAGAATAATGAAACTACATAATGAGCTGTTTTATACGTCCGCTATGAACAGATGTCTTTTTTTATCAGCGTGAATGCATGGGTATCGCGAAAAAAGGAGGATCACCTTTATAATAAGCCCTTTGAATATTGATGAGTTAAAAGAGAGGCTAAACAGACAAACTTTATGAACGAGAGTACTGAAAGAGAGGCTATAACCAGCCAAACTTCATGAACGAGAGCTCTAAAAGAGAGGCTTGGCAGGCAAACTTTAGGAACGAAAGCTCTGAAAGAGAGGCTAAACAGACAAACTTTATGAGCGAGAGTTTTGAAAGAGAGGCTAAACAGGCCAACTTTGTGGACGAGAGTTTTGAAAAAGTGGCTGAAAAAGCAAACTTTATGAACGAATGCTCTGAAAGAGAGGCTGAACAGGCAAACTTTATGAACGAGAGTTCTGAAAGAGAGGCTAAACAGGCCAACGTTATGAACGAAAGCTTTGAAAGAGCGGCTAAACAGACAAAATTTATGAGCGAGAGTTTTGAAAAAGAGGCTAAACAGGCAAACTTCATGAACGAAAGCTCTGAAAGAGAGGCTAAACAAGCAAACTTTATGAACGAGAGTTCTGAAAGAGAGGCTAAATAGGCAAACTTCATGAACGAGTGTTTTGAAAGAGAGGCTAAACAGGCCAACGTTACGAACAAAAGCTTTGAAAGAGCGGCTAAACAGACAAACTTTATGAGCGAGAGTTTTGAAAGAGAGGCTAAATAGGCCAACTTTGTTAACAAGAGTTTTGAAAGAGAGGCTAAACAGGCAACTTTATGAGCGAGAGTTTTGAAAGAGAGGCTAAACAGGCCAACGTTATGAAGGAAAGCTTTGAAAGAGAGGCTAAAAAGACCAACTTTATGAGCGAGAATTTTGAAAGATAGGCTAAACAGGCCAACTTTGTGAACGACGGTTTTGAAAGAGAGGCTGAACAGGCAAACTTTAGGTGCGTAACAGCTCAGGAATCTATACACATAATGAGGCAAGGAAAAAATTATATTTACAGGAACTCGTGCAGTCTCGGTTTAGTTTTAAAATGGCGACTAACAGTTCGATAGCAAAATTATGAGGTTGCTGAAGTTTTCAGGGAATAATAGGTCCCAAAAGATATTCATGTAGACTCATCTAGAAATATTAATCAACTTTGAATCTGTTTTTGTCTTGTTAGTCCGCAGTAAGACAGGCGGTAGAGAAGTACTCTGATGTTCTCTCCAGTATGAAATGCCATCACATGGATGACATCATTAAAGAGGTAAAAACACAGATAAAATCCTACAATTTAAGATCAAAGTGCTATTTTACTAACCAAATATAACTTTGTTGTCTTCAGCTGTCCAAGTTAGAAGGTTCCCCCAATTGAAGTCCAAAGGACAATGGGGTCAGGGAACCAGACTACTTGTCCGAGTAACAACTCGCCAACCAATCCGAGTCGCAGAAAAACAATCACATATTTTATGAATGAATGGGAATGAACCAATCACTTTCCTACAAACTGCAGGTCATGCGCCTCTGCCCGTTGCTGAGGAACGAAGTGACGGTGAAAAACAAAGTGCGACGAGCCGTCAAGTCTTACATCTGCAATGCTGTCACGCACTACAAGCGAAAGTAAGTGGCAAAAGGGGGGCCTGGGAGTGCGCCCTCATTAATTCCAGTAATCCTTAAACACGAAGTCTAGTATCAAACGGCATTGCTTTGAGGGTAGGACATTCGTCAAAACAATTCTTTCAATTTCTTCGCACGTACATTCTTAAATCTTCAATCATTTATTCGTTCAAATACATTATAATGTGCGCACATCGAAGTAAAGACAAGCACTAGTGGCACTACAAAAAGAAAGAGTGGACCTCAGCAAGAGAAACACCGTAAGAAAAGAAAGCATGATTGTGGTGATGTGGAGAGAATTGAAGTAGGTTGGTTGTTCCGATAGCAGATTTTGAAAATTTTTGAGAATTCAGCTAAATTAAGGACACAATTCCATAGATGTCAGTGGGGTCGCTATGGAATATTGCGCAGCAAGGGTCTGCCAGCTGATTCGGTGATTAATTATGCAAAACAGACTGCGTCTTGATCTCTACACTCTGACCATTCCGACATCCGATAGCGGGCGCCTTATATCAGGTCTCGCAAACCCGTTGTTTAAAAAAACAACATGGCAGCCAAAATAATATTGACTCATCAACAGCTAAGTTAACATTTTTGATTTAAACAACGTCACTATTTCTAAAGTCGTCTCCGATTGGCTGGCGGGTGGAGTCGCATAATAATTTGCACTGCTGACATAGTATCAGACGTTGGTTCACAGAGAGGGATCTTAACAATGGCCAGTGGAAAGATAAAGCCCCAACACCCAGGACCTGTAAAAGTGCGGCACGCCGCCCTGCATGCATGGGCGTCGCCAGAATTTTTCCAGGGGGGGGGGGGCAAAGCAAATTTTCCCCAAAAATTCCTTAACTTTTTCATTGTATTCTCAATTTATTATTTTTCCGAGCGTGAGCAGCTAGCTTTTGCCCTATCCCCCCCATCAAATTACCAGCAATAATTATGGCTTCGCACCTCTTTTTCCTTTTTCCCCCTTTTTCCGGGGGGAGGGGCAACCCCCTCGCGACGCCTATGCCTGCATGGCGGATAAAACATATACACGTGAAAAAAGTATCTTTAGGCCTGTATGACTGTCCAAGCATATTTTTTTTACATGCATTAAATGCATCTGTATTTGACAGACAGCGGAATAAGGTGCTGGGTTACAGCAGTACTTCACACGGGAGCGGGTCAGCGTCGCGCGTCCACGGGCCCGATCACAGCGAGGCACATTCGCCTGATGTGGAGGACTTTTTCGGCGGCGACTCTTCGAGCTCTTACCAAGACGAGCTGATCGACTACTCCAATGCGGGACACGCCGCGCACGCGTCTGTCACCATGGGTAGCGTTTCCCCGCAAGAAAACGCTGTCGTGTATGATCAAGGGTAGGAATACTTTAATGATTTTCCCTGGAAAAAAGATTTGTAGAAAGTACATTATTTTGAAAAAAGATTATTTCGAAGGTGGGAAAATATCAATAAGGTTTAATATATTGAATGACATAAAATGTGATTATTTATGCTCTCCCCCTTGAGCACACGCTCATATTTTCTCCTCACAAGTCTAGCTTTTGGTCACGCCAAAATAAGGTATTTTTGCCGCAGCTGAAGTTTTGATTAAAACCGGCAGAATAAAGCGATTGGACAAAACTTTAGTTGTCGATTGGGGGCGCTATCCACTGCCACTTGGTGGCGCACTTCTGACATGTGCTCGCTGAATTATGAAAATTGAAGCGCAGGTGAATTGGTCGTAAATGGCGTAATAATTAATTCTTTCTCTTTAATCACACCAATGAATTTGGAAGGAAATCATCTGAGATTGAAATGTAATCATCTGCAGATGCAGTACCAGACTATTTCATTACTGCACAGCTGTTGTGTTGAGTTTGAGTTTGTGTTGAAATTTCATGTTGAAATGTTGATATGCAAACGTGTAAAAATGAATCTGGAAATTTCACAAAAAATATACATCTGAAAAAGGCAGCACTTTCTGATTAGCCTATAAAGAGGGTGAGTATGCTTCTAAAGCAAAAAAAACCCTACAAACTAAGCCTAAATGTGAAAATCAAAATTTGGCAAAGTCGACACGATTTTTGTACACGTGGATGTGTGGCCTATGTTTACGGAGGCAGTCCAGTAAATAGGCCACATTTATGGGGCTAGACGCGATGACGCCACTTTTTTTTATAATCTCGCAATGGTGTAGGACTCTACGGATCGCCTTTTTAACATTTTAAACATGGTCAGGCGATGGTAGAGGGCCTAGGTACATGGCCGTATATGGTTACCTTTAACGTGTTTTGACCATTTTCACTCGTACCCCCAATCAAAATCGTCAGAATTCACCACAAAAACATTCTTCAAACTGCCTTGTGCGCCCCTGTAGGCTTCAGTGGGAATTGGAAATACAAATGGTGGTGGTTTAAGTTCACATACCTTAAAGGAAAGAGAAATTTCACCTTCAATTCGGAAATCGAGCCTCGCCGAGCTGTCGTGCCGGCAAAAGCCATCTTGACATGTTGTTGTGTATGATTCATTCAAATTTTGAGGTCGACTGTTTCCTGAACTGCGCAGCCTGCACATATCGCATAGCCGTGTATGCGATATGTGCAAGCTGCGCCTTGAATGCCAATAAATAATTACACGTCCAGTCTACTACATGTATTCACCACAGAAGCCGTTGACAAAAAATAACCAACTGGTTTTTGACATGTATTCTAAAACTGTATCTTTCATTCCAGTCCTGCACCAACATCTACCATTCACAGACGACTCTCAGCATCATCAGCTGAAAGCTGCCCACAGACCGACAGCGTGTCAGACAGTGAGAGGTCGCAGCCCTCGGTTGCAATCGCAAAGAGTGAACTTGGCCCGGACCGACAGCTACAGATAACAGAGGTGCGGACTATAATGGACGTGGATGGCGACAGTTGCGTGGCATCGTCTGGAGCAAAGGACGAGAAGGGATTCCAGTTCAGTGAAGGGCCATCCATGGAAGAACTGTAAGTACTATGTAATCCATGGATCCATTTTTCTCAGCACCCCCCCCCAACCCAACACCCCTTTTTTTTATATAAAAAAGGGGTATTGGGTGGGGGGGGGGGGGGAGAGAGTGCTGAGAAAAAGTGCCCCAAATTGTTAAATCTCAATAATACGCTACTACTACTAATTTTAGTTGTGGAGTACTGGCACTTGTAATTCCTTAACCCCCCCCCCCCTCCTCCTCCCATCCCTGCCCATGGTTCTATTCTGGTCCACTCTTGAATTAAAGTGGGAAAGACCATTGCAAGTTTGTTTACGATTTGGTGGGCGAGGAGCTTGTATACAGCTTTACAAAATGCATCTGTTATAAAGCTGTCCCAGTAATGGCAAACAAATATGGTACTCCAACTAAAACAGGGTCGGTCTCCAATTTTCATATCAGGATCAGACAAAAATCCCATGTCAAGCAAATTCTGTGCCAAAGTGTAGAGTTTGGAGACAACAGTTTTGAAATGTATTTGCATGATTTTATTCCTGTTTTGATTCCGTGCAGGAGAGCTGTTCAAGCCGACTTTGCCAAGCAAAGAGATTGGGACCAGTTCCATCAGCCTAGAAACCTACTGCTTGCCATGGTAAGCCTCACTCAAATCTATAAATTTAGGGTCCACTTGTTTTTTTTTTCTGTCCCTGTTACATCTGACACCGGTGACTTAATAATTCCAATGTACTCCTTAATGCGGTCGTCCTCCAATAGCACTTATGAATAGTAAACTACCTACCATACCAAGAAAAATATAATTGTTTGAAGTCAGTCTTAGGCCCAAAAAAAAAATGTCGGTCTCTGGTCAGCGCGCGCGTCGATTTTAATCATGCGCGTCGATCTTTTTTTTTTCCAAAATGTTCTGCGGTAGCTCCAACAGCGCCCTCTATTTCCGCACCTCCTCAATTTTTTTTACCAAAGAGCACCAAGGAATGGGAAATTGCACCAAGGCAAATGATCGAAAGCACAAAGGCAAATTATGGAGGACACCAATGTACATGAGGACACCAAAAAAGCAAAATAGTACCTACCTTGTCTGTACCAATCCAAGCTTGAAGGAAAAAAACAAAAAAAGCCAAAAAAAAAAAGCTGAGTGGCCGCGTCAATTTTGGAACTTTGGTCTGACCAGAGACCGAATATTTTTTTTTTGGCCTTAATACAAATGGAAGACAATTGACAAAGAATAACAAAGATTCAAAACTGGAAAAAAAAAAACATGTACAGCAGTCTCAAATTCATTTTATTTACTCTGAAGATAATTAGTCATCAATTTCTTTTTTAAGAAATCCAAATAAAATGCAAATCCTTTTCCATTAATTTATTCAAATGTAACCTGAACGATAATGAGGATGTTCGGAAAAAGATATGAAAACAAACAGATAGCAATACTGTATTTGTTTGTCACAAGTCTGTTTCGTCTTTGCCAAGAATTGTTGAATTGTTCTTCCTCCGTACAGATTGGAGAAGTTGGCGAAGTCTCAGAGCTTTTGTAAGTAAAATTTCGATGTTTGAATTAAGGATTAACAGGAATTGTGTAATTCAAATATTTTGGAAAAGATGGGTAAATCTTTTCCAAAATTTCTGGCCTCTATAAAGTAAGTCTCGCAATTCATTCTCTAAAAACACCTGACAGTATTCAAATTATTAGGAAATGTGCTACATGGTATAACATTATTTATGATTCATAAATACCTCAGACAGTTTAGCCATTCCTATTGGCCGAGAGCCCGTCACGTGGCCGGTCTTAAATGGATCATAAAGACATGGCTAGCTGGTCTTAAACACTTTTCCAGTGTCACAATAAAATGTGGACTCCTAAAAATCCGGTGCCTCTTACCGTTTTATTGGTTGAACGTTCACAATCTTCACGTAGGCATGCGCAACACTACCAGCGAGTCAGAATTTTATAGTTCTAAATTCAACACGCAACGCCCCAGGTGCGTTCTGCACGACATCGCGCAGAACATGCTACGCGCGCGTCAATCTCCATAAAAGGGTTGTTTACATCTTACTCGCCAGCTGAACACTCCATTATTTTGCTAGAGGGATGTTTCAAAAAGCATGAAGTGAACTTGTTGAAATCAGGATTTTTTGAACAAATTATCTCTTTTTTTTTACCAAAAAGGTATTTATGAATGGGAATAAATATGTGCTCCGTCGGTATTTATCAATCTGTTTAATACCACTTAGAGTCTGGGTGCTGATAATTACCCTCGCCTCCTGCTCGGGTAATCAGCACCCAGACTCTAAGCGGTCTTAAACAGAGTGATAAAAACCTCTCGAGCACACATTTATTCCCTTATTATTAACTCCAGAATTTGTAAAGCCATAGACATGATAGAGTGCTGATGTGATTGGAGCAGTACAAGGAAGAGATTGTTTGGGGCACTGCATTCAAAAGTCTCTCCAAGTGGTCTCCCCCAACTCTCCCTTTCTTATCATTGAGGGGGTACCTGTGCACGGAGCCCATAGACTAGAAATTACATACATACCCACGGTTTAAAGGGAATGTACATCATTGGCTTTTGCTGTAATTTTCAGAAATGAACTATTTGAGGGGTTAGTATAATAGATCAAATATTATTACACTGACATGTTTGAAGTTTTGTGTTCGAAAATGCTGGAAAAACCAAGAAAAACAAAAATGTTCAAGTAGTCTGGTTCCCTAACTCCACTCAAGATAAAATGTATCAATTTATAGATGCCGGAAAATTGTAAGGTAAGGGAACCAGTCTAGCTGGCCTTCGCCCGTTAATGAACATGTAACCAATAGCAAACAAAATTTGGACTAAAAAAAGGTAAATTTGGAGCAGAAGTTGAAAAATAGTTAGGTTTTTCCAACGGTGGTCGGCCGACCACCGTTGGAAATGTATACAAAAATACCATTTTCTTGAAAACGATTTCACACCAGGTACCATAATTTTACAGGATGCTTTAGACTGTCATTTACCAACACCCTAGTAAGGTATTTCGTAAAAACTTGCTAGTTTTATTTTTCGATGTTTGCAAATGTTGTATATTCCCTTTAAATATTTGTCTGGGATTAAAGTTATAGGGCCTACAAACACAATTATTTTGTTCTATAAATGTAATATTTGTTTGACTTGTGTTTCCTCTTCTGCAGTCAGTGGCGAGGAGAGTGCAAGGAAGGATTAGAAGGTAAAGACCGTTGCGGTTTTTCTTGAAGACTCTGTGCAGTAACTATTGACATTGATATGGCTGTGTGGCCTTCTCATGCTGAACTATTGTGCGGACAAAAATGTTAAGACCTTGCCAAAGTGAAGACATCTTGAAGCACTCTTTTAACCACTTCGTGCCGGAGGCTGTCTTTAGACTGACGGATTAAGACGTCAAGATTGCCTTGACTCGCCTCCGAGTGATGTCTAAACACGCTAATCCCTTGTGCCTTTTGTACACGCACACAAAGTGAAGTCTGTGGAGGCAGACTGTGTGTTGATCTTGAATTGGCCGTTGTGCACGGCCTATTATTGTACAATTGACGCTCCAGTGTACACCCTGGAGTATTGAAACATACGAGGTTTCGGCAAGAAATATCGTGCAAATACTGTTGAAATCACTCTTGCGAATCTGTATTTGTGGCGTTTGGCTGTATCAGAAGTTGGCAGGGAAATTCTCGAAATTTTCAGCAAAAATAAACCCAGCGCGAAGTAGTTAAGGGTATAAATGTGCAATTGTGGCCAAATATCTGTTGCCAAGCAGGGTTGAAATTCGTATCAAACTCTCAAAGTGTCCTTTTTTCCTTCTCCTTTCTCCAGATTGGTCTGAGAAGGACAAGAAGCACCTTGGGCAGGAGTTGAGCGACGTCCTGATGTACCTGATCCGACTGGCCGAGAAATGCCACGTGGACCTGCCCCGCGCCGCCATGGAGAAAGTGGGTCTCAACGCCAAGAAATACCCAGCGCAGAAGGTGTACGGCTCCAGTAAGAAATACACCGAGTACGACTGACACTCGGGTGGAGTCTGGTTCCCAAAGGGCATTTGTGGACATTGTGGTGATGTCGGTCACGACAGGCACTGGCATCTGACTGTTGAGGGGACGCGAGCGTCTGTTTTCAAGACAACACCTGAACACTGTATTCCGGAGTGTTGCAGTATTGAGACTATCACCTGTCCGTTTGTCACCCTTTTCTATGACTGATGCTCAGAAGAGTCAACTTCCCAAGGGAACACCGATTGTGGGCAATTGACAGTTTTGAGACTTTTTGATATTTTTTGTTTTTGATCAGTGGCGTGCTGTGGCCTCGTGGTTAAAGCTGGGGGTTGTGGGTTCGAGTCCAGCCGGGGTCATGGTGCATGTGCCCTTGGGCAAGGCACTTTGTCACTCATTGCTTCTCTCCACCCAGGAGTAAATGGGTACCTGTGAGGGCAGAGATGGTTATTGTGATTGAATAAGCTTGCTTGCGCCTAACAGGCAGCATTGAGCTGTATACTCCCCAGGGAGCTGAGATGGTATTTGGAATGTTTAATTGGCCCAATGATCAGGGGTAATAATAATACTGTAATACTGCTGTACTTGCCAATGTGTGTACGCATCCTTGTTTCCCCAGTTGTGGTTACCACACACAGGTTGTACGATATTCATTATGGGACCAAAAATGTGGGGACACGCCAAAGTACCCGCAAGTTGCTTCCAATTTTTTTGTCTAATAGAAATCTTTGCCTGTAGCACTGTGCCTGCCAGGGGTCCAAGACATAACAGCTTTGACTAAAAGCTTAGTTAAAAGTGACAATTTTGTAATAAAAAAGGAATTCAATTCGTGGCTGATGTTGAAACCTCACCGTCAGTATTGCTGGATCTTTTCACACCTTTGGAAACCTCAAAGTAGGAATCAACTCGGTCAAACAGTATGACCAGCTCACAGTGTTTGGTGTGTGGGAAGAGGTCAACGGCCACTGCCTTGGTTGGCCGGAATGGGATGCCCTTGCTGCGATTTGAAATCGGTCGGCAGAGACTGGGGGAGGACAGAAAATAAATGAGCAACTACCCTGAGGAGAATGTCTTGTAATAACCACAGGCTGCTCAAATTGTTGGTTGCACAATGAAGTGACATATACGCTAGTTTTGCTGCATCACAAAGTGACAAAATTTCTTTATATGGACTTTGTGCACACAATACGTGACCTCATGGTGCGGCAACTACCCAAGATACATGATTTGGTGCAACTGACGAAATGTACTATGATAGAAGCATTATTCATTCCCTGTTCAGGGGCGTAGCAAGGTCATTTTTACTTGGGGGGGGGGGGATTTCTTGAAAAGAGCACTTGCACATCCGTGCTGAAATGTAGACACGTTTTTTTTCTTCTTCAGACACTTGGCCTCCGTAAAATCAAATATGGGGGTGGGGGTTTGGCCTGGTACCATCTGTCGATGGGGGCGCTGTCCAAAACCAACAAGTTTGCGCACTAATGGACAATAGATGGCACTTTTCAGGGCAATGCATGCACAAAATAAAAAAAAGGCACTCGTAAAGGCCACTGGCACAAAAAGGCTAAGATTTTTTTTCAAAAGGGCACTTGTTCAGAACAAAGGGCACTTGTTAACAAAAGAAAGGGCACTCTTTACAAATATTGGGGGAGTGAAGTGCTGGTGAAAAAAAGGGGATTTTAATGAAAAGGGAAGTCTCTCAAAATATTTATATATTGATACACTCCCCCCCCCCTACACCTAGGCTGTTACATGCGCAACTTGACTTGCGATCTGACTTGTGTCAGACTTGATCACGAATACGAATGGGGTTCTAAAATTATCCAACAAATATGATTGTAGCATGTGTTAATGTATTTTGGAATACTTCCTGCAAAATGTCTTTATTTTTTTTTGAAACAAAATTAATACCTACTTCTTTTCCGCGCCTACGACATTTTATTGTGAAATTGGGATTCCAATTTTGTTTTAATGGAAAGTTTGTTAAAACTATTTTATTATAACTAGAGGACATTGTGAAAAGTCTTTTCTATATTAATTTTGCCTGTTAACATTTTTGAAATTGTGACTTGGCTGTGTTTGGGTTAGAGATGAAAAACCTAAACAGGAATTGCATCATTTCAGACATTTGATTATGGAAAAGGAACTCAACTTCTACAGAGATTTACTTTCAGCTCAGGAATTTTATAATTCATTAACATTTAGTGGATTTTTTTTATGTATGCATTTGAAAACAGCAGGGTTTTGGATAAAAGGTTGGTATTTTGGGGATTCAGGTTTGAAGTATGTTAAGAGTTTGGTGATGGAGAATGAATGTTTTAAAATAAACTTTTCAGAGTATTTTTTGGTTAATAACCATTACCATTTGGCTCAAAATCCACACATTTTTATTGAAAATTGTTTAACGCAGGTGAATAAAAATGAAATAGCGTAAAAAGCAACACACTACCTCTATGTATCCATATTGCATTTTTGCGCAACATAAACAATGTACAAGTATCATTTTGTGTGAAAACTTTTGATAAAGTTAGTGCTTTTGATAAAGTTTGTCCCAATAATTTCAAATAGAAACATCAGGACATTTTTAGGTTACTCTGAATGAACAGTTATGAAAAGACAATGAAACTCATGGATTTGTCCAAATTCCAGATACATGTATGGTGACGCCGTGTCTACTAAACACAGCTGCAACAGTATAGTTTTACGTGGATCCATTGTTCGTTTGGGGTAATATTTTTATCGAAAAACAGTAAACGGGTGTTTAATGCTCCTATTTGGAGTTTTCTCATATTTGTTGTAAGAAATGTTATGAGAATGGTATAATACGGACAAGTGATTTTCAGGCAAAGATGTGTTTGTATATAATGCTCTACAGAGTACTGCTCATGTACACAGCTTTTTAAAGTAAGCAGCAATAAATCATGAATTCAATTTTTGTCACTCAAGTCATTTAGTTTTTACTCACTCTGTAAAGTTGTTGATGGCATTTTGCGGGTGGCAAGACACGTAAATAAGACGTCTTAAGTTGGAGCATCTCTGAATGGCCTGCAGCAGCTTAGAGCTGAAATTCAGAATTGAGCCAATCGAATGAATTCTGATTTGTTAAGAGTTGAAACAAATTAATAAATGAGCTTCCATTATTGTTATTGGTCTGTACGTGTTTGATGTCTGACCAGGTTTCACACATAGCCTAACTGAGGCAAACGGTATACACTGTGCTGTGAATAACTCCTATCCCCAACAGATATAAAGACGGGATGAAAGGCTTACATATGCCAGGCCTGGGAGGGTCTGCCAACAATGTCATCACAATCCTTCAGATCTTGGGTTACGTCTGGTAACACTACCTCAGCTTTACTGCACACGTACTCTATATTACTGAGATCTGGAATAGACACACAGACAGACAAAGGAAAAGATTGAGAAACAAACAAACACATGTCATCTTGATTACGCACTGCTGTACCCTCTGCTTCATACCAGCCAACTGACCCCAGCCAGTTCGGTGGTTGAGTGGTTACACATCTGCCCTCTAAAGCTGGAGGTCATAGGTTCAAGTCCCACCCTAGCCACTTGTGGATTAGCTCTCATAAGCTGTAGACAGTACCTAGTATACAATGCTTATCAAAAAATGGTGGGGTAAAACCCAGAATTTAAATTTAAAAGTCAAATTTTCATCATGTTTTTATCAACTCAGGTTAATCTTGATTGCAAATGTAGTTTCCTTGTATCATTCACAACAGTGCACAAGACTGTTCTGCTGTTTTTCTTTTCAAACTGCAGCTATGTGTTTCACATCTTTGACTTGAAAGTTGCACCCTGAAAAAGGCCCAAAACAGCGCCTTCTACTGTCCACGCACTGAGCCATATTAGTGCTTATTGACTTTGTGAATACCTTGGCTTTCAGCACTTGTCCTTTCCATTTGTATCCGTTGAGTACTTTCAATGCCTCCTCCTTATCTTCTTGGCAGCTGAGGGATAAAACAATTCAAGCCAATTACAAGTTGTAAGTTAGGACTGGTAATTGTACAAAAGTTTGTTTAAGCGACGCAAGATACCACAAGTGACTTTGTGAATACCTTGACTTTCAGCACTTGTCCTTTCCATTTGTGTCCATTGAGTACTTTCAATGCTGCTCCTCATCTTCTTGGCAGAAGGAAAATAATTAAGGACAGTCAGTAATGACTTTGATTTCTATCTATCAATCCATCATAAAGTGTATAAACAGGAAAGGAGATCACTATTTGTAAATTTGAATGTTTGTGTCCGGGGAGGGGGTGGGGGTGTAACGTTCCAGGCCCCATGCTATTTTCGAGTTTCATCCCGAAAAATTGATTTCTTTCTTTAAATTGCTATTTTTCAAGAAATACAAAACTTATTCACTTTTGAATGGCACATCAACAGAAAAAAACTGCCCCAGGTCTTGAATGATAACTTTACAATTTCAAATTAGTGGCTGTCAGACAATAACTCCATTCTCGTGGCGTAGGCTGGTTCCCACCCCACAATCAGTATCAATAATGTACGGACCGGGAGCCAGTCTGCTAGCAAAGCGGATCATCAGTCTGTGCCAAGAACAAAAAGAAAAGTTCATGGGGGCTTTCTTAGTATAACGTTTGATAGCAGAAGTCTCAGTACACTTTCAATTTCAAGTAAGAGAGTGTGGGAATTTCATAGATTCAAATCTTTGTTGATGCAGTGACTATTTGTATCTGTATTTTAATTTTCTTTCTTGATTATCCAAACACCAAAACTAAACTTGTATCAAGTTTCCCTGTGCTCTTATTTGTGTTTCATTACATCAGCACACTCAACTTTCACTCTTTAAGAAGCTCCCATGTCACTCACTCCTGACTAGAATTTTCTGGTGCCAGTTTGTCTTTCATGTCTCAAATATTCATCCCTATCTTGCTGGGTTTTTAGGCTGGCAAGTTTCCTAAACGCTCCAAATTCCAACTCTGCGTAGTAAACTAATGGTAAACTCCTTGTTGTGTTCATCAATAAATAAAAGCAAAATTAAGAGATTCACTTTTTGCTGGGGTGAGTTTTCATTTTTTTTATCATGAATAGAGGAAGCTATGTATGGATTAAAACAACACAGTTTCCTAAATTGCAGGAAAGTAAAGAATTACACACACATATGAGCAATTCCAGCGTTATAAAAGGGATATAATATGTCTGTGACAGAGCCAGTTAACCATCAATGATTCAGACAAATGATCCAAAAACTCCCAGTGTGAAATCTCCTTGACCATTACTAGATGATGGATGCATACAATTTGGAAAAACATTCAGGTGTACTCACTGAACTCTTAACAGCTCCAGGGCTGGACCGTACCAGCATTTCATAATACTGGGATTGCCCATCACTGAACAAACTCAATTTAGAGCCAAAATGTCACAAAATCAGACCATCTGATTTCAAATACGCACACTCGATCAAGCAACAACTGACACTCGACTGGATGCCCACTTGATTCATTTCAGAGTGCCTAGGGTTGCTCTTTGCTTCTCTCAGAACTTCTTCAACTTCTTTGCAAAGTCATGTTGACAAGATTCAGTGAGCAGTATTTGTTCCCCAACCACCTGATAATGCCATTGCCCATGCCCACACCCCTGGTCAAAACATGGAAGGGCTGGGGATAAATCCCTCACTTTGCCAGTGAGTCCAAGGACAGTTGGTCTCAATCTGCCCCTGAATGAGAGAGTTTCTATAAGCAGGGGGTTGTGGTTCACATGCCACCAATGACACTTCAGAGTTGCCCAAAAATCATCAAATCCAAAGGATGAACTCTGTGTAGTAAACCCATGGTACATGCTGTAATATTCATCATTAAACAATTAAGAGATTCACTTTTTTGGGGGGGGGGGGGGAGTCAAAAACTTGTTTCCCTCCATGTTATCACGAATAGAACAAGGGCGGATCCACCAGGGGGCCAAAGGCCCTTCCCCCCCCCCCCCCCCAAACGAATCCAGTTTTTTTAGCGACTTCGCAATAAAGGCATGGCAATGAGTTCACGACCATATTTTCCTCAAAAAACATTGGTTAAATTGGTCAGAAATTGCCTCAGATCGCACCACAGAGCATCTAGAATCCAAACAATTTTCGGGGCCCGTAAGCGGGCCCCGAACCCCACACCGTAATTCCTTTGGACACACTTTGGGGACCTATATTTCTTTTGGCCCTCTCCCAAAAAAAAATTGTGTTCTTAATCCGCCCTTGGAACAGAAGAATTAGGCTTTATTCATGAACATGTGTATTAACTTCAAATACAAAACTAAAAATAGAACACACTTCCCTTGTGACAATGGTAGGAAAGAAAAGAAATACAAATATGGGCAACGCAATGGTTAAAACTTGAGTATTGTCTGTGACACAGCCAGTTATTAACCATGTTATCTAATAATCATTCAGATAAATAGATCCAAAACTCCTAGTCTGTGATCTCCTTGACCATTACTAGATGATGGATATACAACATTTGATAGACACATTTTCTGGCTTATCCATTGAGCTATCACATGCTCCGTCACAGGTATTATATAATGCTGGAATTGCCCATACAGGTAGCTGTAAAAAAAATAGATTCAAAGCCAAACTGGCAAAATTCTGACCGTTCCTTCATTTGTCCTTTGCAAAAAACAATAGAGAGTTAACATTCTTTACCTGAATGTCACAAAAGCATAGGTTGCCTTGTTGACAGCCTTGACTTTCTTGGGATTCAGTTGTAGACCAGTCAATATCTTTAAAGTTGCTGTAAAAAAAAATGAAAGTATTGACAATTGAGCATGTAAGTCTTGCCAGGGCAGGGTTACTTTTACATGTTGGTACCAAACACTGGCAAATGCAGTCACAGACTCTCATTTTTGTATTTCGCAATTTTGTATCGGCACGTTCACGTCAATATTTTGCAATTGTGCTAATCTGATCAGATATAAATACATGACATGTTAGAACAAAACAATATTTAGAATGCAGTGCTCTTCAGACCACTAGCATGTAACTCACAGCATCCTCTCTTCTATACATATTTACAGTTTTCAAGGCCCTTAAAGAATAGTATTTGTTTCAATGTAGTTGGATCTTTTGCATTGGTATAGAGAGTCCAGATACAATGAGTAAAATCAATAACCACAGTTTGAGCTGTAAAACTCTCAATGTAAAATACGTAGAGTGCCATTTCACTTTCCCGAAGTGTGATGCGAAACAAAACCTAAACCAGAGGATTCCACAATGTAAAAAACCTTTTGTGGAGAAAATAAAAAAAAGTTATAACCTGAAACAACACATCTACATGTTTCGTATGTCAATGTCAACTATGAAACTCAATTGTCTACTTTGGTTCTGTATGCTGTCAAAACAATGAACAAACAAACTTATCCCTACACATCTTAGAGATAACAAACATACTGAGGAAAAAAACTGAAGAAGCTTTTAGTTTCAACTACACATTGCTCAAGGTTCTTTATTCCCTGTTAGTATAAAACTGGAGTGATCTTGAAATACGGCAGAACACTCTTTGCTGCATCTGAACAAAATGTTGGATATGGAGATCAATGCTACACTGCACATGAACTATGCCTACCAAAACAGCTCCACTCTATCAACTGAAGTAGAAAAACATCTTGAGAACTATTACACGAGTCGAGACAGAAGTAATCAAATAACATGGTTAAGTGTTGAAATCATTGCACCAATCGGCCTCCTCATCAACTTTGTCTTTCTCTTCACAGTCATTCGAGTGAAGTCCATGTGTACAATCATCAACATCTATTTATCCAATCTGGCTGTGGCTGACTTGCTCTTCCTTACGACTGACTTCATATATGTATCTGCATTGTTAGAGTACAGCATGTTTGTCCAAAATGGAATGCAAGCTTTACGATCCACGTTCCAAGCTGCTTCTAATTTCTTTGTGGTTACCATAGCAGCTGAGAGATTCTCTGCAGTGCGCAATCCTCTGACATTCAAAGAAAAAGCCTCTAAATCTCGAGCAGCAAAGATATCAGCAGGACTCTGGGTACCAACAATTATTGTTGGTGTGATTTTGATATTCTTACCAATAACAGACTACGTCTTCACTGACATCATCGTTTGGACCCGTAGCAGTATCAACCTTGTCTGTTTAATAGCAACTCTTGCTTTGTACATCTATGTAGTAGTGAGAGTACGCAAGCAATCAGCCCTGTTCCCAAACCGTCCCAAACAAGCAGGAAAGGTACTCTGTATGGTTATCATCAATACTGCTGTTTTCTTCATTCTGAACTCATTGTACACTGCAGCTTCAATTACTGTCTTTGTGGCAGAGAGTTATGCCACAAGTGTGCCTCCCCAGGTTGTTAAATTTCTAAAACTTGCAGAAAAAGTAAATATTCTGAGTATGTGCATAGTAATCATCCAACATATCAATAGCACCATCAATTCCCTGGTCTACAGTGCCACAAATGCTGAGTATCGTGCAGCTGTAGTCGAGGCTTTCTCATTCCTGAAACTGTGCTGTCGTTGCTGCCCAAGACAGAATCCCAGCCGACCGTCGCAGCCAGGGAAGCAGATTGAGCTTCGTGTGATTCCACAGGCAGAAAATGACCAAGAGCACCGTGCTGCTAGGCCAAGCAGCAAGCCACCAAGCCAAGGGCATGCACAACACACAGAGAGTCAGCAGTCACTGGACAGCTGTCAAGAACAATGTTCCAGGCAAAGCAGCAGCAAGGCATCCATGCACAGTCAGCATGTTCAAGTGCACGTTGAGGTACATGCAGAGCCAGTGGGGACCCCAGCGCTTGCAAGTTCTCATCAGGAACAATGCTCTAGTCCGACTGACTGCAAGCCATCCATGCAAGGGGAACAGTGTGTACATCCAGAATCAGCAGAGAGCCAGCAGTCACTTGCAAGTACTCAGGAACAATGTCCTGGGCTGACTGGCACCGAGCCATCAGCACAAGGGCAGCAGTATGCACATCCAGAACCAGAAGGGAGTCAATCGTTGGAAAGATGTCAAGAGCAATGTTCTCTAGTAATTGAGCGTGAGACGTCCAAGTGAGGGGAGCACATACATGTGTGCTTTTGAACTGCTCTGGGATGTTCAAACTGTAGAGCAGTTTTAAGGCCTTTTCATACCTGTACTGTACATTTTCTTCATTGGAAAGCCAAATAGATTTGACGTCGAGAAACTTTAACAGCATAATATGGTGGAGTTGAAATGTGTTTTACTTTAGTGGATTGACAATAAATGTACAATGTACGTACCATGACAACATTAATATGCAGGCCCAGAGCAGATTGCAACCAACCATCAGTGAAGGGAACAGCTGGAACTCATTCAATGTATGTATGCAAGTGGTTCAGAAATTACAAATCGTATTACGTTAATTGCTAATTGAATGAGGATTTTGTGTGTGTCTAAATGAGCAAGTTTGTTTGTTTTCTGTGTGAACAAAATACATAAACATTTGTCTTCGAGCAAACTTGTATCCTCGATTCTGATTGGTTGATCCATGGCAACAACAGTGTGCTATGAGGCTGTTTTGCACGGTCCATATCGCACCCTGCGTACTGCGCTATTCCAAGATGCGAGCGACATTCCAGCTGCACGCGCTGACCCGCTAAATATTTTGAGTAAAGCAAGCTAGTTCCAACTTTACTGCGCGTCAAGTTTGCTTGAAGATAAATTTGTTATCACGCTCGCGCTCGTGGAACACGGAAAATGTAGTGCGTCAGTGTCCCACATATCACGAGGCCGAATGTGGGATACAGACGCACTACATTATTCCATGTTCCACTCGCGCTCGCAAGATAATAATAGTATTGGCACTGGAAAATCATGACATTTTCCACTTTAAAAATACTTTTTGAAGTGTCTTTGAAACAGAGATTGAGGTTTTTATTTTGGGACATGCACCTCTTAATAAGTTTGAGGATGTTTCAGGCTTTTAAATATTTTAATGAAAGTGCCAAGTACCATATTCATGAACAATATAGTGATGTAATGAGCTGGAACTTCAGTGTCACTGCTGTCTTAGGACAAAAAGTTACAAAGTGTTTTGGTCGAGGTTGACTGTATTTAGCATGATCATGGCACAGGGTCATAATGCACGAAGTACTATGTGTGCATGCACAATGCAATGAATTTTTGGTTCATAAATTACACAGAAAATCCCAAAGCTGTACAGTGTAAAATACCTATATTGACATCACAGCAATGTAAGAAACAATTGTGAAAGTGCACAGGCATTGCAAAAAGTATGCAGCTGTTTACCATTACTTCATATGATTATTTTCATGTTTCAGGGAAATTCATTCCATGGCCCGTTGATGCAATTGAAAAGACCCTGAAAAATGTCAACTATGGTTGGCAATACGAACTCTTGAAAAAGTGCAAACTGTATGATTATCAATATCCAGGGGTTAGTGTTTATAGAGCAAACTCATCACAACAAATTCAAAATGTCTTGGGAGGTTTTGGATCTCAATCTTGAAGATCTCTGAGGTGAAGTGCTGTTGTGTCAGATAGTGATAAGGATCCGTTATGGCAGCGCCAGTCACCGGTACGTCAGAGGTGCTGGTGGAATGGTTATCTTGTGGGTCAAGACTTGATAGACAAATGAACAGATTAAAAAACAAACTCCAATCAGAGAAAAAATAGATTGAGTTGCTATTTTTTTAGCATTAGGTATGTTTAAGTCTAATATGAGCTTTTAAGTGAGATGTCTATGGCTATTGTCTAGGTCTTCACCCATTCCAATTACATGGGAACAATCTGACAATAGCCGTAGCCATAGCTCTAGAAGCCCGTTTCAGACACAGCCTAAGTATCAGACAAAACAAGTTGTAAGCTATGCATTCAGAGCATCTGATTCCAATTCCAATCTTTGTTCATACATGTAGCACAACATGGAAATATTTTCTGAAGACCAAATACAGTGCAGAATTTTCTTTCGAACTTTCTTGAAAAATGTTTTAGTGAGGAGAAACCTATTGAATAGATGATTTTTTTCAACAGAGCACAGACATAAAATGTATAATATGAGACCATGGTAAGTTTTAGATTTAAGTCTGGTGTATCAAAGGTGATTTCACAGCTACTAGCTGGACAAAATGTAGTTGATAAAATCAGCAATTTGCATTCCACTTCTGTCTATAGAGCGTGCAAGTTTATCTCAAAAACCTCATTGTACGTGAATACGGTACATCTGAGCATGGCACTATGTGTTATAGGAGCTACGGCGTGTGTAACGTCCTATTTGTGTCCTGACTAGGTTTATCCAGTCAAGGGCAATTAATGTGTTCTGGAAAAAAACAAGAACACATTACAATTTACAACAGATTAAGCATACTACAAATTGATGACTATGATAAAAAGAAAAATGTTGATCTCAACTTTCGTTCAATCGATCACGCAGATAACAAGTGGGTAAATACAAACATGGAAGTCTGTGACTAGACTAGTCAGTGTTTGGTACCAAGATGTTCACATGAAAAGTGAATGTGAACTGGCGAGACTTGCATGCTCTATAATTGTACATAATCTGTGTAGCACCACTAGTCTGTTGTATTACATTATGAGCTCCATGTCTGTATGATGTTAAAATGCAAAGCAATATTCTAATATTTCTTTTAGATGGACTCAAGGGCAGTTACAATTTGGATAATTGAAAAGTCAATGCTATAAAATATAAATGGATTTGTAAAGTTAGCATCAGACAAGGTTGTATATGTATCTTAATTTGGACAGTATCCAAAGAATTGCTGCTTTCTACATCTTCATTAAAGCTGCTATTTAATGCTCTAAACACAAATAATACAGCAATGTACTATCACCAGATCGGTGTTTGAGCTTGTATGTCTTTCTGATACCTGATAATATTTGATTGTTGGTTTTGTTGGCCGGCAGCAGGATGCAAACCATGTTTCTAAAAGTCACATCCTTTTATAGGACAAACAAATTTGCTTGTAAAAGTATAAGTGATAAATTAAATGTGCATGTACATTAGCAACATTTAATGAAGCAGTGATTTTCCTGAATTTTGTAACCTCAATCTTGGTTGTAATTGTTGAAAAATCCCTATTGAGTAAAAGAGCTTGCTGGTCAATGTTGAAAGTACAAATATATACCCTCAATATTCATGCCACAAAAGTAAGCCAACATTGGTTAGGAAAGGGGATGACACGGTTTAAAGTCTTTTGAGGCTTGTTTCTTTCTTAACAATAATTAAATCCTGACAGACATATTAGACAATGCACAATATGTACATCTGTCTATCTATCTGTGTGCTACGTTCTGATTGGTTGGAGCTGATCAGCAGTAGCTACTAATAGGCCACGCCCCTCGACAGCCCATCCAATCAAACATGAAAGCTGATCTAGGTCTTTTACAAAAAGGAAACTTAAGTGGAAATACATACATGTAACTTCGTAAGCACCGAGCCGGAAACCAACAGTGTTATCTGTCAATGAAAATAATAAGACATGAAACTGAAATGTTTGCACAATATATCCAGGGCGAAGTTTTATGAAGACCTGATCTTAAATGACAAGAAATTAGGGGAATAACTAAGAAAATTCCTGAAACTTTCTGTTGCGGTGTTCATGAATGGCACATCACATGCACATCTACGTGTGTGCACACTTCATGTCCATTCTAGGCAATGTGCACTTTTTGCCTAGAGCACCAATACCAGAGGCTAGGGTGCTCTAGCTGATCTTTAAAAAAAAAAAGGAACAAAACAGAAAGTAACGCTTTGATTTCCATTGAAGAGTGCCCCCTATGATTGCTCTTTGCTTCTCTGAGAACTACTTCAACGACATGTTCACAGAATTTAATGATCAGCATTTTTTGTCAACACGTGATGATCCCATTGCAAATCCCCCCCCCCCCAAAGTACCTCTGGTCAAAACACGCAAGGAGGCGGAATAAATCCCCCACCTGGGGCATGCCGTGATTTTGGATTCTAGGTGCCCTGTGGTGCGATCTGAGGCAATTTCTGACCATTTATGTTTCTGAGCAAAAGCTCATAATTTAAACATCATTTACGAGTTTGGAGCAATTGAATCAGCTATTCTGAGCTATAGAATCATATGTAGGCTACAAAAAGTGGGGAGGGGGCAAACGATATGATATCCCCCCACTTTAAAAGGTGGGGGGATTTGTCCCCCCCCCCACCACTCCCCCCTTCCTCCAATGATTGACGAGATTGGAACCAGCCAGCCAACCCTAGCAAGCCTGGTGGTCAAGTGGTTAAGACATCTGCACTAGGAAGCAGGAGGTTGCAGTGCAAGTCCCACTTGGGTAACATAATTCTTAAGAAAGATAGGCAACATTTTCTGGAGCTTTAACAACTTTTTCGGGGCAACTGCACATGTTAGTCGGCTGTGTCTGGAAGCAGTTTGTTAAGGAAGATCACATTTCCATTCTGGCCCACAACCATCCCGTGTCTTTGGTGAGTAGCTCACCTTTGTTGCTTCAGCCAGGGAGACATCTCCCCAATGTTCCGTTGCAGCATCTTGGATAAATTCCTCAGAAACTTCCTGGTGTTGGTCTGTTTGGTGGATAGCTGGTCCTCATACGGCTGGTTCCATAGCGGAGTCACTGTGTTGTTTAACCTGCAGATTGGGAAAGGATGAAAAATTGCACTCAGTATTTCAGAGTCTTGTTTGAGTAATAGTGAATGCTTCAACTGCTATTAGCCTTTTTGAGATATGGCAGACACAATATCAAGGTGCTAGTAGGTTTGGGTAAATTTGGGGTCAATACAAAATACTTGACCCAAACCAAATAGCACCAATATCCATGATATCCGAGTTTAGAACTGCAGTACATTTCTAATGGATGTTGGTTCGAATCCAGCCCAACCCTGCATTCTATCTCAATGTCTTCACCTCTCTTCTACTGGTAAGCTGTCCTCCTCCTTCCTCCTCTTAGCTTCTTGGGTGTTTCCATCAGATTCCTCTTGACTTCTCTTAGAATAAGGCTCTTCGATTACAGGTCCTCAACTGGCTTGGAAAGCTAGAGAAAAGAGTCATTGTGAGAATGTGAACCTGTAACCACAGCAATAGCAGCCACTAGACCCCTTGCACTGGTAGCCAATGCTGAGGGGTTCTTATTCACTTAAATCCAATGACAAGTGCCAACAGAAGCAAGTGCCAATAGTAAAAACCACAATTGACTTTGTGAATACCTTGGCTTTCAGCACTTGTCCTTTCCATTTGTGTCCGTTGAGTACTTTCAATGCCTCCTCCTTATCTTCTTGGCAGCTGAGTGATAAAAAATAAATACAGACAGTCAGTAATCACTTTGATTCCTACCAATCAATCCATCACAAACGACTGAATGTAACAGAAAAGGAGATCACTACATTTGTATTTGTAAATTTGAATGTTTGTGTCGGGGGAGGGGTGGGGGTGTACTTAAAGCTGCAGGTTACATCCCGAAAAATAGTTTTCTTTTTGAAATTGCTATTTTTCTATTAATACACAAAACTTATTCACTTTTGAGTGAGACATTAACCGAAACAAATGGCCCATGTTTAGTTATTGAATTATAACTTTATTATTTCAAATTATTAGCTGCCAGATAATAATTCCATTGTCGCGGGTTAGGCTGGTTCCACTATCTACCCCACTATCAGTATCGATAATGTACGGACCGGGAGCCAGTCTGCTAGCAAAGCGGATCATCAGTCTGTGCCAAGAACAAAAAGAAAAGTTCACGGGAACTTTCTTAGTTTAACATTTGATAGCAGAAGTCTAAGTATACTTTCAATTTTAAGCAAGTACGGTGGGAATTCCATGGTTTCAAATCTTTGTTGATGTAGTGACTATTTATATCTGTATTTTAAATTTCTTTCCTGATTATCCAAACATCAAAACTAAATCTTGTATCAAGTTTCCCTGTGCTCTTATTTGTGTTTCATTACATCAGCACACTCAACTTTCACTCTTTAAGAAGCTCCCATCTCACTCACTCCTGACTAGAATTTTCTGGCGCCAGTTTGTCTTTTATGTCTCAAATATTCATCCCTATCTTGCTGGTTATTTAGGCTGGCAAGTTTCCTAAACGCTCCAAATTCCAACTCTGTGTAGTAAACTAATGGTACTCTCCTTGTTATGTTCATCAATAAACAAAAGCAAAATTAAGAGATTTTCTATTTGCAGGGGGTGAGAGCTTTTCGAAAAACCAGTTTTCAATTTTTTTATCATGAATAGAGGAAGCTATGCATGGATTATAACAGAACACAGTTCCCTAACTTGTAGGAAAGAAAAGAATTACACACACATATGAGCAATTCCAGCGTTATAAAAGGGATATAATATGTCTGTCACAGAGCCAGTTAACCATGATATCAATGATTCAGAGAAATGATCCTAAAACTCCCAGTGTGAAATCTCCTTGACCATTACTAGATGATGGATGCATACGATTTGGAAAAACATTCAGGTGTACTCACTGAACTCTTAACAGCTCCAGGGCTCGACCATACCAGCATTTCATAATACTGGGATTGCCCATCACTGAACAAACTTTAGATCCAGAGCCAAAATGTCACAAAATCAGACCATCTGATTTGAAATATGCACACTCAAGCAACAACTGACACTCGACTGGATGTAGATGCCCACTTGATTTGACAAGCAACAACTCACCTTGGTAGTGAATATCAACACAGAGTTTGCATTCTTTACCTGAATGTCACAAAAGCATAGGTTGCCTTGTTGACTGCCTTGACTTTCTTGGGTTCCAGTTGCAGACCAGTCAACATCTTCTTCAGTTGCTGTAAGAAAATATATTAATAAATATAATTGAATTGCCTATTCAGCATGCAAGTCTTACCAGTTCATGGTTCCTTTTTATGGGAAAATCTTGGTACCAAACACTGACTAGTCTAGCCTCTGATCCAGACCTTTGAAATTTAATAAGTAAACAAAAACAAATACTACTAAATGTTGGGGACATTGAGATGTGCACCTTGTACTGTGTTTATTCCTTGAGGTCTAACCCTCTCACATTTGACCAAATTCAACACCTGGTTGTCCATGATATTTAGGGCCAAGATACCATGACATAATCAATTATAAACTCTATAAACATGTACATGTACCGGGTATTACAATTAATTGGTTTCAACAGAACACTGAGAGAGTTTACAGTGAAAATCAAAATGTTCAAGCTCTCAACTCCAATGAAGCTTCATGAATTCTCCAAAACACACTGAACTGATAGCATATCTGTTGTACATGTACATACATGTACATCAATTAACATTGGAATCCATCATCATGATCAAAATACAAAATGTAAGTTTGTACAATACCAGGGGCTGGGATTTTTTCGGTGGATTAGAGGGTGGTTGGGTTTAAAGAACAGCGTTGCACTATCTTGAGGAAAACACCCCCCCCCCCCCCCAAAAAAAAAATTAATTAATAATTACGAGCAGAAACAAAAATTGGCAAATTTCATGACAATGTCAATAGTGAAACAGTGTTGAGTGTTTTGGTTACACTGCTGTCAAAATACTAGACAAAATTATCCTTGAATAACTTAAAGATGAAAGGCAAAGCTGGGAGAAAATATGAAGAAGCTTTTAGTTTCGATTTCACATTGCTCAATGTCTTATATTCTCGGTTAGTATAAAACTGGAGTCATCTTGAAATGGGACAGACTACATGTACCATTTACTGCATCCGTATGGAATGTTGCAAATAGTTGTTACACTGTACACGAACTATGGGTGATGGCTACCAAAACAGCTCCACTCCATCAACTGAAGTACAAAAGCATCTTGAGAACTTTGTTAAGAGTCAAGACAGAAGTATACAAATATCATGGTTGAGTACTAAAATCGTTGCACCAATCGGCCTCCTCATCAACTTTGTCTTTCTATTCACAGTCATTCGAGTGAAGTCCATGCGTACAATCATCAACATCTACTTATCCAATCTGGCTGTGGCTGACTTGCTCCTTCTTATGACTCAATTTATATTTGCATTGCTTTCACATAAAGAGTACAGCGTCTTTGTCCAAAATGCATCCCAAGCTTTACGAGACACGTTCCTAGCTGCTTCTAACTTCTTTGTGGTTACCATAGCAGCTGAGAGATTCTCTGCAGTGCGCAATCCTCTGACATTCAAGGAAAAAGCCTCTAAATCTCGGGCAGCAAAGATATCAGCAGGACTCTGGGTGCCAACAATTATTGTTGGCGTGATTCTGATATTCTTACCAATAACACAGTACGTCTTCAATGACATCCTCTTTTGGACCTTTTCCATTATCAACCTTGTCTGTTTAATAGCAACTATTGCTTTGTACATCTACATAGTAGTGAAAGTACGAAAACAATCAGCCCTGTTCCCAAACCGTCCCAAACAATCAGGAAAGGTTCTCTGTATGGTTATCATCAATACTGCTGCTTTCTTCATTCTGAAGTCATTAAACATTGCAGCTTCAATTATTATCATTGTGGCAGGGACTTATTCTACAAATGTGCCTTCCCAGGCTGTTGAATATCTAAAACTTGGAAAAAAAATAAATATAGTGCTTATGTGCACAATGATCATGCACCTTATCAACAGCTCCATCAATTCCCTGGTCTACAGTGCCACAAATGCTGAGTATCGTGCAGCTGTAGTCGAGGCTTTCTCATTCATGAAACTGTGCTGTCGTTGCTGCCCAAGACGGAATACCAGCCGACCATTGCAGCCAGGGAAGCAGATTGAGCTTCATGTGATTCCATTGGCAGAAAATGACCAAGAGCACCATGCTGCCAGGCCAAGCAGCAGCAAGCCACCAAGCCAAGGGCATGCACAACACACAGCGAGTCAGGACAGCTGTCAAGAACAATGTTCCAGGCAAAGCAGCAGCAAGGCATCCATGCACAGTCAGCAGCATGTTCAAGTGCACGTTGAGGTACATGCAGAACCAGCAGGGACCCCAGCGCTTGCAAGTTCTCATCAGGAACAATGCTCTAGTCTGACTGACTGCAAGCCATCCATGCAAGGGGAACAGTGGGTACATCTAGAACCAGCAGAGAGCCAGCAGTCACTTGCAAGTACTCAGGAACAATGTCCTGGGCTGACTGGCACCGAGCCATCAGCACAAGGTGAGCAGTATGCACATCCAGAACCAAAAGGGAGTCAATCGTTGGAAAGATGTCAAGAGCAAAGTTCTCTGGTAATTGAGTGTGAGACGTCCAAGTGAGGGGAGCACATGTGTGCTTTTGAACTGCTCTAGGATGTTCAAACTGTAGAGCAGTTTTAAGGCCTTTTCATACCTGTACTGTACATTTTCTTCATTGGAAAGCCAAATAGATTTGACATCGAGAAACAATAACAGCATAATATGGTGGAGTTGAAATGCGTTTACTTTAGTGGATTGACAATAAATGTACGTACCATGACATCATTAATGTGCAGGCCCAGAGCAGATTGCAACCAACTATCAGTGAAGGGAACAGCTGGAACTCATTCAATGTATGTATGCAACTGGTTCAAAATTTACAAATCGCATTACCTTCATTGCTAATTGAATGAGGATTTTGTGTGTGTCTAAATGAGCAAGTTTGTTTGTTTTCTGTGTGAACAAAATACATAAACATTTGTCTTCGAGCAAACTTGTATCCTCGATTCTGATTGGTTGATCCATGGCAACAACAGTGTGCTATGAGGCTGTTTTGCACGGTCCATATCGCACCCTGCGTACTGCGCTATTCCAAGATGCGAGCGACATTCCAGCTGCACGTGCTGACCCGCTAAATATTTTGAGTAAAGCAAGCTAGTTCCAACTTTACTGCGCGTCAAGTTTGCTTGAAGATAAATTCGTTATCACGCTCGCGGTCGTGGAACACGGAAAATGTAGTGCGTCAGTGTCCCACATATCACGAGGCCGAATGTGGGATACAGACGCACTACATTATTCCATGTTCCACTCGCGCTCGCAAGATAACTAATAGTATTGGCACTGGAAAACCATGACATTTTCCACTTTAAAAATACTTTTTTAAGTGTCTTTGCAACAGATTTTGAGGTTTGTATTTTGGTACATGCACCTCTTAATAAGTTTGAGGATGTTTCAGGCTTTTAAACATTTTTATGAAAGTGCCAAGTTCCATATTCATAAGCAATACAGTGATGTCATGAGCTGGAACTTCAGTGTCACTGCTGTTTGACGACAAAAAGTTACAAAAGTGTTTTGGTCGAGGTTGACTATATTTAGCATGATCATAGCACAGGGTCATAATGCACAAAGTGCTATGTGTGCATGCACAATGCAAAATTTTTGTTCATAAATTACACGGAAAATCCCAAAGCTGTACAGTGTAAAATACCTATATTGACATCACAGCAACATAAGAAACAATTGTGAAAGTGCACAGGCATTGCAAAAAGTATGCAGCTGTTTACCATTACTTCATATGATTATTTTTATGTTTCAGGGAAATTCATTCCATGGCCCGTTGATGTAATAGAAAAGACCCTGAAAAATTTCAACTATGGTTGGCAATACGAACTCTTGAAAAAGTGCAAACTGTATGATTATCAATACCCAGGGTTTAGTGTTTATAGAGCAAACTCACCGCAAATTCAAAATGTCTTGGGAGGTTTTGGATCTCAATCTTGAAGATCACTGAGGTGAAGTGCTGTTGCATCAGATAGTGATAAAGATCCGTTATGGCAGCGCCAGTCACCGGTACGTCAGAGGTGCTGGTGGAATGGTTATCTTGTGGGTCAAGACGTGATAGACAAATGAACAGATTAAAAAAACAAGCTCCAATCAGAGAAAAAAATAGATTGAATTGCTATTTTTTAGCATTAGCTATGTTTAAGTCTAATATGAGCTTTTAAGTGAGATGTCTATGGCTACCGTCTAGGTCTTCACCCGTTACAATTACATGGGAACAATCTGACAATAGCCGTAGCCATAGCTCTAGAAGCCCGTTTCAGACTCAGCCAAAGTAACAGACAAACAAATGTGACAAGTTATGCATTAGGAGCATCTGATTCCAAATACATTATACCAATCTTTGGGCATACATTTAGAACAATGTGGAAAATGGGCTTTATTCACGAGTCGGCCATACTAAATTGAAAGCGAGGTAAATTGGAACTTGCGAAGAGAAATCATAGCAATGACATAAAATAAATTACAAATTAAAACCAGTCGGCTGTGATGAATAATTTAAAATTTGAGATTAAAAAATAAGCATACCCTAATGTTTTAAGCCACATTAAAAGAAAAAGACAAAAGTGACGATAGAATGTACAAATAGTCTGGCACCATCCAACTCAACAGTTCACAATTAGAAAGAACACATGCAGGGAACACGACCAAAATGGCTTCCTTGTGAAAAAAGTCCATATATTCTCAATACCAAATTAAGTGCCGACCCTTCGTTCAAAGTTTCTTGAAATTGGTTTTAGCGAGAAAAATCTATTAAAGATGTGTTTTTTTTCAGCAGAGCACAGACATATTGTAGGCTTTGTATGTACAGTATGGGATTTAATCTGCTTTCTTCATAGCTACTACATGTAGCTGGAGAAAATGTAGTCGTTAGTTAAAGTCAGCAAAGTGTACCTCACTTCTGTCAATAGAGCATGCAAGTTGATCGGAAAAAACCTGCAAGATTTTATGTAAATACGCTACATTAAGCATGGCACCATGTATGTAACAACGTGTGTAACATCCTATTTGTGTGCATTTATTTTGTGTCCTGACTAGGTTTATCCAGTCAAGGGCAATGAATGGGTTCTGAAAAAGAGAAGAATCATTCCAATTTACAACACATTCAAAACATTGCCAATTGATTAGGTCTACTATGATAAATTGAAAAAATGTTGACTTCCGTTCAATCGATCACGCAGACAACTATTGGGCAAATTCAAACACGGAAATCTGTGACTAGACTAGTCAGTGTTTGGTGCCAAGATGTTTACATGAAAAGTGAATGTGAACTGGTGAGACTTGCATGCTCTGTAATTGTACATTGACTATGTAGCACCAGAAGTCTGTTGTATTACATTTATGAGCTCCATGTCTGTATGATGTTTAAATGCAAAGCAATATTTTACAATTCTTTCAGATGGACTCAAGTTTACTTAAAATTTGGACAATTGAAAAATCAATGCTATAAAATATGAATGTCTTTGTAAAGTTAGCATCAGACAAGATTGTACATATACATGTATCTTAATTTGGACAGTATCCAAGGAATTGCTGCTTTCTACATGTTCATTAAAGCTGCTATTTGCTTGTGTACTTTAACACTCTAAACACAAATAATACAGCAATGTACTATAACCAAATCGGTGTTAGAGCTCTTATGTCTTTCTGATACCCAGTAATATTTGATTCTTTGTTTTGTTGGCCGGCAGCAGGATGCAAACCATGTTTCTAAAAGTCACATCCTTTTATAAGACAAACAAATTTGCTTGTTAAAGCAAGATCAGTGATAATTAAATGTGCATGTACACTAGCAACATTTAATGAAGCAGTGATTTTCCTGAATTTTGTAACCTCAATCTTGGTTGTAATTGTTGAAAAATCCCTATTGATTTCAAGAGCTTGCTGGTCAATGTTGAAAGTACAAACATATACCCTCAATATTCATGCCACAAAAGTAAGCCAACATATTGGTTAGGAAAGGGGATGACAAGGGTTAAAGTCTTTTGTGGCTTGTTTCTTTCTTTTCAATAATTAAAGCCTGACAGATAGATTGGACAATGCATAATATGTACATCTGTCAATCTTTCTGTGTGCTGCATTCTGATTGGTAGGTAACTAATCAAGTCCTTCGTGCGTCATCTACTTATAGGCCATGCCCCTCGATAGCCGATCCAATCAAACATGAAAGCTGATCTAGGTCTTTTACAAAAAGGAAACTTAAGTGGAAATACGTACGTGTACCTTCTTAAGCACCAAGCCGGAAACCAAGAGTGTTATCTGTCAATGAAAATAATAAGACATGAAACTGAAATGTTTGCACAATTTATCCAGGGCCAAGTTTCATGAAGACCTGATCTTAAATGACAAGAAATTAGGGGAATAACTAAAAAAATCCTGAAACTTTCTGTTGCGGTGTTCATAACAGGCACATCACATGCACATCTCACATGTGCACACTTCATGTCCATTCTAGGCAATGTGCACTTTTTGCCTAGAGCACCAATACCAGAGGCTAGGGTGCTCTAGCTGATCTTTAAAAAAAAAAGGAAAAGTAACGCTTTGATTTCCATTGAAGAGTGCCCCCTATGATTGCTCTTTGCTTCTCTCAGAACTACTTGAACGTCATGTTCACAGAATTTAATGATCAGCATTTTTTGTCAACACGTGATGATCCCATTGCAAATCCCTCCCCCCCCCCACGTACCTCTGGACAAAACACGCAAGGAGGCGGAATAAATCCCCTACCTGGGGCATGCCGTGATTTTGGATTCTAGGTGCTCTGTGGTGCAATCTGAGGTAATTTTTGACCATTGATGTTTCTGAGCAAAAGATCATAATTTAAACATCATTTTCGAGTTTGGAGTAATTGAATCAGCTATTCTGAGCTATAGAATCATATGTAGGCTACAAAAAGTGGGGAGGGGGCAAACGATATGATATCCTCCCACTTTAAAAGGTGGGGGGATTTGTCCCCCCCCACCACTCCCCCCTTCCTCCAACGATTGACGAGATTGGAACCAGCCAGCCAGCCCCAGTAAGCTTGGTGATCAAGTGGTTAAGACATCTGCACTAGGAAGCAGAAGGTTGCTGGTGCCAGTCCCACTTGGGTAACTTGTGAGTTTAAAATTTTAGTTTTTCATTAGGGGGGGGTTGCTTTATTGTGTTTTCCTTTTTTTCAAAAACCTTTGGGAATTTCGCGTGCGTGTGGACTATACTTCAGAAAATTTGATAAAAATATTTTGTTAATCTAAAATAATTCTTAAGAAAGATAGGCAACATTTTCTGGAGCTTTAGCAAGTTTTTCGGGGCAACTGCACATGTTAGTCCGCTGTGTCTGGAAGCAGTTTGTCAAGGAAGATCACATTTCCATTCTGGCCCGTAACCATCCCGTGTCTTTGGTGAGCAACTCACCTTTGTTGCTTCAGCCAGGGAGACATCTCCCCAATGTTCCGTTGCAGCATCTTGGATAAATTCCTCAGAAACTCCCTGGTGTTGGTCTATTTGGTGGATAGCTGGTCCTCATACGGCTGGTTCCATGGTGGAGTCACTGTGTTGTTTAACCTGCAGATTGGGAAAGGATGAAAAAATTGAGCTCAGTATTTCAGAGTCTTAACAAATTTTAGTAATAGTGAATGGTTCAACTGCTATCCTTTTTGAGATTTGGCAGACACAATATCAGGGTGCTAGTGGGTTTGGGTAAATTTGGGGTCAATACAAAATACTTGACCCAAACCAAATAGCACCAATATCCATGATATCCGAGTTTAGAACTGCAGTACATTTTTAATGGATGGTGGTTCGAATCCAGCCCAACCCTGCATTCTATCTCAATGTCTTCACCTCTCTTCTACTGCTCAGCTGTCCTCCTCCTTCCTCCTCTTAGCTTCTTGGGTGTTTCCATCAGAGTCCTCTTGGCTTCTCTTCAGCAATCAGCACTGTTACCAAACCGTCCCAAGCTAGCAGGCAAAGGTCCTCCGTATGGTTATCATCAATACTGCTGTTTTCTTCATTCTGAACTCATTGAACATTGCAGCTACAATTATTCTCATTGTGGGAGAGACTTATTCTATAAGTGTGCCTTCCCAGGCTGTTGAATATCTAAAACTTGCAGAAAAAGTACTTATTCTGAATATTTGCATACAAATCTTCCAACTTGTCAATAGCTCAATCAATTCCCTGGTCTACAGTGCCACAAATGCTGAGTATCGTGAAGCTGTAGTTGAGGCTTTCTCATTCCTGAAACTGTGCTGTCGTTGCTGCCCAAGACGGAATCCCAGCCGACCATCGCAGCCAGGGAAGCAGATTGAGCTTCGTGTGATTCCAAAGGCAGTAAATGACCAAGAGCACCGTGCTGCCAGGCCAAGCAGCAGCAAGCCACCAAGCCAAGGGCATGCACAACACACAGAGAGTCAGCAGTCACTGGACAGCTGTCAAGAACAATGTTCCAGGCAAAGCAGCAGCAAGGCATCTATGCACAGTCAGCAGCATGTTCAAGTGCATGTTGAGGTACATGCAGAACCAGCAGGGACCCCATCGCTTGCAAGTTCTCATCAGGAACAATGCTCTAGTCTGACTGACTGCAAGCCATCCATGCAAGGGGAACAGTGGGTACATCCAGAACCAGCAGAGAGCCAGCAATCACTTGCAAGTACTCAGGAACAATGCTCTGGGCTGACTGGCACCGAGCCATCAGCACAAGGGCAGCAGTATGCACATCCAGAGCCAGAAGGGAGTCAATCGTTTGAAAGATGTCAAGAGGAATTTTCTCTGGTAACTGAGAGCGAGACGTAGGGCAGAGCAATGCAAGTGCACATGTGTGCTTTTGAACTGGCTGTATGTTCAAACTGTAGAGCAGTTTTAAGGCTTTTTCAAACCTTACTGTACATCTTCTTCATTGGAATGCCAAGTAGATTTGACGTCGAGAAACATTAACAACATAATATGCTGGAGTTGAAATGTGTTTTAATTTAGCAGATTGCCAATACATTTACGTACCATTACATCAGAAATATGCAGGCCCACATGAGAGATTGCAACCAACTATCAGTAAAGGGAACAGCTGGAACTCATTCAATGTGTGTATGCAAGTGGTTCAGAAATTACAAA